AAAAATTTCCGGTTAAACCTTGGTGGAAAAATGAACTTGGTTCGATGAAGAAGAATTCTATGAAAAGCAATTTCATCTCGATAGCCCTTATTATGAAATACCCTACTTATCGAAATAATCTGAATGTCAAAATCAGACAGTAGCTAATAGATCTGTTAAATAGAAACTTGATTGAACCAACTACTGTTGGCTGCATTCAACTAAAAACCCTACTGATAAATACTCACAATTCTAATTAATTTCTTCCATTAACCTATTACAGCCCATAGCTAGCAAAGATTTAATTAGTCGAAAAATAACCTTATGCTATAAAGTGCATTTTTGAAACAATTTTTTTTGCATACTAGAAAATTAAAAAAAATATTGTGACTAGTGATTTCTTCATGATTTTTTTTTGCAAAAAAACAATAAATACAAAAAATGGTTTAAACAATTTTTTTAAAAACAATTAAAATTTGTCGAGCTTATTTTTTAGCCATTCTGTGATTTCAATAGTTAGTTTAGCGCTATCTATGCTGTGCTAGTCATGGAATTTAATGGGTTAAATAGAAATTTATGATAATTAAATTGAATTTCTCTTTTTCATATTAATCTCTTGAATGATAATAATAATTATTATCTACAGGTGTTACCTTTCTGTAAGATGATAACATTCGTCAAATGTCACTGGTGTAACATTGACGCCAGCTATATGATGGTACTACTTCCTTAATTAATATACAATGCGGATGAAGAGCCATGCAACTGTATCTACCTAAAGCTGAGAGATGCCAAATCCTTGTGCAATAAATTATGCTCTATAGCGCTGACGATAATAGTGATAACAATGATGCACATATTGGATAGTTTATTACCTGATTCGTACATTCAGTGATAGACAAAGGTTCATATACAGATCCAATTGAGACCTTTTTTCACTTGCCTCATTTTATAACTCAATTAAGTAAGTTTAATAATAATATTATTTAATTAAATTATCATTTATTTTATTATCAAAACCAATACATGGAGAATATTCCTTCCATCTTGCCTCGTTTCATCCTTACCTCCCCATAATCTACCAATTTCAACTGCAGGATTTAGAAATCCTTGAATAGGATCCCGATTATCTTCAGTCTCTCATTAGATCACCGAACCCACGTGTTCTAATTGTGCTCTCACCACGTATCAATCAACTCTAATTGACGTAGCAAATCACATCACTTGACCAGAATTCATTACTCGACAACTCATACAGATCTATTAATTCATAAATAGTTTAACCAATGTTTCACTTCAGTTATTCAAAACTTTAATATTTAAAATACCACAAAAAGTGATAGATTCTGGTGCCACTTGGTCTCCTCACATGACCAACTTCCCATCTGGTGCAAGCTTCAATATCTACTTGGTGAAGGAATATTGATTAGAAATTCTACCTCAATGATTCATGAAAAAATTTAGCTTCAAGTTTTTGGAATTCTACTTCGATTGAGTATAAAATAACAAGGTTTTCCGAAGACACTTAGTTTGGAGCTCTAAATCTGCACTTTTACCAAATATTATTATTGTTTTCTTGTTGATATATATTATCCATAGATACACAAAGATAGGATACGTACACATGAATAAGCACATGTCAATATTTTTCTTCCAAACAGCACCTATATTTATATTTACTGAAATGATTTTTGTATTTTATTTTATTTTTTATTTTTTTTTTCAACCAAGTGCAAATTTTTCTGAAGCAAGTTTTGCTTCTATTAATAACATCAGTCTATCATCGTTTCTTCTTTTTTTTTTCAGCCAAAAATGCAATTAAAGCAATTGAATTCTGTATTCTACTCGAACAAAAATGACGATAAAAATTTTTAATTCTCAATTATCGTACTCCTATGAAACTTTTTTTAATATTCGAAACTATAGTGTATCAAATTTATCCATTTTTTGTTCAACTGAACTCATAGTATTTTTTTGTTTCTATCAGTTTTTCTTTTGAACACATCAGCTATTTTAAAATGTTACATTTAAGGATTCTTTCTATTTCTTCACCATTGGAGACTGTCCAATAGAATTTAATAAACCTGAGTGCGCTAAAGAAATAGACGTAACAAAAAATATAAAATAAAATCAAACTGAAAAAAAAGTGAGTGAGAAAAAAAGCTTTTAGTGGTAAGCTATGATAATAGCAATAACATACCTACATGTTATATTCGATGTACCTGACATACTTCAGGTTTCATCGTAAAACCACAATCGTACTCACTAAAATCCCTGCTATAAGCTATTGCATATTCATTCTCTGGTCCGAGCTACTATTATTCTCTCACAGGGAACTGCAGCATAGGATGCTAATGTTACGTTGATTTGTCAGCCTGGAAAACACACACAACACTACTGTTTAATTTTTACAATAATTCACACTGATGTACAAAACAAGAACAGTTTGGACAGTGTCTGAATTGTTAAGCATTGTTTACTTTTTATTTCTATGTAACAGTAATTGAAAGTTTATATTTAAATAATTACCTTCATGTCGAGAAACATTTAATGATGAATAGGTGAAGATTTAGGACGAATATTTTCTCGTTGGTGTATTTCCACGGCGATACGTAGATAGATCATTTTCAAGTAGATGAATGGCAAAAACCTCCCACTCTCGGATCCTCGATTCCAGCCAGATGTCCTTAATAAATCTAAGTGAGACAATGAACAGCAGCATACTGTCTCGCGATTGTACTAGAATGTACATTAATCTGGAAAGATAACTTATTTTCGATAAGATTTTAAGATAATTAGATATTCCATTTTAAAAATGACTTAAACAATAAAGTATTTACTTTTTAATTAAGTTGCTTTTTACGACTTCTCATTTCATAAAATATTGTTGTGTACCCCATTTTCAAACAATGAATTTGATCCTAACTTTAGATGATGGCCTAACTTTTCCTTCTAACAAAAACCTAGACTCTTTAAATGTTCTTCATATTTCTTTAAACTTATGACTTCTAAAAAGTAATTTTTAATAACTTTTCGGAACATGAAATTACTTCGAAGTACATTTTCTAGATTCTTAATCCTAAAATTTCTTTTTTCGATGACATGTTGAATTCTGTCATGGTCTGATCAGATTCTCGTAGATCACTGAGCGTCTGATTCAGCAATAAGAATTTAATCACTACTATGGTACACATAAGCAAACTAAATTGTAATTACGTTTTTGTAATAATTCTTCTTCCTAACAATGAATGATTAATCAAGCTCTATCATAGAAAATACAATCAAATAAAATATTCTAATGTGAGTTGAGTTTTAAATAAAAAAAAAAAAATTTTATTGATTTTGAATTAAATTTATTATTGTTTATTTTTATTTTTAAGAATTAATTTTTCAATATATATTTTAGCTACAATGATACGTAGATTTCGCAAATTTTGTGTAACCTGTACACACTTCCCAAACAGCACCAAAGAGATAGTATTAGTATTACTGCTATGTTAGATTCAAGTTTTCGCAACACGATGACGATCCGGATTACATCTGGGATTCAAAGCTGCATCGAGATTAATCCAACTTGAAATTCTCGTGGCTGTATGCACTTACGAATGGACTAAAGTTACTTCATACCAATGATTGCTAGTTTAAAACTAATTTTTAAATAAAAACTCACTCTCTAAATATGTAAATTTAAGAGTAAACATGCGAAAATGATGATAACTTGGAGCAAAAATACGCCAATTAGTTAAAATAGATACAAATTGTATGATTGATTCAAAAAATATTAATTTTTAAAAATCCACTGTGCATTATTATTTTTAAATCATGATTATATTAAATCATTATATTTTCGTAATTTACTTTTTAATTATTTCTAAAAAAATTTATTGGTCTTTGCAATATTTATTTTAATGTTCTAGTATGTAGTATGTATAAATAGTTTAATTTGTTTATAAACAAATGAAACTATTTATTAGTCCAGTGCTATTTATACTACGCTTAATAGGTCAAATAAAATTCTCTTCTACCAAGCCGTTAGCTAATAAATAAAATTAATCTATTGTTTTTGTGTTACAATTTACAGATTTTTAAGATACGATATCTAAATTAAATTATTTGCATTTATTTGCTAAAACATTGCTATCAAATACTTTTTTTTTATTATCATTATGAAGAATAATGAGAAAAGCTTGATGATCTGCAATCCCCAACTCTGTTGATAATCTCCATCCTAATCTGAATGTCCATCCATCAAGAGACAATGTTTTTCCATCAAATAGTAACTCAAAGATTGCTCAAGATGACTTTCGAAAGCATCCAGACTGGTAAGGTGAATTCATGAATAAAGTAGTGTAGGTTCAAAAAAGGTCTGTGAGAGATGACAATTCAAACAAGCAAATTCTCTATTAAAATTCAAGTCAAAATAGCTGTAATACATACGTAATAGCGATACATGGTAAATAACAATATGTCCTGGGCTATTAATTACAAGCTTGTAACCTACATCTTCATAAGTCGATACAACATATCCGACAGTCAAGTATGATTTTAAATTTATAATACCAGCATAGGATTATATTTAGTATATTTCAAATATTGATAGATGAATAAAATTCAACAATATTCTAGGTAAGTATAAAGAAGATCAAAAGAAAAAGTTTTATATAATTTTACATCTTACTTCAATGTATTCGTAATGTTATTTATGATGTTTATATTTCAGAATTATTATAAAATAGTATTTGTTAGATTTATCTAATAAAATAAGTTAGAATATGATTTAGTAGTAACATATGTTGCTCTTGTTGTTATTTAGCAAGATAAATGTTGTATAGTTCAACATTTGGGTCACCAAAAAAAAAGTACTCAATTCCAAGTCCATTTTATTACGGAATCTTTGTGAAATACTGCTAAAGTTAAGAATGTAACTGATAGAAATCATGATAAGTGACACAATTAATTTGTATTCATAATGTAACATAAAATTTCGTGCATGCAGATAATATATAAAAGAGACCATTTAGCTTTCTTGTATCTTAGTTTGAAATAGTCTTTATTCCAAATGGGACATCTAAGAGTCAGCAGGAGAGTTCAAGTACGTATGTGTTTTTACATGTTTTCATCAAATTGGTACTTTTAATTATTTTAACTAAATAATATATTAGTAAAAAAAAGGAACCTCATAATCTGTAATTTTACAGCTAATTTTATTAATTGGGATCATCATTGGAGCAGCAGTTGAAAGTGTTTCGTATAATCCGAGTGGCTGGCGACCATCTGGTCCATCTTTTTCTTTACAAGAAAGCAAATCTCATTTCTCAGGATATCACAATACAATATCTTCGTCATACGAATCGCCGTATAGTGATGTGACTCCTGCAACCACGATTGCTCCATCAATCACTAACATCAAAATGAAAACGACATTTACAACTCCACGGAGTAGAGAGCCAACCACTCCATCCAATATTGATGATGAAGATGCACAAATTAATCCAGCCCTTGCTATTGCGAATTCCTTTGCATTCAACAGGCCTGTATATATCTATACTGGTTTTCCATTTCACCCAGATTTCACATACGTACAATGAAATAAAAGAATTTCTTAATAAATAATTATGTGATAAAGAAATATATTTTTAAAAATCATAACTTATCTAAAAAGCATCACAGAAATTGTCATTTTTATAATTATTCTTTTGTACATGGTATGTGTCGTAAGAAGCTTAAAATTAATTATCATTTATTGTTGACAGCATGATCAACACAATTAAAACAATTGCAAAAAAATTTTCTAAATTGTGCTTTTCACATTGTTTAATTATTATCTTCATTCTATAAATTGTCATGTTTATTTAATTGAAATGTATTTTCATGCATTGATATATTTAAAAAAAAAAGATTATTATCTCATTATATTTATACATCGTTTACTGTAGTAAAAGCGTGTATTATTATAATCTAAGCACTATTAGTGTATAATGTGTAACTTTAAGTAACATATTTTTTTGTAAAAACTTGAGTGTCATTACATCATCAAATTTTTCAATATTACATTTTGTCTTGAATTTATTTTATTATATAAATGTTTTCAAATGAACATACTCTAAGTTTGTATAAAGATAATCACGACTATGCTAAGTTTATTATAAAAAAATATAAAATATTAATCAAATGATTTTTCAATATATAGTTATAAATATTGGACCCTTTACTATTATTAACAGAAACAAATCATTCGATAAAATGAAATATTCATTCCTGTTCATTTATAAATAATTATTGAATATTTCATTACTTTGATACTGCTCTTGAGATAATAACCGAAAATAAAATATGAATATTATGAGTGACAATTGTATTACCCCATTAAAACCCTAACTATTGGATTCATGGCATAGCTAAGAATAAATTGTACTTTTTTAAAGACAATATTGTTATTCGAAAATCCCTCTTGTATTTTTCTGTCTAATTTCATATTGATAGTTAAAAACCATTATAAACAATTAGATCGACCATTTGGCTTTTGGGCATTTTGGTCTTTGTTTTGATCTTATTTTAAATTAAATTATTATAGTTTCCAGATGATATTATCACATAAGTCTATTTCAATCTTGTATTCATAATTGCCATTCAAATGAATCAGTTATTCGCTTGTCTACTTAACCACTGTGTACTTATTAATTAATTTAGTATTATTCATTTTATTGAGTTAATTTCTTTTAGCCGAACCATGGATCCAATACTTGGTGTGATATCTGGCATACATTTTTAATAATCAAACAAAGAAATTCCATTAATCAATAATTGATAAAAAAATTTTATAAACTTTTGAAAATAACAGAAAATGCTACTTTCTTCCTTATAAAAAATAACTATCTAATTAATAATTAAATAATACTTGAGTAAGAACCATCTCAAAAGTGTAGTCATTATTTCCGTTATTTTTTGTTTAAGTATAACGTTAAAAAAATCTTTGTAATAATTTCTTTACAAACTTTAGTTTTAGTAAATTGATAGTCATGATTATTTTTTAACTAGACGATTCCACTAACACTGTCACCACCATCTCGATACTTTACCGGATATGCTAATAAATTTCCATTATCCCACGTATGCAATTCCTGGAAATCAATACAAGCGTTATATATTTTTTATTTCACTTTAAAAAAATATTAAAAAAAAAATTAACTAACCTTCGTCCTAGAATTGTACCGAATCATGGTTATTTTACGATATGGATTAGTGAACGATAAAGATGCGTCGAGGATTGCATGTCGGTATAGATCCAACGCCAACCTGAAGTATTGAAAAAAATTTTAATGAATTTCAGAAGAAAATAACAATATCAGTATAATAATAAAATTTATCCTCACCGAATATTTAGATCAGTGTCAGTAACATTGTGAATGGCATAGAGCACCCCACATGCAATGAACATTTCACCAAACATGTGATGGTCAATACTTATATTCCATCCTTGCTGAACTTGCATACTTAGAGTATCAATTTTTAATAATGCCGTAAAATTCGAAGGCAACCCATAAATAACCCATAAACCTGAAAGTCCATTTGACGAGGTGAATCATTGACATATTCAATTCATAATTTAATAAATCGGCTATAAGGCATAAAAATTCACCATTTTCATCAACATCAAAATCTACATAGCTCGAATCATGATCAGATGAATAAAGAAAACTACTTCCCGGTGATGATAAACCTGGCAATATAAGTTCCATTCTGTTATCCACGTTTGATGATAAATCAAATCGGTATATTGATGGTCGATTCTTGGGATTATAAAATAAAGATCCGTTGTAGATGATGTATCCAGTGCCCTACAAATAATGAAACTTAGTCTAATTTTAGATAAAAAGGTTTATGAATTAACCCATTAAAAATGATTAAAAAATGCAATTTCGAGGATTTTCTTCATCTTTCCTCCATAAATGGATTAATATAAATTGTTTTGAACAAATAATGGTAATTATTTAGAATTGGGGCTCCAGTCAAAAATCGCTCCAAAAAATTTTTCACCACCTGGAAACTATTTTGTTAGGTAGAATTAGATAATTAAAGGTGGGGGAGACATGTTTCATGAGGTTTCATCGAGAAAAACACGATTTTTAGGTGTAGGTATAGCTTAAGTTCGAATAATAAAGTGACGAAGAGGATGGAAGGTGCGGGGTGTTAAAAGGGCATAAATAATTTTGTGATTATTAAAAATATTTATGTTCTCTTAACAACCCCCCCCCCGCACCTCCCATCCTTTTCGATCAATGATTTTTAAGAAATTCATTGATTTATCATATGTAAGTTGTACCATGTAATGTCTGAAATAATGGAAATAATATGTCTCCCCCGCCTTAAATTTACTATTTGTACCCTCAGAAACAACCCCAAATGCATAAAAAATTTTTTGGAGCGATTTTTGACTGGAGCCCCAATTCTAAATAATTACCCAAATAATAATTACCTTAAAATCATATGGAAGTTTAATGACTCGTGATTGACTTATTTTATTATCACTCAATCGAATATATTCAAAGATATGTGATGTATTATCTGTCCGCATTGCCCATAATTTTTCAGGACTAGTATCACTTCTTGGCAAAGTATCAGACATCCAATAGCCATGAGTGGACTCAGTATTACCTTTGAATACTGGTTTACCTATTGCTCCGAGTATTCCCGCTATTAAACAAAAAATATATTTGATTTACAAAATAACTAAATTTCTATATGAACAATGATTTTCTTTAAATTATGATCTTCTCACATACCACATTGCCGTGGAGGTAATCCAGTATAATTAGCAGTACTCTTGAGTTCTTTGATTTCAAAGCACCCTCCAAAATCAGAGAATCCACATTGAAGTTCAGGACAAGTATTGCAAGGTTTAGCAGGACAGAGATCATCAAGATCAACTCTAGGAGGAGCTGGTTTACCATACACTACTTCAGTATTGTTTATTACCATATTTTTACCACCTTCAAAAATCATAAATATTTAATGACAGTGAACAGCTTTATAATACTGATTATAATATTCAAAAATATGATAAATATAAACATTATCAAGTTACCTGGACTATGAACACTTATCGCCCCTTTAGTAAGACCCAAGTTATTTTTGACAGCACAATGATATAAACCATAATCTGAAGATGTTACGTTTGTAATATTTAATTGCATTTTGAACTGAAATGTGATGCATTACAATATTTATTATACGTACGGATATGGTATTGTTTATAACAATAGCAATTAGTAATAAACAAAAAAAGTAAAAGATGACAAAATTATGAATTTTTTAATTACTATATTTTACCATATAATTATTGCTCTTAGAATATGTTCCTATTCGATATTTAGGACGTGGATTCATCAGTGGTACATTGCCTTTTTCCCACCATATTGATGATACAGGATAAGCTTCAACTTCACATTCTAGAGTAGCTAGACCAAGCAATTGAACTCGAACAATTTGTTGGCAAACCCTGATAAATGGGGAGACTAAAACATGACCATAATGAATTCGTTCAAATAACTTATAATCCAAATAATAATATATTATTTTTATCTAATAAATTTGATATCTACTTACAATGAACATCAAGCCTAAATCTGTATGTCGCTCTTGGTGGTATTCCATTGTCAGCTATGCACATATATTCTCCCATATGCTCTCGACTAACTACAGCTACATTGAAGGTTGATCCAATTACAGATGAAACTATCAACAGAGAAAATTGATTTAATAGGCGCCTATCATGTAAACATGTTATACCAAGATGAAATTGTTAAATAATATTAGCACATTAAATAGTAATATTTTTCAAAGCACCAAACCATATATACAAGTATATTTATTTGTTGAAAAAAAACATCTAAACAATTAAACGATAATTACACGGCTACCTCCCAAATAAGGTAATTAACAGGACAGACTATTTTACTCGCTCGTCACATAGGCCATTAAACATAACAAGGATCCGTCATCGTTGAGTACGCATGGTCCAATTAACTACCTCAACGCGCTCCGTTGAGTCGTGATTGTATAATAAACATTCACACACTTATAGTTATACATAAAGAGAAAAATAAAATAGTAATATAAATAAATTTATTTCGTATAAAAGTGAATATTTTTTTTATGCAAATAACTGAATAGATCGATTAGTTATGCAATTTTTATTTAACTCGACTAAGTGCTCTTGTCAATCATGAAAGTCGAAACTTTAAAAGCATCATCAATAATATTTAAAACTATAATTATGGAGAAAAAAATTTTTAATTTAAATAAATGCTCATGGCTTTTTTTGTTTGATACATGTATAGTCCAGTCAATATAGAATGCTTTACTTGATTTGTGTTGAAATTGTTTTGTACCATGATCGATGTTTAATTTTCCAACGTCAAAATATCTGCAATAATCTATCGAAAAAATATGCCCTAAAGCAAAAGTGTGCTGATTTTTTTGCATTTTAGCGGTTTCATATATCTAAGCAAGACAGCACTATAGGCAACACCACGTGCTAGAAAAGAACAAAACTCATCGAAATAGAAACACAATCTATTTCTTACGGCAGAAGTCTTTTTTTTTAGTGATTAGTTTTTTATTTATCTTATAGAGAAATATAAAATATTATTTATTTGCCTTTTTTTACATCTGATATAAACTTTTAATTATTATTACCCGCATTATTATGTTTTATTTTAATTTTTTTTTATCTTCTCTACCGAATGACTTCTGTGAGCCTGTCATTAGCTTATGCTGTTAGGTCTTTAATAATAAATAAATTAATTAATTTTTTTGTTTAAATGTGATTAATATTTTGTGGTCATCCTATCCAATTAGTGGTTGAAAATCTTTTAGATTCTTCTAGCTATCAATGATAATTGAATTGAACAATGTACATCAATGTAAAGGAAGATTGATCCACTATGTTTCTTTGATAATTCATTTGAGATAAATAAATATGACATTACCATGCCATGATCCCATTGGTATAGCCATCCCAGTAATTTTTGACCACTGGATAACGGGTTGTGGATGACCACTAGCACCACAGTTCAAGCGCAGATTAGACCCTTCGAATGTAGAAACAACTTGATTCGGCAGACCTGTATCTGAAATTCAACCATTTAATTGAAATATATATTAAACAGACATTTTATTATTATTATCATTATTATTTTATTCTACACTATTTTCTCTATATCTCAAATAACATGTGTCAGCAAAGTTAACACACCCCAGGAGTTTTATTTTGCTGATCTTTCAGTTTATAGTATAAAAAGATCAAATAATGATTGATTTCAAACATTAGAAAATCATTTAAAGCATAAAAAAAACAACTTACTTATGATTGATGGAGGTATTAATAGTTCACCATTCCTAGGTACTTTCCAAGCAATTACTGTAGAATTCCCTGGCATTCCTGGACTACCGGGCACACCAGGTAAACCTATACCACATCACGTTCATTTATTCACGTATTAATTATGATAATATTATTATTACTATTATGTGTAATTGATATTCTCTCCATGACTAGTACTATATTGAACAATATTAACCACGAGAATTTAATTTTAAAAAAAACCAGGACTCAGGTAGTAATTTCAATATGTTCTAGAGTTCTAGATGTAGTCCTCTTCATTTTTAAGACGCCTTGCTTCATATGTTCCTTATTCTTGCCTCATATTATTGATATTATGAATATAAAGCAAAAACTAGAAAAGTTTCAGAAATTAAAGTTACAGTATTATGATGACGTTGCTAACTGCTCTCATTTTTCTTAACAATAATCTGATATAAAATTGTTCAGTCGTACTTGCTTTATAAGGCATGGCCGACTACCATTTCTAATTGAGAAATTCAGGCTATCAAGTAATTATTTACGTAATGGGTAGTTCTATTGTAGTAATAAAGGAGTTGATTCCATTGCTGTTCAGGTAATAGTGTTTATGAATACTCTTTAATGAAACCTAATCATTTTAAGCCAAACTTGATGATGCTCTATTGTAATTGTTATATATAATTATTTACCAGCTGCTCCTTTCTGTCCAGGAGATCCTTTGTCACCTTTTAAGCCTCTTTGTCCTAAAAAAAAATTCAAATTGAATAAAATATTTTTACAATTTTTTTTATACAAAATAATAAACAACATTATATCGTATAGAATTTTTTAAAAATTTCTTCATTATAAAGTTATTGTAAAATTTCAATTAGACGAACAAGTAAAGATTAAATAGAAAGACTGATAAAGTCTTTCAAGAAAGATTGAGCTGCTTTAATGCAATACTCGGTTGAGATAACGATATTTATGCTAAGCCAAGTTGACAGAGATGAAGGTAGCAAGTTTCTATGTGAATAAAAAAAAGTGTATAAAAGAAAATAAAACACTCATATCAAGACGCTTTCTTAATCTTTGAAGGGTGACTGAATGTGAAAAGACGTATTTTTGTTGAATATGTCTTCTACTATAGGACTAGATTAGATCTTGTACTGCGGATGTGACAGATTATCTTTCTAATCCATAATTCTTCTTTTCGTGTATTAAAAATGAAAATATAAGTCAAAAAAAATTTTTCTTTCAGGACAGCTAATGTAAGTATAACAGAAAGATGAAAAGTGCATAGCATACTCTGAAAAAGTGATGGTAATTAAATTCTTAAATAAAAAAAGAAACATACCATCAGTACCATTTCTGCCAGGAATTCCAGGATGACCATCTCGACCTGGCTTACCAGGTGGTCCTTGCAATCCATCCATACCATTTCTTCCAGGATCTCCATCTAATCCTGGCTCACCTGGAACACCATCACGTCCTTCTCTTCCAGGTCGTCCTGGTTCACCACGAAGACCTCGCTCTCCAGGGGGTCCTGGAGGACCTACTGGACCTCGAACTCCTGGCAATCCTCGGTCTCCAGGATTCCCTGGAGGCCCTTGGACTCCAGGTAATCCAGGTGGGCAATATTCAGCAGATTTCCTGCAAAGTGTGTCCATTGCCTCAAACTGAAATTAAAATTATATTACTGATAAAATCATTATTTCATTCTTTGGAAAAAAATTGGTATTTTAAATTTTTAATTTCCTACTTCATTCTGATATTTTCTATACTGAGAAAAAAATTTATAAAAAGTTATATATAGAAAAAATATATATATAGCTATCGACAGTAATACTGTCAATACCTATAAGTATTGTAATTTTAAAACGCTTACGAAAGATATAATAGAAAGAGATTTTCACTATGCACAGTGAATATGATTAAAATCAGATAAAGTCTGTATGATAGAAGAAAATCGATTTTTATAGACTGCTGCATCTTGATGCTTCGTTGCCTATCGAATAATAGTAAAATGTATGAAGAGACGTCATCTCAAGAACGTCCTTGCTATTTTTCGTATCTACATTTATACTTTAATGCCAAAACCAGACAGATAAGAACATATCAAAAGTCTAAAGAAATGTTGAAGTATTTCAAATATTACTTTAGATAGGAAAACCAATCGATTGCTCTTTATTTTTTGTACAATCTACATTACTTTACAATAAAACCAAAAACAAACTCTAATTTATCTTTATCACATTTGCCAACTAATATCACCCTCTATTTATTTTTGTGATTAATAAAAGCTAAAAGTTTGATGATGATTAGTGATCTCAATCTTGAGAAAATGTTAGTTGATGTTGCAAAGCTTGGAAAAAGTTCTCAGTAAAACATTGAAGACATTAAATATTCAAAAACCAATTGCTTTAAAGAAAAAAGTAAGAAACTTCACGTGGTTCATACAACAAACATCTCCGGAATGCCCAGTGGTGGTGCTAACCTTCCTGTATGTGAAGAAAATAAAAGACGCTTGGCAGAAATAAAGGAGATGATGAAAGGAGGTTTAGGAGGTGTCAGCAAAATGAAAAAAAAAATTGAGTTGATATTAAAGCTATTTTTATTTTAAAAATTGTCAATTATTTGGGATTAAAAGAAAAGAATGTTAATATTTTTTGCTTTTTAATTAGAAATAAGCGGAAAAACTCCAAAACGATATCGACCGAGAAGGATATGCAAAAGCATATGAACAGAATTGGACATCAGTGGAAATAGAAATAATCCTCTTACTTATACATTTGAATAAAGAGAATAGAATATCGTGTAATATGAAGAGAAGCGAATGAGATTATTAATCGAGGAGTCCATATATGCACACTTATGAATTAGAAAATCTTCACATATTTCATGTTATTTTAGAGCATTTTAATCTTTGAACTACAATGAAAGTAAAGCTCAAAAAACTGGACTTAATAAAAGCTCTTTTTCTAAATCGTTTAATTATTAAATGCACAGATAATTTGTTGCTAAATAATACTTTTATAGAATTGCAAAAGATTTATATTTTAAAATAAGTTAAATAAAAAAGACACTTGAAATAGTTTCGACTTATTTAGAGATTAGTATTGTTAAAAACTGTATATTTTTTATAACAATAGCAAATTGTTATTAAAAACAAAAAACGAAAAGATTTTAATGAATGGGAAGTTGGTCGTCAGGGTACAAAGTAAACCCATTTTTTAAAAATATAAATACCCTATTGCTATCATGGAGGCTGCCTGCCAACTATCAATAATGACAAAGGATTGTGAGAAATAATGAGGTGTCGATAATAAGAAGATAAAAAGCGCTAATGATATGATTAAAAAAAAGAGGCTGAATATACAGACCGGCACGCGAGTGTCAGCTGTCAACCACACCCATCTGTCGTTATTTTGGATTGGTATTGGATCATCAAATGTTCCATCTGGAGACATAGTAGCCCTTTTCATCTCCTTCATTCCACTTTTTTCATCTTTTATCTATAATTATAATTCCAGATCATATAGAAAAGCTATTTAAAAATTTCTTTATCAATCATCATATTTTATTTTAATACACTTGATTATCTGAAGGATATCATTTACTCTAGTGAACTGTTAATTAATATTCATGTATCTATTGATTGCTAATCAAAATTAGAAGTATTTGAATATTCATTCATCGATGAATTTATTTTTTAAATTATTTTTATTACCTTTTGTTATGATAAAAAAATTATCTTGTTATAAAAACAATTTGTTTTGTGTAGATATTTTGATCATTTTGATGTGAATTGGGTAGATTGAAACGTTCCTATGGAATTATGAAGGCCATTTATATTCAATTTAATCAAACCGTTTTGTATAATCGAGGGATAAATTTATAATATGATATTTTGTTGCTCGACATCGATTAAAATCATTTTTCTTTGTTACTCTAATACTTAAATGGTTTAATCATAATTAATTATTGATAATTGAAAAATTAAATATTAACAATTATTATTAAAGTTTACTTTGATAATTATTGCATAACTCTATGTGATTGATGAATATATATGAACATATTTTCATAATGTGTTTGAAAAAATTTTAATTTAAAATATCTTCATTCAATACTTGATTAAATTATAAAACAAGTTTTTATCTCCTATGAATTTTTATTCTAATGAATTCGTATTTTAGCATCTTAGATAAAAAATGTATCACTTCATCCATGATCATGATAACTTTTTTTCTTTTCCACTGATCCCAAAGTTTTCTCTCAAAGAGATCCAATAAGGGAAAAAAAGTAAAAAGAAACGTATCTTAGCAAAGTGACAGTATACTTGAGATAGTCGATTACATTGCCTATTTGGAAAAACTCTTCCTACATCTTTGAAGTTTCTACTTGCTAATGCTTTTAAGCAATTGACTTTTCTTTTGTTTTATTTTTTTTAGACTTTTAAAATTTCATTCCTTTGACTTAAATTTCGTTCGTCATAGATTTGATGAGCAAAAAAACATTTTAATCCTTACCGACATGAAGAAAATTTTACAGAAATTTTTACTGTAAATTGACTAGTAAAATATCTTCGTGTAGTGATAATGAGAATTTTATTCTATGTAAACCAGTTCCATAAAAAAATATTTCTTCAATCGAATCAATATTTTAAAAAAATAATCCCAGCTTGATTGGAGTTAATTATTAAATTGATATTATTGCATCCAGATTTTGATAAAATATTATCAAATTGTTTGAGAACATTAAAAAGGTTGATAGAACAGTAATGACTTTTTTACTCACCCGAAATTCTTCAGAGACGATATTATCTTCTGCATGTGTATTACTACGTTTTTTTCGCATAAATTTGATGGTATTTTCTGCATCTTGCGCTGTAGCTACCACGGAAATCAGCTCGTCAAATTCTTTTTCCAATCTTGACACGTATGTACACAGATAGATGAATGTACCAATTTGTACGAGAAATTGCGACAATAAAAGATAAATTAAAATGTTCGTTTGTAGGTTTGTGACCTTTGGTCCAATCTCGTTGTTGCGTTCCGTTTGCACCGCACTCATTGTGACAACTTAATAGTTACTGTAGACATTAGTACAACCAATCATTTAACACTCTGAAATCATTCTTCCAACTTTTTTTATTCCATCTTCATTTAATATAACATGCAATTATCGTTAATTTACTTCAAGTAATTACTTCTTAAAAAAAAAATTTGCAAAATATCCCTATCTCATTGGCTAGATGTTTTAGGAAAATTGGAAATATATGAGACTTAAATGCAAAAAAAATAATTTAACATTTGATTTATTGCATGCGATAAAATTCTGGAATGAAATAAGTCAAAAATTATAAAGCATAAATTTTTAATTAATTGACAAATTAATTATTTTAATTATCAAAATAATGATTATCTCTAATTATATACGTTTTGATAACTTAAATAAATGAAGTAGAGGGAATAAATTTTTTTCTATGACTCTAGATTTCTCTCAATTGTGCGAGCATTAAAAACGTTAATGGTCGGTAAACTCATGAAGCTTCTTATCTCATACAAAATTAACTTACTCTTGGAGTAGAACAAGTTTACTGTAAACATAATTCTACTGCATATTAATATGCAACATAAATTTAGAAATTATTTTATTTTGTATCACATTAATATTAATATATACAGTCTATCTTAAAGTGAACTTTAGCTGACAACAATTAGACTGTATTAAATGTGTTTTGTTCTTGTTTCATTTATTAAGATAATTGTTAGACAGCTTAAAATACTTCTTTTATATTTCACTTTTGTTAAGATAGTATTATGTGGCTAAAATGTGAAAATAAACTCAAAACAATAACTCTGTTATTTCATTAAAGATAGGCATTCAAATTAATTTTTGGCAAGTTTGAGAATGCTTTAACAACTTCTGTAATACAAAATCGATTATCAAATATCGTACTTTTTACTTCAACACAATAGGAAACTATTCGTTATTCTTTCAATTAGACCAGAACTCTGATATTTCTAGAAAACTTTGGTGTATATAATAATGCACCAAAAAAAAGTTTAAAGTTTGAAGAATTTATTAATTTAAAAAAAATGTATGTCAAGGACTATTATCACGAGATATTAATGATTAATTATGATATTCATAGTTGTCCAATTAATAATATGACGATGAGATTGAAATTATAGCTACAGTAGCTAATCAAATCAGCGTTAAAGAAATTATTTTTTTTTTTGGAATTGGATTTTGTAAATTATTAACTATTATAAAATTGATTGAATTATTGTAATTAATTATAGTAATATTTGGATAATCTTCTGTACGCTATTTAAAATTTAGAAAAAAATAGATGGTCTGTTGACAACCCGTACTACCTTAAGTTTGAAATAATACAATGTTTTTGTACTTTTTAATAAAGGTAAGATAAAACACCATTCATAATAACATTTCATTATTTCTCTTTATAAAGAAAAAAAAAAAAAGTTAAAGCACTGGAACAAATACTGTCTTTCAATTTAATTTTTTTCTAGTGGTTAAAGTTATGTCTTCCAATAAGTTTTCTTAAATATTTTATTACTTTTTTATTCTTTCAACCATCATCAACCACTTGTGCACCTGCAGATTTGATTTTTTTAACGCTACTTGAACGCAAATTAATTATAATGATAGAAAGTAATTGTCATAATAATATTAAATCAATTTTTAATTGATCTTTTTTTTCTCATTAATATTATTAAAAAGTTTCTATGAATGGATGAGTTGGTATTTGAAGATAATATTTATGATCTATTGCTGAAAAATGGAGTTCAATTGAACTAGTAACTCCAAGTTATGATTGAAAAAATAAATTTTCAGTTAAACTGTCAGTGACAATATTCCAAAGAGTTAGTGTTAACTCACTTGACCTTCTTTAGTATAAAAGAAATGAACTCGGTCGCCAAGTTTCATTTTCTAAGGACAAAAAAACCAACTGAACTATAAAGACACGACAATTTTAACGACTTACAAACAAATACTAAAGAAAACAATAAATAAGTTACTAAAATACAAAGTAAGAGTGAATTGTATAAAAACAAAAGAGATTGTAACAAGTTAAGTTAAGAGAAAAAAAAAAAAATTGGATTAAATTGTAAATTGGAAGAATTTCTATCTCAATAAATTATTGAATTATTTTTCAATTAACGAATTACAACATAGTTGATAATATTTAATTACTTGCATTTCAATTTTATATAATTACGGTTGCAATTCATTCGAATTTAAATATAATTTTTTTTAATTAATAATATTTGCATGTTATATTACATTTCTTTAATTTTCTCTTCTGTTCATTTTTCTTTTGTTTTTTTCAGCACTTCTCATCGTGAATGAAAAAAAGAATCACATTTTTATATCACTACATAATAACAAATGTAAACTAAAGGATGGTTTAGAAGCATTGTTTGCTTAATTGAAATATAAATATTTACACAATAAAAGTGGAGTTTTGAATTAAGAATTGGAATTTATTATTGGCACTAAACAAAGTAGATTGTTATCAATTTAAATGTCTCATTTATGAAATATAACTTAACCGGTAGCCGTCCACGAGAGGACTAGTAGTAAAGTGATGCTCAAACCAACTCAATGGTATTGGAGTTGAAAGTTCAAAAAGCGCTTGCGCTATAGCCTGTTTAGTTTATATGTGTATGCATATTATGAGAGTAGTTAGCAAGTGTGTGACACCAACTTTTATTAACAGCTATCGAGAAATCATAGTTTGGATTATAAAAAAAAATTTAAATGTTAAATCATTGATAAAAGAAATAAAAAGCCATGCAAAAAGAGATCATTCTTGCCTAGATAAAAAATTAATCATAAAATAATTAATAATATTTTTTGTCTCAGTCATAAACTAACATAAACAAATCAGTCACGAGTTTCTAACAAAAAATTCATTTGTTTATCCATACATAGATTGAGACATACAATTATTGTTAACTTGAGGTTAAAATAATTAAATATTTAAAATATTTTGTTGTTTTTTCAACAATTATTTTACCATATTTTACCAATACGATTTTTTAAAAATAAATAATGATCTAGAGTCGTTGGAAAAGTTTCTATAAATAAGTGTAGAAATAATTTAATGATACTTGATTGTTTTTGAAAGATGTAAATTTATAGATGTTCTGTATTCAAAATATTTGTATAATTTCATAACACAAGGCAACAAGAAAGTAACATCTGTTTCAATGAAATAAAAAAGTCACTTGAGTTTTGCACACAAAATTATTCCACATGTTTATGCAGCATTGATGTTACAGTAATGAAAAGATCGAGGAGTGAACGAACATGACGAAAAGAGTGTCAAGTTAATGTAGTTGTATTTTTTTCTATGTATGTAACTTAACATATTGCTGAGTTTTTCTTTCTTTGCTTTAATTCTACCATCTGAACGCGAAATGAGTATAATGGCAATGAAAGTGAAGTACGCTTGTGCTTCGGATATACAAAAATAAAACCGTAAATTCTATCGAGCAGAGTTAACTTGAAAGTTTATTTTTAAAAAAAAAGTCAACAATAGCAGAAACATAAATTGAAACCGAATGAATAATAAAGTTGGTGACAATATTATTTTAAAATCCACGAATTACTTAGATTTCTGCATTTATTTATTAATTAGGAATTTTAATATCATTTACAGTAAAATAACTATGAAATTCATTAGCTTAAAGACAAGATGAGTTTCTCTTGCTATTGATTAAATGTCGTGTCAAATCATCATCTCTTATATGTTCACTACGATAGTTTGCAAACGGAAAATAAAGAGTATTACGATATTAATGAATATCGCATTATCATTCAATATATAAAATTTATTATAATTATTAATTTGATTATGTAATATGAAAAATAATATTTGCAGAATGTGTATCAACTGTACGTTTCAAGATGAGATCGATAACGATTGTCTAGCTCAATGCCCTCCATGTTATAAATACCCTATTCTATTTAAATAATTCTCAAGTTCAGCTGCACCTATGAGTTGAGACAATGAACATTGAAACATGAATGCAGCACCTCTTCATGTGTTAAGTCATAGATAGACCATATTGATTGAACAATGTAGAAAGTAATGCTTCTATTTATCACATGTATCAAATGATATTAATATTATGCCTAAAGGTACTTGGCTACGAAGTTATCATTTTTCTTTGTGCTGTTAATAATTCAAAATTGATTAAAGTTACAAAGTTCTGACTTTCATATAATTCTATATCACAAACTTAATCAGATTAAGACCTTTTAAACTTTCGATCTTTGGGTTTAAAAGCAACAATGAATCTTGTTCATCCATAAAAGACCATTGAATGTATAAATATACTTCATGACTTTTTTGTTTTAATAGTATTTTCAATGATGAATGAGATAAAAACCAAGGAAGTAAACAACATTGTTCTGAAATGAATACTACTTTGATGTACTCGTCACCAAGACATTAAAGAAATTTTTATTTCATCTAATAATATTGAGTATAATTACGTACTCTTTAGTTTCACTATTATAGTATATTAATTGTATAGAGAAGATAATTTATGTGATGATTATAATTTGATGCTTATTTACTGTCACCTCGGTAATGTTTTATATTAAATGCAATGTAAGTTGGTACTGCCATCAGCCCAACGAAAAAAAATAATCCATGTGCCATCATCTCCTGAAATAATATAAGTTATAGGTTATATAACTTCAATTTTTCTTTCAATAGAAATAAAAGAGTTTATATATATTTTTTCTTTTAATATTAAGAAGGAGATTTACTGTACAACTTCTTCTAGAATTTTATTGAAGAATTAAATATAAAAATTGAGTTGTTGGAAAGACAACTTTTTATGAGAACAATATATGATTTGATTTGTTTAGAAACTATATGAAATCGATTTTATTCGATTATTTTACTCAAAAAGATTTTTATAGTATATTGATATAAAAAAATAGTGTATAATAAATATTATTATATAATCCTATGTTTAATTGTAAACTATAACCTCAACTTGTTGAATACATAATAGTTTAATGAATTATAAAATTTACCCATTTTGGTACTGGGTTACGAGGCAAAGTTGCTTGAATTTCTCCTCTAGTTATTTGAACAATTGGATTGAATATTTTCCTTGAAATTTTTAAGCTTGGATTAATCATCTTTACACAAATTCTTCCGTCTATTAAGATGATTTTTTTCTGATAGAAAGATTGATGTATTTGATGTAATGACAGTAACTATGTAAAATTATCACCTTGAAGATGGTGAAAGTATAACAAATTTTGTAGCGCCTCTATTGTTAATGTGTAGAGACAAATTCTAATATTGTCAATAATATATCAAAAAAACAATGGTTGATTCTTTGAGCAAAGTGTGATATGTGAAATAATAATTTTATGTTTATAATTATGTTAAAAAAAAGATATTTAATATGAACAAAAGGTTCTGTAACCATATGTTAATAAGTTATGAATATAAATTTTAATGATTGACAAGTTTTGTCCATATGAGTATCAAAAAATCTGAGTCATAAAAATATTTACACGCATGTGTTCACGTATTTTTGCTAAAATAAGGTATATAATTAAAGAAAATAATATATAACTAATTATTTTTATCATATCATAATAATTTTTATTCAAACAAAATTTATAACCTCTTTTGTTATATCCATAACAAATTATTACTTTTGACAAATGTGAAATTTAATTAGAATAATAAAAAATCAATGCAGATAATAATATACAAATGCTAACTCCAACTAGAATGATATTGAAATATAAATAACAATTCTATTAATTTAAGGTTATTTATTTTTCTACTGATTGTTGTTTGAATCAAACATATGAATGGTACTTTATCGTTACATTAACGTATATAAAATCATTCATAATACATTTTACAGAAATATCATTTTACCGTTATTGTTGTGTGACTAATTTAATGATACAAACTGTACTTCCATGTAATTAATTATTTTTATTTACTACCACCTCTATAATGTTTAATGTTAAACGCGATATATGTCGGAACGGCTAGGACACCAACGAAAAAGAACAATCCATGACCCACTGCTTCCTATAAAATGTAAAAAATTATTTTATATTTTCCAAAATATTCATGTAAATGATGGTATCAACATTTTAAAACAACAAAAGAAACTTGATTGTTTATTGGCAAGTAAGTAAAAATTTATAAACACACTCAAACCTAATTTATGAAAGACATATTTATACAAAGATCTTTTTGAATTTATTTATAACAAACTTTTTTTTTATGTAAATTCCGTTGATTATATTCATTCCATGGATACTTTTCGTAATGGATATTGTATTAGTCCGAAAACTTGAATTTTCGAGTAAGTATAATGCTATTTTTAAACTAATTCATGCATATTATATATAATTGTTTTATAAGGTGAATAATAAATTTTATTCCACAGCACAGGTTATCAAAACAACTCCATTATTCAAATGGATGAATTTATCAAAAGTTAAAAAATAAATGATGTATTTAATACACTAAAAATGAAGAATTATTGGGCAAAGAGTTACATAAGTTTATGGAAGGTAATAGCTAGAAAATTTAACTTACCAAGGTTGATAATTTTCCTCTTGGTAAAGTAGCCATTATTTCTGTTCTTTTTTGTCCTACTAGAGGTGATATTGCCTTATTAGGCTGAATTTTTCTCATTAACGACAACATATTGTTCTGTATATGATTTGCAAATCAACTAGCAAGCGTTGCAACAACTCAGTAAGAACTAAAATTGCATCATGGCAACTAGATGTACCACAATCAATAGTGCATGAGTCAGATAAGTAATTCTTTCACCAAAACAATGAATGAAACAATAGAAAACACATTTACTAAAATAATGTAAAAACTTTTTTTATGTATTATTATTAAAATAATTATCAAAGCTAGTTAAATTTTAAATTTAACAGTATTTTGACAATAAATATCACAGATAATTGCACAGGCGCAAAAACACTTGCACATTTGATTTAAAATTATACTTAGTATCATGTGAGTATAAAATCTAATTTTCACAAAATTGTTTTGCCATTGGTGTTAATAATTAGACTGATATAATAATAATTTTTTTGACCAGATTACTATTTTTGATTATTCAGCTTTTGTAGAAAAAAACAAATGTTCGTTTTTTAGTTGAATCTTTTGGAGTAAGTTTTATTTTGCTATTACAAAATAAATATTCTAAATAAAGTTGAAAAATGATTTTTATTTAAAAAATTCATCATAGCACAATAAAAATAACGACATAATGTAAAAATTCATTTTTTATATTTATGAAGTTCGCGACATCTACAACCGGTCCAGAATTGAATTTAATTTCTTCGATATATCGATGACTTTTAAAGACATCTTTCAAAATAGCAATTACAATTATTTTTTTTAATGAAAAAGGAACGTAATAACCATGATAAATGTTGTTTATCTACCATCTCTATTTGCAATAATAAAAATTTGCATTCAGTTATCGAATGTCGATATAATTACGTTCAATAGAGGTGCTTAGGTATTTTTCCTGGCTTATCAATCCATGGATAAAACCGAGTCATGGCATTGAATGCATAAGCAACAATTTATGTTTTATTATTTACAAAAAAAATAGTTGAGTCGAATAAAACTTGTGCTTCGAGGCTTTTGTGAAATTCCAACAAAATAATAGCAAGATATCGACTCATTTTTTTTTTAAACATCCCACCTCTGAATGTAATTGCAGAAAATTCCACGAGGGCAATATCTTGGTTTTTAAAATACTCCAAAACCACAATATTTTGATAAATCTGGTGTTCATGCAATCAGATAACATTAATAATTATTTATAAATTATTTATATTGTTGAAGCAACGTTTTTCGATCATAAATTGAACTTTTTTATGTTCATAGTCAATAAAGTACAACTTTGGATGGAATTTTACATTATAAGTGAATGGCATTTCTTAAACGTTCCACAATAACCTTTAAACTAATTTAAATAAAATGTATTGACAGTTCTATATAATAAAATTTTAGAATATTAATTTTTTCGAAGCGTTTAAATAAAGATTACATTATTGACTATTGTAGACCACGACTACGATGTTATCTTTGTTACGTAAATTATCAATTGGAACTAAAATTAAAGATGGTATTTTGCCAAATCATATCATGGATACCGCAGAAGATCTTGTTAATAAAAAACAACCAGCCGAGGTTACTGAAAAAGACATCAAAGAGCTGAAAGAAACAGTTTATGGCAAGATATCACTATTTTATTCTATTGTCTAATCAGAATTTGCTAAGTGTTGCACTAAAATAATTTATTCGCTTGCATTCAAGAATATTTAATACTTAAATAAAATTTGAAATCTTTCTTCAATAAGTTTTATTTATGTTCTAGACTTACTCAGGACAATAAAAGATCCAGAAAAACCATTGACATTAGAACAGTTAGATGTTGTTTATGAGGAATGTGTAGATATCTGCTCATCAATTCCAAATGGAACCTTTGTCATTCGAGTCAAGTTCAATCCAACTGTTCCACATTGCTCATTAGCAACACTTATAGGTTTATGTATTAGAGTGAAATTAGAAAGAAGTTTAGTAGCTTCTTTTAAACTTGATATTTACATCAAAGAAGGTGCTCATTCAACAGAAGAAGAAAGTATGAGTTACTTTATTATTAAATAGCTTCAATTAAATTTGATCAGTATTTTTATGGAAGACAATACATTTAAAATAATTTTTACAGTAAACAAACAAATAAATGATAAAGAACGAATTGCTGCAGCTATGGAGAACCCAAGTTTACGTGAATTGGTAGAGAAATGTATAAAAGAAGATGAGTGAAGAATATTTTTACAACTTGTATATATGTATTTTTTATTTATTAATCATCTAGTTATTATTTTAACATGCTCAACACTTATAAATGTTATTAAAAATTTATTGAATAAGCTTTTTATAAAGTGGACCTATTCTTTTATTTTAAAACAATTATTTTGTTGAATTTAAAATTTTATAAATGTACATAATAAATTTTTATTTTAGGTAATAATTATAAAATTTTCTGGAGATTCCAGTGTTCAATACTGATGATACATTACCGAAACACATAATTTATTTTGTTTATAATACAATTGTATGTTAGTAGTTTAAATTTGCATTGGTTATTTTGAACGTTTGATTTTTCTATTACCTAATTATTAAATATAATTTAATCTTTTTTATATTTCTTATTTCAACTACACGAACATAAGTCACATTAGTCATTTTAATAAAAAATCAATATTTTAATCTTGCACTTTCACGAGCCTTAGAACGCTCATGATCCCACGAAATAGTTTCAACATCAGCTTTTTTTTCTGTTCTCCAATTATCACGCCCCTCAGATCTGTAACAATACCAGTAAAATCAGCAAATCAATTCACGACAATTGAAAAGTAATAATAATAATAAGTTATTTTAATTGTATGTCAGGTTGGTTCTTATCGTTTTACAATAGTGCCCAGCACATAAATAATACGAAAGACAATTGAAAAGTATTTGTACATAAAAAAGAAATTCTTTTTATTACCTTTTAAATTGCCAATTACCATTACTTCTCTCTTGAGAATACTTTCTATCTTTATTTTTTTGATTCATACATGGCTTTGTGTGGCATGTATTTTCATAATCTCTTTTAGCATATTTCTTCCAATCATCTTCATTTTTATGATATTTCATTTGAGATGTATCTTGAATTGATTTTTCTAAATCTTCATCAATATAATCAGATACCTTTAATTCACTATACTCAGATGAATTTTTATCATTATACTTTTTTTCCATCTTTCTTTTCTTATATTGCTTCGATCCCTTATTTTCTTCTGGACTTTTTATTATTCTCTCATTCAATTGCTTATTGTCTGGATAGATGTTCGAGTCTACCTAGATATAAAAAGAGGACAACAATTACCCTAACTTTTTATTAAAGCTTTCAATTTATTTTACCTTTTTATTTTTATAGTTAGCTTTCTGTTTTACATCTGGTCCTATAGGATGAGAATAAACTTTCTCTGGTTTCTTCAAATTTCTTTTCTCTCCTTTTGTTTTCAATTCAAAATTTGCTCCATGCTTTTCAAACTCAAAAGTACAATTTATTCCAAGATCTTTAATTTGTTTCATTCCATCCAAGTTATTTTTCATTGCATTTTGCATCAAACATACTTTATGATGAAGCTTGTATTTCATTTTATTGAGTTTTTGATTCATTTTCCGTACAGAAGATTCAATAGATCTTGATAAATCATTAACAAAAGACACGGAAACATCATCAATTCTTGATTTCATATTGTCTTGGAACCTGAAAATAATAAATCAATTATTTAAATTATTTCAAACTAAACAGATATTTATTTTATTTAATAAATTGAATTATTTATTTATAAACAAACCTTGGATTTGGATTTTCTTCTGTTAATTTAGATAACATATTAATACTTTCTATGTTATTTTTAAGACTCATTAAATTAAACGCAGTATAATTGCATCTATAATTTAAACCCGTAGAATCAAAATTCATATTGTCAATCATTGTACAAAGTGTATCAATAAATATATTAACATTTTTAAGTATATCTCCCAGTACAAAATTCTCATTGAGATTTTTGTCATTCATTATAGGTTTCTGTACTCCATTCAAAATGTGTTTCGACACAACTGACGCCAATTCAGGATTCGAATTTAATATCACAAGAGAGTCATCTAAATTTAGTTTATTCATGTCATTAAGCAATTTTCCATTTTTTGCTGGTTTAAAATTAACATCATTTGTCGGCATTTGGGGTTTTTCCAAACTGACATACCAACCAATGCCAAATCCAATTGATACTGCCAATAGACATGCAATTACTATGTGAATACAAGTTGCTGGCTAAAAAAATTTTAAATAATTAAAATAATAAATACGTCTATCTATTTTAAATTGCTAATAGTAACAATACATTTTCCCATTCATTCCTATTAAAAAAAATAACGTTTCAATGGTTCTTTTTCTCATCCAAACTAATTAGAATTTCAATACTGTAATAATTTTTATTATTTCTCCATTTAAACTGTTGAATGAAAGCTAACTCTATATATTTTTAAATTATTAATACAAGTCTCTAAGAATTTCTAAAATACAATATCACAATTAAATTTAAAAATGTTGATAAAGTTATTTACCGTTAAAAAGACATTGTCCTTTGTATTGACAATCTCAGTTATACACTTGCAAATACTATCATCGTTTCTTTCAGATTCCGTTATCACAGATATTCCGTCTGAATCATCATCTTTCAAAGCTGGAAATTGACCAGCTATTAATGTTTCAGGTATTAGAGATTCTTCTCCTCCAAAGTTTCTATCAGATTCTTGATCACCAAGAACTTGAATAGCCTGTGAAAAATATTATTCGCCTTTAGAAATCTAATATACTATTTTTTACAATTGAGGAGTGTCTTTTCAAAAGGTCGTATTTCCTTTACCAATAAAGTCACATTTTATTTTTAATAAAATAAAATATATATGTATGTTTATGAGCTACACAGTACGTATTATGATATTATACTGTTCATATGTATATTATGTGAACAATTCACGTAGTTTTAGTTGTTTTTATGTAAAATTTGTTTATCATGGAAATCCGACCTTTTGAACAAACACTCTTCAATTATTAAATGTGACAGAGAAAAATATATAAGATGTAAGTTTACTTCTCTTGCTACTTCAGCAGTACTTTTTTCATCATCTTCGTCATCGTCATCATCATTATTATCATCATTATCACCAGTACTATTATCAATTTTATTATTTTCTTTGCTACTGTCAACACTTATATTATCACTTGACTCTTTGTCACCAATAATCATCCATTCTTCTGACGAAAGAAGTTCATCTCCAGCATGATCTTCCGAAGATTTAGAGGTTTCATTTATTTGAGCCATTCTGAAATGAACCTACCAATCGTCTATTAATTAAATCAACTTTACTGGTTATAATTATACTAAAATAAATGTCATAAAATATTTGTAATATAAATTAGATTTGATTATAGTAGACTTACTGTGAAAATTTAGGGTCGAAAAGACTGTTGATAACTTTTTGCTCATGGAGTGAGTATTCTCTTAAAATAGTAAAAAGAAAATATTGCGATTTTTACTCATCACATTATTATGAACCACGTAAGTTGACAAACAAAGATATTTTGACACATCTGCGCAGAATATCCGTAAGCAGCATGGCTAAGCTTGCTTAATAAACAACACATTAAATTAATCTAAACAAAAATTTCGTTTAATTTTTACTCCGAAAAATTTAACTGTCACAACTGTGTGTCAATGATGAATTAATAAAAACAAAATATTGAAAATAATAATTATTACTTTTTAATCGACACTCTTTTAGAGTATGTAACATCCAGGTCTAACAAATGACAGTAGTGTCACCTTCTGGACTTAATGTGAGTTCGTTAATCAAAGTGAATAAAAATTTTATATGAAAATAATAAAAAAAATTATGTTGACAAATGTCAAGAAAAAAAGGATTTTTAGGTATGATATTCGTAAGATTGTTGTAAATAATTAAAAAAATTATAACCCTCGTTAACCTTGTTTTAACTAATTTTGGAACTCCTGTGCCCTAGAACTACTCGAATATAAATTTTCAATAATTCAAAATATTATTTTTTATTAAATTTTTTATTTAGAAATATATTAAATAATAATTTCATAGAATAAAAAAAGGATAAACTGATTTAAAGATGTTTCAGTATTATTATTTTTGTTTGACAATTTTCATTTACAATAGTTTTTAATAATAATGAAGAAATGATAAAGAAATTACAGTCATAATAAAAATAACATTATAAATCAATGAATTAGTAAGGTACAGGAACACATCAATGTTTGTCGGCAATATTAGCAAAATTATTTATAAACAGTATTTTCTACAATATTAAAATAATTATTGATAAAGTTCTCTCGTATAAAAAACTTGTTGATACTATTAAAATAGCTATGAATAATAAATAATAATTCATTTGAATTAATTTATTCGTGATTTTTCATTTTAAAATCAAAATTATATCATGATAATTTATAATATAATGATAAATATAGAAAAAGTTTAATGAAAGTTTAGCTAACAAAATTTTTTGTTTAATTTTAAGATTGACAAACGACCTCTTGTAGGCTTTAATATTGAATATAAATTAATTTAGTGTATACAAATAAGGTTCTGTTTATATTAAGCGATCGCATTGTTAAAAACTTTTGAGTAAAAGCTGGTTGTATTGATCTTCATCACGTTCAATACATAATAATTTTAATTATCAAAAAAAAAAAAAATAAAAAGCAATGGTGTTTAATAAAAAAAATTATCATGAGAATGTGTTTTGTTGTTTATTACTATTCATTTAATTATAATTAATCCGCAATCACGATTTAATGAGACGTATTTCCATTAAATAAAACAATAGGAAATAACGTACAAAACACTTATTATTATTGTAAACAAAATATCCAGAAGGATATCACACACTTTATAATCGGTATTAGCACCAATTTATTTTGACTCTGCCTCATAAAATAATAGTGGTGCAAGACAATTCAAAGCCTATACAAAAAAAGTAACATCAATAGTCGAAAAATTATCAATTTCTTATTATGAACAAAGTTTTCATTTTGTTTTTTTCATTATTTTAAATCTTTTAATCAAACTTTTTGGGCCGTAAGTAATCCTTAATGCTTACTAAGTCTTAATCAATCTTATTACTCTAAGAAGGCACAATATTTCGCACCCGATAAAACGTATTTACGATTATTGATATCAATAATCTGTTCCCCAGGTTGCCGCCCACATAGTTATTGCGTTATCGTTTATTTAGTTTTTTTTTCTGTAATATATATATATATTACAATGATTTGTTAAAAATGATTTTTGTGGCACGATGAGACGCAAATTGCATTTAATAAATCATTATTTTTATCAATCAAATATTACGTAAATTACGTAGATTCATTTTATTAGATTATTTATCCATTGGTTTTTCCTATGAAGTAATGTACGTAATATTTTTTTTTCGTTTAGTTATTGCCTATGTCGCGTAAATAATTTATTTATCTATGGAAGTCTACGCAGACCTTTTTTTTAAAATGAAAACTACGCAGGCTTTTTGTACATTCGGCCGGAAAAACTATGGGAAGCCTCTGGAAGAGTTCAGTACTTTAATAATAATTATAATCGTAATTATAATAATAAATGTTTATGAGTTTAAACCTAAATTTTCTTATTAGTATTGAAATGAAGAAAAAAATTTCATGACTTGAAAATGAATAACGATATTTCAAGAAATGATCTTATTAAGTGATGATTAAATTTTTCCTAAACAAAAAAATATATGTCTATATATATAATCTGTACAGTCCGAGAATAAATATTTTTTTTATGATTAAGAATAACAAAGAAAATTATTCAAGGGCTTTCACTTGGGCCATTACTTTTCCTTCCCATAGTGGCAATACTTCCGAGTCATCAGTTATCTCTTCTTGGATTACTTTTGTATCTAAATCTTCACACTCTGTTTTAAAGAAATATCTGAAATGAAAAAGGAAAATACGTAAGTGAAAAGTTTATTAATCATGATGATTAAGGTAGTTATCCCGTGAAAAAAGCTCTCGGCGGATAACTACCTTGACAAGATTAATTAAATAATATTTACCGATAGCTGCCCTTCTTCGGAAGATACTCTTTGAATTGTTTTAATGTGACATTATGTCCCGGAATTTTAGTCCTATACGGAAATTGTTCATCGCAAAAATTGAACACTACAGTGGTGAAATCTCCCATGTCTTGTCGACTTTTGCGTAATGTTGATTGATTTGAAGATGCTGAACTTTGATTATGACTAAAAACTATATCTGGCGATTGTTTGAAAACTCCAGGATAACGTTGTCGGCTTATTCCTGAAGTACAAACGCCTGAACTAGTGCCAATAATGCTGCTCGTACCACTGGAACGAGCTCGATCTTCTTCCAGGAGTCGTCTTCTTGCCTCTTCCAATTGAGTTGGCTGCAAGATTAATTTTTTTTATTAACACCAGTTGAATGAATAAAGTAGAAGTAGAAGACTAAGTAGAATAATTACAGTATGAGGTTGAGGCAGTAAAGGCATTCCAGGATCACCCAAAAATGGCTGTGCTCGTCCACCCCATTCCTCTCTGCTCGCTCTCTCCAAAGAGCCACTTCGCGAACCATATTTCTTTCCATGTCGTATATGTTTTCCTTCTATTTTTTTATCCACTTGAGCACGCCACGATTGAATACGATCTTTACTGGCAGTCACATCACTAACAACACTAACGCCACTGTCTGTTAATTCAGTCATCGATTTCTTTGTTGCTGATCTTCTCGACATATCTGACCTTCGGAATCTTTGATCATGACCTGAAAATAAATAATAAATTGAAGATTTTTGATCTAACTTGAAATTTAAAGTCAAGCAGAATATAAAGTATCTCTCACCTTGAAGATAAAAATCTTGTTTATGAAGAGAATCAGCATATTCAGAAGGCACAGACTTTGATTTTGGTATATGGGAACTAGAAGAGCTTATGGAGCTGGCACCGGCCAAGTCATTACCTTCCGGAAAATCATGAATATTACCACTATCAATAGAGAAAGTAGAAAATACATCCTTCTCTTTTCTCTGCTTGTAAGACCTCGAATAAATATGCCCTGCAGAAATTTTCTTACGCTCTGGTGAGTGTGGATTTTTTGGGGATGCAAATCCAGGTGATCTTGACGGTGTTGGATCAGACCAAACACGAGAAACATGTTGATCGAGGATAGCTTGATCATTGTCATCATCGATCGTCAGTTTCTCACGTAAAGCATCGGCAAGACCTTTCGGAGCAAATTCTGGTTCTCCAGCTATTGCTTCCCCTTCTTGAAGATGTCTTTCCAATTTTTCTTGATTCTCTCTATCACGTTTGACACTCTCCAACTTATCAAAAAGGATTTGAGCAAAAACTTCAGGCTTTGACGGTTTCATTAATTCTCGAGAGACTCTTTGAGTACGAGGAATCACTGTGTGATGGGACATTGGGTCTCGATTGAGGCTTGCTGATTCCTTGATATTTTTACAGTGTCTTATGTACTGCTTTTTGCTATTCCTAGGCCGGCCTATTGACATTCCATCTCTAGAAATAACCAAGGAAGAAAAATATTATCATTTCTATCACACAATTTGATGTTCTGATGATGAATAATATCTTCAGATTTATACTTGCCTGTTCAATGATTCATTTGAATAATTTAAAAAAAAATTGAATAAACTACAAAAATATATACACTAAAAAAAACTAAGGAATTTGTACACAATTAAATACTTACACTGAAGAGTCTGTTAGTGACATATTGTCAGACTCTGTTCGCGCATCGCTGCTCAAACTCTGGAGTTCCGAATCCTGTCTGGATACTGGGTTGTAAGAAGAATACTGAACGTGCGCTTTGGACAACGGCATATGGTATGGACTAGTTCCAGGTTGCAAGTAAATTCTATTCAAACGTCACACAAAAATGCCAAACAAAACTAATTAAAAAATAAATAAAGCTAAAAACAAAATTACAAACTAAAGTATAAAAGTCTCTATTAAAATTGGTTGAAAATAATTTTTCTTAATCATCAAAATAAGAATAATAATCATTTGGATCAAGTTAAATTAATAATAACAGTGCTAATAAATTAGTAGAATGGAATAGGAATATAGAATATTCTAAAGTTCAAGCAATCAATAAGTAGATTCCAGGCTTCAACATCCAAGATGCAAGTTTTATTGATAATCATGTCTATGAGAGTGATTGAATAAAAAAAAACGTACCCAGCAAATGCTTCTGGCTTAGGTCGAAGATCCATGGCCCTTGTCTGCTGAGTTGCCATAAGGACATCTCTAGTCAGTCTTAATTCACTGGGAGATCCGCATGCAGAGTGCGTGGTTCGAATTGAATGAAATTCAGTATCTTCATGAAGTGTTGGTAACAAATTAGATCCGCACGATAATGACATTTCTCGGCTAGAGCTTGAGCTCGGACAACCAGCAGAACCTGGATTTTGGCAGGCTTGAACGTACTCAAGATACATGTCTGATCTCAGGAAGTTTGGATAGGTTGTTTCATTTATCAATCGCTCAACTTCTAATTGAACAGCATCAAACACTTTATCATCTATTCGACCTTCTTTTATTCGACGACTTGCTTCTTTTCTCACCTCTTCAGGAATTGGAAAAGGTGATTTAAGTAAAAACCTAGAATTATCATCAATAAAAACATCAATTATTTATATATTCCAAATAAAATTAATTAATTAATTTGTATTGCTAAATGTTACCTTCTATATATGACTTTAATCAACTGATGTCTCTTGGCTGGAGCTTGTTCCTTAAGACCCTCGCATGCGAACCAAAAATCAAGAGGGTTAGCATACTGTTTCCCCTCTTGATCAAGATACTTTTTAAACAAAATAAGACCGTCATGATCCTGAAGAAGAGAGTGGAGATTACGTGCCCATCGTAAGCAGGCTGGTGGTGAATTACTCTCCATGATGGTATTCCCACAACAACCCTCTGGCTCAAATCCAAGTGGCGCCGAAGCATCGCCGGATGATGTAGACCCTCGAATACCTAGAGATGAACGTCTAGGTGTCAGAGCTGGACTTTCTGTACGGAATTTGGTGATATACGATTCCGTTTCCTCTCCTGAAACAACAAAATCATTGCCATAAATATCATAATTTAAATTTTCGCGCGTGAAATAACGCCAACTAGTAGGAAGAAAAAGAAGTAAAAGACCAGCTGTAACTGTTATTGTTTATGAAAACATTTTGATGGTTATGTTTCCCAAAGTTGTTGTCTCTCAAGTTTATTGTTATTATTAATAAATAAATAGATTTATAAAAATATGAATAATAAAAAAAATAGTGTCTTACCAGGCACAGGTGGCCTTGGAGAGTTTTCATTGAAGCAACGTGCTTCGTTTCGCCGGGATCCACTCATCCTATCTGTCATAACTGTCAAGTGATTTCTTTTTGTTTCGTTTTTCTAAACTGAATTTAAATCCTTGCCGTTTTCTAGTGGACATGGCTAAATCAAATCTGTGAAAAATAATGAACCAAAAGTCAGTATATTTATGTCTGACCATATAAAAGGTTCATCTACTGAAATGAAAATATTTCATTTTTTAATAAAAAAATTCAATTATTTATTGTTTAATTGATGAAAATATAATAGAAAACGGCTGAGAATAATGAAGAGATAACAATGAAACAATCAAAGTCAATGTACCACATGATATGGTATCGATCGTTATAGGAGTTTAGGGCTGCGCAGGGCTGCGCAGCCTTCAGCTCAAATTGTGTTCATGAACAAAAGATCATTAGACCGTGCAATATGGATTGAAAAGAATATTGCTATGACTCATATTTCAATTATAAACGCGTACAATCCTCTTTCATACGCTAAAAATTATAAGGGTGAGCTTGAGAGCCAAAACCCATAGAATAGAATAGGATCCTATGGGCTGCGCAGTCAGATGTCTTCAATCATTACCATTGGTCTGACAAGTAAGACTGTGGGTTATTGATCTTAAAAATTCAAGTCTAATCTATGATATTGCTTTTAGGATACTCAACATCGACAATGGACTTGAAATAATTCATACAAAAAAAAATAATAACAATCTTAAGAAACATAACCTCTACTAGAGGCTGACTGGTCACATGGCATGAGACAACACACACTCATCTACGATTAATACAAATATTATTATTATTTAATGGTAATTGTTGATGCATTAGATTGATTATTAGATGATTTAATATCAAGCCTGATGATGATAATAGGATCTATTTTTGTAGAGATGAGATTTAGGAAATTAAGGGAGCATACATAGGATGTTGGAGATATGGTATTTTCATCAGGTGGTGGATGGTTTTTTATTCAAGAAAGTAAATAGAAGCCGGGTAATATAATCGCTTGAATTATGAAGAAATAGGCAAACATAAAAGCTGTCATAATCAATCACTTTAAGATGAATGAAAGTTTGATACCTGGTTTAGTTTTTGAACAACAATAAGTCTACATACCCATATTAATGGTAAACACAAAAAGATGATTCTATGGTGGAACTATTATTTCATAAAAATCTCTTAGTTCTGGATCGTATACGAAATATAAGTGTGTTATTAAATTCACCGGTAGTAATATACCGCCTATTGTCAACTATGTAAGTAGAAAAGCAAAAATCACCAAACTGCCTGCGCAGGCTATCACTGCTAAGGTTGAGAATGGACTGCGCAGCATCCTGACCAGGATTGAAAATACAGCTACCACAAGCCAAATCATAATCTACGTAGGGAGAATTGAACAATAGAGTTATATCGATTGATAAAAGAAATAACTGATTTGAAAAAGAAAATTTTTTTTTTAATTCAACTTTTTTTTTTGACAACTTGACAGTTGGTGTCAAGGAGTCGAATCACACATGGTGCAAGATGATTCCTAAAATATTCAGAATTTTATTTACAAAATTACGATCATTCCTAGAACAACGGTTTATTGTTTATCAAATAGACAACTTAATTTTTTATAAATAAATAAAAAAAAAATTTTTAAATGTTGAAGCAAAAAAATTAGTTTATTCATGTGAGTATTTTTTTTTTAAGTTGAAAATAAATTGAATTAAATTTTTTAATTTATTTTTAAAATTTTTTTTAGCGCTTCATTATTTTTCTTATGGAAGAAAAAGTTCTAAAATATTAAAATAACTGATTTAACAAGTGAGCGTTAGTACAGAAGCAACAGATTAAATTTAAAAAGAAATAAAAACTAAAGAAGATTCTAAAATGTTAAGATATTTATGAAATATGCATAAGATGCAACAGCTTACATCGACATTAGACGATTTAGCGCTCTATATGCTCGGCCAAGACTTAGTTGAACGGTCGATAAAACAAGCTCAATAGTTGAAGAGAAAAACGTTTTTATGAATAAACAATATCTTCATGTGTATACACATTATTATTTATTTATACATCACTGTTGAAAACATTGTTTTATGATATATTTTAAATTTTAATTCAAGTATTATGATGAAAGTGAAAATTTTAATTACTCTAAATTAATAGATAAAAATGAAAGAAAAAAAAATTATAAAGTGAAAATCCACGGTGGAGTAAAACAAAGCGGTAATCCATGAAAAGCATTTTACAGCTGCATACTTTATTCTATGATCTCCATTAACCCGTAATGGAAATGTCTTTGATCAAACTACTGCAATTTTTAATAAAAAAAAAATTACTTAAATATATATCAAACTTTTCAGCATAATTTTCTGTACATCATACTTAAATTTCAAGGTCATCGAAGATGTGTAACCTAATCTGCATAATTACCAAAAATTATCACATTTTAAAAATCTTAAATCGTGAAATGATCGTATCGAATCAATGTTCCTAACGTGCACTGATAGACGTCAAAATGTTCTTGTGTCAGTGAAGAGAGTACATTTATCGTAATTTATGTATAAAATGAAAAGAAAAAACAAGATGAAAGCAGTAAAATCTCTTGAGTGAACATAGGATGCAGGGATTGAAGGGAGAAGAAGACTGCAGCAACGCGCCAGGTAACTGCTATGCGTTTCAGCATGGTGTGTAGTGTCAGTGAAAACGACTAAAAAAGGAGAGAGGAGAAAAGAAAAGAAGCGGAAAATAAAAAGCAAGAAGTAAAACTGCGACTACGGCATGGCGGCGGCGGCATCGCTTGATGTTTGCCGGGCCCGTAATTACAGGTTTTCGGAACGCCTCGCTTGGTCAAGCTACGGAGCCGTTCAAGAGTAGAGAGCAAGTCTGAGAGGCTGGTAACCTTTACAACAGTCTGTCCGACCATCTAACGGGTGTCAGACAACGAACTTCACTTCAATACTACCTTATATTATTTTATTTTATTCTTCTTCCTCCATATATTATGAATTCTATTCATTTATTTATTTCACATCTATCTATATTTTTTTTTTCAGTAACGCCCGTAAAGCAATAGAAAAGAAGTGTTTTAGCATATTTATTATTACAAATATTGAAAAATTATAAATGAAAAAATATAGAAATATTATCTGGAAAAAAAAGCTGACAAATGATCGTAATAAATATTGAAGACACTAATTATAATTTTAAGACCGTTAAGAAAGGGAGAACAACATTATTATATTGAGTCGTCAAAAAAGAAAAAGAAGGAACATTGAGTGTTGGAATAGAGAGTGCAAAAGAGAAGGAATAAAATAACTTGGTTATGTATATGGTTGTATCCTGAGTGTATGTGTGTATGTTGTAATATGTACGAGGAAGAAGAAAGGCAACTTGCTTCGTTTCTTTGATCTTTGCCGACATCGTCACCGGTACTGCCACCTCTGCACGCGATCCCGCATATGTGTACACTTAAATACTGTACCACACTCATAAAATAAAAAAAAACTTAACATAATTGCCGGAGAATTTCAAAAGTAAAAAAGTATACAGTATATATGGATAAAGATTTTAATAATTTAATAAATGAGATATATATATATATATTTAAAAATACATAGTTGGTTTAGGTTATGTTGAAGAATATTTTTCATTTATTCATAAAGTTTGTGACACTGACCGTCCTCGATTAAACGATGAGGTCGGTAGGCCATTGGTGTTGGTACAAAAGGCCAAGTGCGAGCCTAAAAGAAACGTACATGTATATGGTCGAATGAGAGAACAAAGTGGCGTCGCGTCAAGCTCCAAGATCCCTCCGAGAGGAGCCCTAAGCGACCAAGGAGTAGTATGGAGTCTAGTATAGTCCCAGAGTGTCGAGTACGAATAGAATAAGAAAGACGGATGGAGGAGGTGGAGAAGTATAAGTAGAGGACACAACGAAACTTCAAAGGACTCTTTGATGGTTTCCGCTGCTGGCATCGCGAGATCTTGATAAACCCGCATTATATGCTGCTAGTCTACTATCGTACCGTCTCGTCTCGCGCCTCACTCAACTATTTTTCGCTCTCACTTTTTCTCTTTCTCTCTCTCTCTCCTCTTTCATTCCGTCATTTTATATATAAAATTTGAATTCAGAGTTTATAACAATAAATACGTAAAATGAAATAAAAAGAAAACCAATGAAAGGTTACTCGTTAATTAGAATTATATTTTACACTTTTGAATTATCCATTAATTAATTAATGAGTATTTTACGAATAATGCTTTTTTTTTATATATAAATATAATAAATGATATATTTAATAAAAATGTCAATTTTGTTTTCTTTTTAATATTATTTCTGCATTTTTTAGAACTAAGCTGAGCTTTACTAACCTCAAACCACCTCAAATGTTTTGTAGTAAACTGTACAATTTTTATTGGTTTTTTTAATGTAAAAAATATTTATTAATATTCAGAAAATTAGTATGGACATCGGAAAACAGATATTGATAATATAAGTACAATAATAATTGTAGAATAAATTATTTTTTAGCATAGAGCTTGTGACAAGTGCGCTCGCCATGATACCTTAAAATACACTCAAAAATTATTTATTCTATGATTATTATTGCACTTATTTCTAAATATTAATAAATATTTTTTACATAAAAAGAACAAATAAACATTGTAAAGTTTGAAAGAACAAAATTAAAGTGTTTTGAGGTTAGTAAAGCCCAGGTAGTATGGGTTGTCAACAGACCATCTATTGGCTTCTAAATTTTAAATAGCATGTGAAAGATTATCAAAATATTTCTGTAATTAATTACAATAATAAAATAAATTTTATAATAGTTGCCAAAAATTAATTTAGCTGCTTATTTTTAATATAACAACAGACCTAGTGTTCTGAGTTTATTTTTATATTTTAGCCATACTACTTTAACATACCTGAATGATGGGTTGATTATTCTTTGTGAATAACTCAATAATAAATATTTAAATAAAAACGATTGAAATATAAAAAATACAAAAAAAGATCTTGAGTAAAAATTTACAAGTGCTTCCGTTAGCTGATTAATCTTTCAGCAATCATAAAAGCTAAGTCTGATTTCCCTTTTGTTTGTGAAAAGAACAAAGAGTTGGCTTTTACTCTGAATCCATGGAGACAAGTAAAAGGTATATGCTTTTAAGCCGATAAACGAGACAAGTGATATCATAATTGATGAAACGCCTATTTGGAGTTACATTTGACGAAATAACAGACATAACTATACCCTAAAGTACTTGAGAGGCAAAGCGCAAAGGCGATGGTTATGTCAGTTAGATCACTTGAACTAATGTGCACTCTTGACAGATCTCCAGGGAATCCCCTTCAATTGCTTTCAATGATTGACAATTCATTAATTTCAGGATTTACTATGGATAATCGAAAGCTTTGATCATTGTGTTCTCTAAACCCTAGGTTATCTCACTATTTAATTTTTCATCTTCCCTCTTTTCCTCCATTTGCATTACTGATAATTACATGGACCTAGTATTCCAGGAAGATAAATATCATAGATAAGTAACAGAAAATAATCTAAATATCTGACTCATTTACCTTTTTCTTCATCACAAAATTTTATGCTGAACATTTGACTCATTTTTACTATTAAAAAACAATTAATTGGATGATGTACAAAGTTAACATTTGGAATTTTCATGAGAAAAGCTATCCATCAATTAATTTGTGAACTATTAATGGTAAATTGGATTTAAAAATTCAATTAAAAAGCACATATTTGATGCTATTGGATAAAATATCTATGAAAATTATAGAAAATTCTACTTTTGTAAATAATGATGATACATAATGGATGAAAATAAATCTTTCGTTATATAAATATGGTGTTTTATGCTTTGCTTTTTATATGCGGTAAGTTTTGTAGGTTGTGAGACTGCTGATGAACACGCGCATAGACAAGCGCACACGCACAACGGTACACGCGGAACATAAGAACACGAGTGAGTTGAAAGAAAATGTAGAAAATGATGATCAAGTTAGATGAAATAGGTAAGAAGAAGTGGACGAAAATCTATGACATAATAAAAATAGAGATGATAATGATGAATGGAGGAATACTTGAATATAAAAAAAATGAAGATAAAAAGTAAAAAATAAATAAAAATATTTAAATCTAAGTAAATAGCGATGAAATGATTTTCATCACCTGTCCGACGGCGAGGGCGATGTCTCAAGGAATTGATGACACGCGGTGCAAGCGTCCGTGTTGTAAAACAACGGACACCTATTTATCAGGCTTCCAAGTGTTGTAATTATTCCTTCCGAGGCTGGTTTTATAACTATCACGATACTGAAAAACTCTTGTCCAAGCTCATGTTTTAATTCACGTCTCGCTAGACGTATCAACTCTCAAAGTTGAAGAAAAGATCGTTGCGCATGGCGCGTACACCACAACGACGCGAAAAAAACGACTTTGTCGTTTACAATTTATATTTTATCTCAACACTTGATGATTTTATTCTCAGTTCAACACTAATTAAACACCAATGGACACATGATAATGCACATTTTCATTAAATATACATCACAAACATACTAAAAACATTAGGCAAACTCACAATAATATCTACCAAACACCACACCGTTGTACATCGTCGCCATCAACTGCTTACTCTCTTCTCCCACTTTTTCTTTTTTGCCTCTTCTTCTTCTTCTGCTTCTTTACCTTTCCCTTCCTTTTCTTTCTACTTGTTTCCTTCTTCGTCTCCGCCTCCGCTCTGCCACCTAGGCACACCTAAGTAGACTTCATGACTGTTGAGAACATGATTTGTCAGGCTGCTTTCCTGCTGTTTTGTCTGCCTGCCTTTCCTGTATGCTTCTCTCTTTCTCTATCTCTTTTTTTTTCTCATCTTCTACTCTATCCTGCGCTCTACTCCCAAGAGTTAAACTCATCGACACTTGCGCACCCTAGTGATCATTTTATTAACTTGTAACACTTATTACCCTATACCAGCCAATCGAATGAATATTTCATTTGCATTTCAAATTATTTTAAATGAGTAACCATCAAGGAAAAAATGATCAAACGAAAATAGGTGTAATTTTTGTTTCAAGCTTTTTAGTGGTCTATTGAACACAAGTGTTATTGCTGCAATGAATCAGAACAAAGGCCGTTTGAGCGTGTACTCGGATGACAAATGTTCTACTTCCCTTTGATCTTCAAAAGCCTTTGTTTCATCTGTGCTTGAGGCACACTCGACAATTCATAAGGGGGGAAATGGACGAATACCTAATTTTTATAACTAATTTATGTCTTAAACACTTTAGTAATATATTAACTAAACGATCGTTTATTTATAATTTCACCAATAAAAATTAATTCATTACCATCTGATGCAAATTCATCGCAAATAAAAGCAACTAACGTTTTGTTTAATTAATTATTATTTAAATAACTATCAAGTAATTTAAAAACATTTTATTTGTTTAATAAATCATAAAAAATATTTGAATTTTTGAAAATTAAAAAAGCGCGGGTTTTTACATTATCATCTATCGATATGATATTGTTGAACACATGATAATTTATCGACAGAAACTTTTGGTTTTTGAAATAAGCTGTACTTTTTTATGGTTATGTTATTCAAAATTTCTTATTAATCCAAGTATTTAATTAAAAACATTGGAAATAATTAATTTTATAGATTAATAATTCAATGTATGAGTAAATTAATTGATTATATCGTCTTGGCTACTGAATTTTTGGACTGACACTAACTAACGTAAGTATTTTAATAGAACTAAGATCTTGCAAGTAGAAATAACCTCTATATTTTTAAACATTTCAGTAAATTTATACAAATAATAATGTCTAAATACGTCAATCTTGCAAATATGAATACTGGCTATGCCAAAAGAATGAATCGATTAAGTGCTCGAATATTTGGTGAGCCATTAAGACCAACACATAATCGATCAATGAAAGTTGTTAAAATATTCAGTGAAATGCCAGCTGATAGATGTCCAGAAATAACATCTTACTATCCTCGACATCCAGAGATTGGATGGTTAATGAGGTGTTTAAGGCTTTATGGACTCTACAGAGATGAACATGAAGATTTCAATGAAGAAATCGAAAGATTGAGAGTTCTACGAGGTAAAAAACCTCGACATGGTTATCAAGGGAAGAAAGATAAAAAAGAGGCAAAGTAGAACTGTGTTGACAATTATTACTTTATTAATACAATAAATGATATTTATCACACTAATAATATATTATGATTTATGAATAATTTTAAAAATCTCAAACGTCATTCCCTGATGGATTCATTTCAATCAAGGGTTTGCAGTTGGGTTAAAAGTAATCTCAGCATTTACTTAAAGATATTTTAAAAACACTTGGATGTTACACATCAGTTAGTTAACCGATTTTTTATCACCCATTGTGCTCGTCGTTTTAAAATTAATAAAAAGATGCTTCAAATCTATCAGGGTCATTAATGACAATGTCGTCAATATACAAATAAAAAATGTTCTACATGATTTATAATTCATTCTTTCGATCTCCTTGTTTTTTATTTTTGTCAGTCTTCGAGTCTTTAGAGTCCTTTGATTTACTATTATTCGCTTTATTTTTCTGGAGTTTATTAGAATCTCCTTTTTCTTTCAAGCAAGAGTCATCTTCACCCACTAGTGCTCTGTCACTACATAGATATCTGAAATTCAATTTTAAATTAGAATATTTACTGAATGCAAATATGAAAAATACATACTTGTGAAGAGATATTTTTCCTTGATGATTAAAATACCACTCTTCTATGTCTGCTTCATGCTCTTCAAGCAAATCTTCACATTGAGATTTCAATGTTGTGATTTCCACTGATGGTTTGTCCCACAGCTCATACGGAATTCCTAGTTCTACTTTAACACCTTTATCTCTGTAGAAGAATGTTGAAGAAATATTATAAAAAATTCGAGTTAATGAATATAAATTATTAAACATCGTTACCGTACACTAAACCATGAAGAGTTTTAAATGTCTGACTCATTCCTTTGGCAAATCTTGTACTGTCTTGACGTTCTTTATGAATATTATATTCTAAAATTCGGTCACAAATATTTTCTAAAGATTCTACAAGTCTTAGTTCACTAGAAAAAAAATAACAATCAATTACTAGATCTTTTTTTATTTTATTGAAATATTATTTTACTCCACTTACGATTTTTTATACTCCTTCCTTTTCTTTGGAGCAACATCATCTACAGAGTACCCAATCTCCAAAACATCATGAGTTCTTCCCGTTTCGTCAAGTCTAGCTTCGAGTTCATGAGCAACAACTTTGCATGCTAAAATATAAAAAATGGCATAATTTATAAAATAATAAAACATTAAAAGACTGTGTCATCATTCTGAAAAAATTTATCAATTATTTAAGAATTTCTCTGGAAAATTATATTATTTATTTAACAAAAAAAAAAAAGAATCATTATTATTTTTTACCTTCACATTTATTAGCATATTTAACACCTTCCTCTTCTTCAGGGCCGGCAAGTATTTTGCCAAACAATAATAAACACAGAGCAACTATTTTAAACATCTTTGGAGTACTCGAACGCGACATTTAGGTTATGTTTAATCTGATTATGTATATGTGTAGGGTAGGCACAAATTTATTATTTAAAATTTTATGAAAGCACAAAATTGTTTTAAAAATCCTAATATTTGAATAAAAGTAAATAATAACCTAAAAATTTACAAAAATTACAATAAAAAATTAAAAGAGCTCGGTTGGCATCTAATTGTTGATTATCAGTACTATTATTTGAACTAACAAAGAAAAAAGATATTTTAGAAGAACCACGTATTATAAGTGAAAGCTTTTGGCCGAAAGTTTTCTACCTGCACCCTTATTTTATACCTGAATGCCAAACATGGTGGTTCTTCTAAGCCATTTCTACTCTCTGATACTGTAATATATTTTCTCTACAATACTATTTCACCCGCAAAAATGTTTATATGCCATTCAATTAGTATTTTTATATTTTCAATAAATTTTTTCTTCATAATAATTATCATTTTTTAATGTTTTTATTAATTACATAATTCTCTATGTTGTATATTCTGTAAAATCATCCATTCGCACACGTTCACTCGATCTTTGTTCATCGATTTGTCCAGTAGAATTATTGTTAGATGATTCCTGGAGTCTACGTCTTAGTCGTTTTATATTTCTAAGCCTCTCAAGCCAATTAGAAGCGTAAGGACTGTGTCCTTTTTGTTTTAATGATGATGACACCATTGATGCAAGCTACAAATAATCATTCAGTTATTAACCTATAATTAATTTATTTATTCGTAGCATTATATCTACTTACATTAGCATGAAGAGCTAATTGCCTGGTTAGAATACCTAGATTTTGATCGGAAATAATTTTCAATTCACTATGACCAATGTGTTCTGCAAGTTCTTCTCTCGCTTGAACTGTCACTTGATTGGTGCCATGATCCAAGGGTTGAATTACAACGCAAGCATAGTTGAATTGGCCCTGGAATATTTTAAACAAATAATTAGATAATAGCTATGAGTAAATATTAAAACAAATTACCTTCACAGTTTGAATATCATAAGATTCACCACTTTCATTATACACAATCGTGACATAATCATTTCCAATATGTTGCTTTTTCTTTGTACTTTTTGGATCACTTTGTTGAGTTGGCATGAGAGTAGCAACATGAAAGGCAACTTGAGTAACATCATCCTGCCAAATGTAGGTAAAATTACCATGTTCTCCATTACGATCAAGTCCACCAAGGAAAACACTTTCATCTACATCCTTCAAACACACTAGAGTGCCTAAACGCTGGAGAAATTCTGCATATCTCAATGAACCATGTTGATTAGCAAGAATTTCAGCTTCATTAGATGCCTGACCAGCTCCAATATATAAAACTCCAATTTTATGAGTCTCATAAGGTTGAATTCTATCAAAATTAGTTATAGCTCTTTGTAAAGGTGGTGTTGGAGACACTAGAAGAGGTTTTTCGTTTGTACTACCAAAGTACGATGAATGATAGAGTTGGAGAAATACAAAACTTGGGTTCATTCTGGTTTTTGGTAATTCTTTGATGCGTGGAGATGCCCGAGGAGGCTTGACAGGTGACATCACTGAAATGGTATGTCCACGATCACGAAATGAAAACGGTGGTAAAGCTGATGGATCAGGTCTATCATCTTTCTTTTGATCAGACCGATCATTCTGATGAAATCTTCCGCTTGGTGGTTTGCTTTCAGTTACACTTGAAGACATTTGTTTGACACTTGTATCTGTTGATAATGTTCGTGAATAAGTTTGTGTTGGACTTTGAGGTGGTTTTGACAATGATAAATGATGCTGATGATTTCTTGGAATTGAAAAATGTCCTGAGGATTGAACAGCAGTTGGTGATGCTGGCACTGTGTTACTATTAATATTATTGTTATTACTATGGCTACTACTGCTACTACTACTGCTACTACTACCACTATTATTCCCAGTTGGTTGAGTAGTTTCAGGATAGGAATACTGTGTCTTAAGAACATTGGAATGTTCTCCAGTAATTTCTACAGATGGTGGAGTTGTCCCCATTCCAGATATCTCTTCAGGAATAGCTTCACAGCTGACTCTCATGTCTTTAGCTACTAAAAAATAATTATTTTTTCCATGCTTTCCATCAAACTCAGCTGAATTGGTATTGTCAGATTGAATAATTAATTTGTCTTTATTGAGAAAAGGATTTTTCCAATTAGCACTCATTTCTGGACTGGAATTGGATCTTCTGACTGGATTTCTCGACTTTCTCAAGTCATCATCTCCATCTTCTAAACTTTCAATACTATCTCTTGAGCTTTGTCTCGACGTACTAAACCTTGCTCCAGGCGATCCAGGTATAGTGATAGGTCCAGTTGCTTTAGAAGCAGTAGCCTGATGTTCATCACCAACTGCTGCCGAATTTCCATCTGATTTTTCCTCATTTTCATCTTCAAATGATTCTGTAGTTGTCGTATCTTGACTTCGATTTATCCAAGTATCTGATGTAGGCATATAAAGTGTTGTAATATCATGCATTGGTAATTCAAATGAGCCGTCAAACTGTCCTGAATTTTGAATTCTCATAATCCAAGAGACATCACCAGTTGGTCTGCGGACATATATTTCTGCCCATCCCTGGCACCAGCATGCACAAGGTAAGTATTCATCTTGCTTATCATTGCCAAGAATTTGATCTAATTTATTATTCTCTATGTCTTTTTCTCCTGCAAAGTCTCGTTTCTCTATTGTATGTTTTCCTGAATCATCATCAGCAACCGCAGTAACTGATTTTTTTACTTCTTCTGTTGGGGAATTAGTTGCAGTATTCCCACTAGATCCAGTATGTCCTGAAGATTGTCTAGATAGTCGATTTTCTTCTGAAGATCTCCGAAGAACATTTCCACCAGCTTTATATTCTGGTGTTGATGAAAAAGCTTTACAAGCAGTCCAACAATTATCACATAATCCACCTCTCATTGCTTTAGAGCTACATCCACTAGTCGTAACAGTAATCAATCGGTTTCCAAGCAGCCAAGTCATTGATTGACCTTCTTTCAATAAAAAGTCAGCAGCAGGAAGTCGTTTAGGTCGTGCAGTGTATGTAGAAAAGGTATATCTTGCCATAAGATCTAAACAAGTTTCAGTTAATTCAATATTTAAATTCATCAAGTTCTCATCCATTGGAGGTTTTAAATCACTAATTATAGAATTCCCAACGATTGGTCGTTCTCGCCTTCCTCTACTTCCTTGTTCAGTCAAACTCGAGCTACGTTTTCGGTGAGATGAGTCTTCATTTAGGCTGCTAAAATCTTTCTTTAAAAGTCCTTCTAGAGGTTCCAAGACATTACCTTTCAGACCAGCTGTTATAAATTTAACAAAATCTTTTCTCAAAGGTAGACGACATTTTAAAAACCAAATAGCTATGACATAGTGTGCTAAAGACACTATGTAATGATTGTATTTAAAAGGATTGGTATAAGGTAAAAGAATAGCAAAAACCAATCGATATTGATCACAAATGAAACTGGAAAATACTTTAGGTAATCTTGTAAGAGTTGATAAAAATTCCAGAATTGGTATTGCTATGTGAACAGTTGCTGATATTTTAGATAGTTGTTTTAAAACATCTGGTAGTAATTTATTCATAGCATCACGCATTTCTAGAGTACAAGTTGTTAAACTAGTAATACACTGGCCGACACATCGAGTCGTTAATCCTATCTCCAAGCATTTTATCAAATATTGCTGTCGATTTGGATCCAAATGAGCATGATAAGATACTAGGGAAGCTAAAACTGAAAAAACACACATGAGAAAATCACTGAGTGTCATTCTCTGTGGTATATTAAAAAAAGATTCAGATATTCTAAGATGATTATCTGTGACCATTGAACATACTACAGCAGTCAAGTAGTCAATATCATTATTATGTTTAGATAAAATAAGAGCTCGATTTTGCATAATATTTGGCATTTCTTTCAACACAAATTGCAGAACTTTCCAATCTTTTTCAAGCTTTAGACATGATATAATATTTTTACATGCCAGAGCCAATGATAAAGATGTCACTTGGAAAGATACTCGTTGAAGAAATGCTGGACTAACTGGTGGTGGACTGCTGCTACCTCCTCCAGATCCTAAGCGATCAATTGTTGATGGTACATGCTCCAAAAGTAAATATGGACTGAAGTGAGGTGTATTACTAGTTTCTGTTTCAGCAAATCCCAATTGATAGAGTGAATTAACTCGAATTTTTAGAAAACATTTAAAAATTAAATAACGAATTGTAGAAACATGAAGAAATACTTGAGGTTCTTTGTAATGTAATTCTAGATGATTTGCTAAGATCTTGTAGGCTGTAATAGCATGACTAGAAGGCAATCGATAAATTTTCGTTGTTAAAATTTTTATCAGACCAACTACACCAGTCTTAATATCTTTTATATCAGTATCAGCTGTTAGTGGCGTATTTGATGTAAAAGGTCTATTAATAATTTTTTCTAAAATATCCAAAAGTTCCAAACACCTCTTGATTTCACACTCTAAACACAAATCCACTAACATATTAGCTGCAACATTTCTTATTGTTATATCTGGATCCATGTCAACATGTTGAAGATAAGGGACAATTATTTTTTCAATCAATTCGTCTTCATATCGTGATCTATTGATGTGGATTACTTTTGTTACCACATCCAACACTTTTACTCTAATGTTAGTTCTAGACTCTACTGTATAATAACGTTCCATCAGTGCCTTTAATTTTAATTGCCAATGATAATATGTAGGATTGATTAATGATGCTTGGTAATCAATTAACTTAAGCACTGAATTCTCAGGTCTTGCATCAGAACATCGTTCAACAAGTTCATAAAACCTTTGAACTCTTCCATTGTACTGAGAATTGTCAATTAAAAACTCAATGCTATTCAAAGTTTCATGAAGTGGAGGAATTACTTGTTTCGTAGCTGGTTGATTACTTTTTTCCACATGATCAATCACCTTTTCTATAATATCTAGGACTATACTCCAAATAGGTTCTAAAAGTTCTGCACCGAATTTTATTATCAATCCTTTCATAGCCAGAATTACTTCAAAGACAACAATCGGATGATTGCAGTTGAGTGCTTGATAAAAAGAAGGAAGTACTGATATTGGAGTGCATTCTAGTTTAAGAATTCTATTAGCACTCCAAAGTCCCATATTCACATAAAACACTGCTCCACGAAGTAATCTGACATCTCGTTGAAATGTAGGATCTTGAAGGAATCGACACATTGTACATAAAGCTGAATGGCCCATGTGAGTTCCAAGTAATTTACGCATTATTTCCCAACTTATCGAGCAATAACTCTCTACATTAACACTTTTACATAAAGCAGCGATAAAGGTTTGTAAAGAATCAGCTTGGAGTTTATGGTAGCCGACAATTGTCTCCAGTGTTGATAAGCATCCTGAAACAACATCTGCACTGTTGCTACAGCAGCAGAGATGACAAGTGTACTGCACCAAACCAGAAACAATTTCCTCATCAATATAAGCTGAATTATATTTAATAACATTTATTAGTAAAGATAAAAAATCTGCTCCCCTTTGACCATCAACATTTGTTACCAATGGCATCCATTCTAGCAAAAAAGGACCCATTTTTTCTTCAAGATCACGAATGTCTTTTCCATTAGTAGTTAATCGTTGGAGTAATTGTAATCTTAAATATATATCTTCTGGAATTTCGTGGTCTTTAACAATTAAAAAAAATTTCACACGAATTAGTGATGACAGTCTGCTGTATTGACCTTCAACTAGGCAACAGAGAAAATTGAAGACAGTATGCCGGTGTTCTTTTGGAGTATCTTTGCTGAGTAAATCTTTAACCAAGTTCCATAATTTTTCCGCAGCTTTCTCTTCCCAATTATTATGTCGAATATCATCACAAAGATCCTTTATTGCTCGAATTCGATGATGGATCTGATTTTGAGAGCATATTTCTCTCTCTATTTCTTGGGTTAGAATGTGATCTTCATTACATTTGTAGTTTCCTGATAAATATAGAAGAATAAAAATGAAACAAAGTATTAATAGAAACAAAATAAATATAAAATATATTTCCACTAACCTTTATTACTGCGAAAAAATAATTTAAACTTTTCCAAAGTTTTTGTATCTTTTTCTTTGATATTCATTTTAGACATTGTATCATATCTCTACAGGTTCAAGAACCAATCTTATTCAGTTGTTACCATTCTGTAATTAATCAACTTATTACACCGGTTTGTTAATAAATCAACATTAATATGTTTGGAATAGAAAAGATTATCAACGAAATAACAACTACTCTATTTATGTACACTTACATCATTGTCATGTATCAATTTACTGTATTAGTAATTGATAGAATACAATATTAAAATGATTTTTGAAATATAGTAGAAGAATAATTACATATTCAATTATACTTGATATCTATTTTTACATTAATGATAATAAAATTCAACTTCATTTACTTCTATTTAACATAATTCTTTATAAAAAATGATAATATTATTATTCTCTTATGGTTCAATGAACATTGGATTATTTGGAAAATTAACTCTAACCTCAAATGAAAAATTGCATCTGTTCAATCGATTGATGATTACAAAGAATTGCTTTTGATTGAAAGTATCTTTTATTTTCTATAGATGTCTATCAAGTTTATCACAAATAGCGATATTTATTTTATCATCAATCAATATGACGCTTGATCAAAACTGGCCAAATTTTGTCGCTCCAAATAATTGAATAATAATTAGATAATTATTTATTATTAATTCAAAATTGTAGCAGATAAAGAAAAGCAAAATTTCATAGTTAATTAAAAATTACAGAAAAAAATCAAAAACATAACCCTAAATAATTATCTACAATTATAAATTTAAATAAATAAAAATTTTTCGAGTCATTATTGTTAGTATTCTTCATAGCAAGATTGTTTAATTTTTTAAAGTGATTTAATAATTTGTAAAAATATAATATTCATCAGAACATTATTAATGATTGCCGGATGACTAGTCATATTATTTTTTATGAACAGGAAGAAAGTTGTATTGGATAAATGCGAAGATATAAAAAGTCAAAGTCAACAAATTATGAATGATGATAAATCATATGGATGAAAAGTGTGATTTAAAATGAAGTAAAGTAATGTGTTGGTGGTTACAATTGCCTCGATGTACCTGCAAATACGTATGATTAGTAATCCCAACGGCGTATCGAATGACGGACTACTTCTTCCAACCATGCATACTGACACCAAATCCTATATATTAAAATGTTTGTCGACAGAAACTTAAGTTTCAAAGCTATTATTTATTGCTAAGGATGTAATCATCAAAGAATGTTTACATTACGGATTTTTCAATGCCTTGTTTAGAACATAATAGGAAGAAGCATACCTAATTTAATGGTTGATTAAATTCGTTAGTCGTTGAATTTATGGATTGGAGTATTCAAAGACATGATTTATATTATAATTATTAATTTAAATATATTATAAACAATTAATCTCTACATAATATTATTTTTGTTTAACAATAATTACAATTACTTAAGGTAAGAATATTATTATTAATTCCAGTATCACCATAGCATTCAGAAGCTTAGATGAATTTTTTTTCTTTTCAGAATGGAACAATATTTTATGTTTCAACAAAAAATTCTCCAAATACCGCTTGGTTTTCTTGAAATTCTAACGTTTTTCAAGGTCTTATGAATTTTATTTTCGATATGAATTTGAATCGACAAGAAATTGTTCAATCCTTTAAGTCAAATTTACAGTTAGACACGCCCGTGAAGGCTTGCTACTTTGCCTGATTTATAATAGTTAACAAAGTAAAAAGATTCAATAAAAATAATTAGATTGGTTATTTACAATTTCGAGATTCAATTATCAATCAAGAAATTATTCTACATGTTTTTTAATATAAGATTATTTTTATTGTAAAATAATTAGAAAGAAAGAGATTCAGAGAGTTGCAAAAGTATCTTCTTCCCTCCAACATAATCTGAAGACGTGGTGGAAGGAAGACACGATGGACGGGCGTAGATATAAGAGCAAGTTCTCTCGGCTGAGCGTCTGTTTCACAGTACCACCTCTGTGGCATAGAGGTGTTTAACTTCTTCATTACAAAATTTTAAAACTAAAGGAGTTTTTTTTATTATTATCTCCAGTGAATGTTAGGATTTATTTAATAAGAATAACAATAACTAGGTGAGTGCAAAAAAAAATCTTCAATAAAAATGAAAGAATTTTTTATTTGATTCAACCAATAAATAGTAGGCATTAAAATAAATAAATGAGTTAGTGATTACAGTGTCTAATCAATTTTTCTATGGATACAAGTATATATTTAAGTGTTACTGTGAGAAAACCCGTATTTAATATCTCATAGTGATTATAATTATGAGAATCTCTTGCTAACATTATTTATTTCTATTCATTTCTCTCAACTACTAACTTCCTTTTATTATTATCATTTAAAAATTATTATAACAATTATCTTGAGTTCCTGTTATTAAAAGATAAACTTATCTAAACATCTTTACAGAAAGCTATGAAGACTGTGGCAGTATTATTGGTATTCTTTGTGAGCTATTTAGCTTTTGTAAATTCAGTACCAGCACCAAAACTAGTAGAATCATCAGTCAAAGTGGAGGATAAAGTTGCTGAAAGACAGGCATCATCTGGAACAGCAACAACTAGTAGTGACGATGACGATGACGACGACGATGATGATGATGATGTAGATGCTTTAGATCTTGTGGACGATGATGACGATGACGATGACGACGACGATGAACCTCAAGGTACAAAAGGTGAAGAAGATGATGACGATGACGACGACGATGATGATTATATTGAGCGATTCATTGATGACATTCTTGGAGGTAAATTGTTAAGACCGTTATATTTATATACGATTCTTTAGAATAACGGTACACGAAGCTTCGACTCGGTTAAATTAACATAATTCAAGCGTATGCCCTACTTAGTAAAATACCCTACATTTATTTAATTTAAATAAAATTATTGCATTAATTGATTTTAATATAAAAATATATTGTTCTAAGATATTAAAAGATATATTTATTATTAACAGGAGAAGATGATGACGATGATGATGATGAGACTAGTTCCGTTGTGGAACAAGTCCAACCAGCAAGTCCAGTTCAATCGCCTCAGGCACCAGTTCTTCCTGCGAGTGTTCAAGCTGACCTAAATTCAGTTGCTGATGAAGCTTCAGTAGGTGCTGAAAACTTATCAGATGGAGCTCAAGCGACATCAGACACTGCTGGTGAAACTTATGAAGAAGTCGAAGAGGATGTAGATGTTGTACCTCAAGGCCAAGCTGCTGGAGCAATTGAAGGTGGTGAAATTCAAGCACAACCAGCAATCATACAACAAACATCATCAAATGTCATACCAAGTGAAACTACAAGTGATGATGACGACGATGATGACGATGACGATGACGATGATCTTGCCATAGCCGACGTTGACGACGATGATGATGACGATGAAGACGATGAGGAAGATGAGGAAGATGATGATGACGATGATGATATTACTGATGGCATTGACATTGGAGCGCGAAGTGCACGTGAGTTCAAGGGCAAGACAAAAAAACACACTAGCAAGCAATCGCGTAAACATCAGTCGCGAATTTCAAGCCTCCAAAAGAAATCAAGTCTTATTAATATAGTTATGAAAAATTCGACAGGAATTTTATAAAAAGAAGTCAAGTAAACAATTAGTCGAGCTTACTGTTCAAAATGGAGCAATTACTGATGAATATTCCATGTTTTCATCATCTGAAAAATAAGGAGAAGATTCCCCCCGAGATACTCTATCATCTTCTTTATTAGAAAGACTATTAATGATTGCTAACAAAACTTGTTGTTGTTGAAAGCTTTTTTACTATATTTTCTTTTTATTGTGACTATTTATAATTGTTGTTAGTGAGTATTCGATCTAATTGTCTTGCTTTCGTTCTCATGTCTCGGGGCTCGTATAGCTTTTAATAACGTTATTTCTTCCTTCCGGGTAATGGAAAAAGGAAGTAGTATTAAAATACTAAGCTTTGGTAACGTCACGTTTTCCTCTTTTTTTTGCCTGCTAAATGACAAATGTAGATGTGTATTTTCATATTAATTTTTTATTTACTTTCTAGACCATTATTTATTTATTTATTTATTTAATTAATTAATAATATTATTTATACTGCTAATAATTATTGTTATGATTGTTTTAAATTAATGAAAAACAACTAACATTTGTTAAATTTTTCACAAAGCATGTGGAGGCCCGGGTGCGAGTGCGTGTGTGAGAAAATTTACTACAATCAAGAGTGAATTAATTAAAGAGAAAAAAAACTAGATAAATTATTGATAAAATAATTGAATTAAAAAAGTTATATTGTACAGAAAAATGTTTAATTCGGATTTTTGAAGTTATAAAAATACAAATGGCTGTAATTTGTACAAAACTGTGTTATTTTTCTTAGATGGTTCGTGTCCAGAACCTCGGTGTTACACTAAAGTCTAACGTGACGTGCTAAATGCTCAAGTGTTTTAATTTATCTTTCTTAAATAATAACAAGAAAACATATTTTTATCCAATGCAAAAGAACATTTTTTTTAGTAGAAAAATATCTTAACGTAATATAATCTACGTTTCGTCACGTCTTTCTTAGTACCTATTGTAGACTTCTTTCTAATAATATTAGTAGACAATTAAGGTGGACAGTAGACTGTAACAAAGAGAAATAACCTGGACAGAATCAAAACTTGACTCATTTTCATTCATCATTTTTCCTCTTATTGAATATGAAAGTTTAATGAACCAAAAAAACTAGAGTAAATAATTTCTCAGCTTTGGAAAGCAATAAAAAAAGCTAAAACTAACTTCAATGCATTTTGGTGCTTTGGGAGAAAGTAAATGATAAAGAGTTGGGTGGTAGGTAGGTCAATTGATCATTTCTTTTGCCAAAGTAGTGTAAATCATTGGTAAAAAATGGTGTCAATGACCCGGAGTAATTTAAAAGATGACCCTGACCCACTAAAAGAGATATATAAAGGGTCAGAGATTCCAACTTCTCTTTCCCCTCCCCTCTTCCTTCCAGGTATTTTCATGAATTCCTTAAAGTGAGATGCCAGAAAGTGGACTTGTTGATGACCCACATCACAAGACTCGTTTGGTTTAAGAAATTCTGAGCTCCGTTAGCATTATTGACTTGGTATAAGTAGGTTCTCATCATTTCCTCCTTCATTCTTTAATTCTACTCTCCATCTAGTACACCTTGCCACTGGCTTTCTGATTTGGAGAGCGAAAGGAGGTCGACGTTTGAACGTATGACCTCTCGAAAAATGCGAACAAGGCCGGGGATCAATAAATATTTTAAATCATCATTGATAACCATTCTTTCACAGGTGGCTTTGAACCTGAAACTACCAACGATGTTTCCGCTATTTATATAGCTAAGTACAATCAATTTGTTGACAATATTCTGGGAAGAATCAATAAGATACTTAAGAATAATTATGATCCTGTTATCGTCAAACTTACCAATCGTAATGCTGGATATAAAAATAACAAGAAGAAGAAGAGTAATAAGAAGAAAGGTAAAAAAGGACAATTGATTGAAGTATCTAAGGTTGATGACAAAATAAATGTAAGTACAAATAAATGTAATCAATTTTTATTCAAGATTATGATGAGCTTTTGATTGATTGTTTGGATCAATTTTTAGGAAGCTACTACTGTGGAATCACTGCTTAATGAGTCAGCAGTTGAAACTAATTCTTTGAAAAATGATTCTTTAGAACAGGAAATTGGTAGTAGCAGTAGCCGTGGATCAACAAGCAAAGATAAAAAGAAAACAAGTTTGACAAAGAATAAAACTAAATCAAAGCCTGTCAAAAAACAGACTATAAATAAAAATAAGGTATTCAATATGCATTTAAATGTCTCAAAACGTAAAGATAATAAAATTACGAATTTGTTTACAATAACTTCCTAATGGAAAGTTTATAAACGGAATAGTTGTAGGATAATGAATTAATTTTTGCCTTTTAGACAAAACAATCAAAACCAAAACAAAAATCACGAGCTAGAGCTACTTTATATGGTCTTGCATCACTGAAACGATCTGGGAATGTTTCGGTCAATATGATGTCTGATCATACAACAATAAGGACTAAATTTAATCTTGGACCACTTGTATTGAAAGTAGAGAAAGAATTTGGAAGAGCTTCTAAAAAAGAATTGCGAAGTGCAACAGCTACAACAGCTGAGATGTCAGGAAAATTAAGTCTTCGAGTTTTACCTGGAGGAGCTGCTACTTTACATGTTATTCGAGTTCTCCAACCAAGACAGGTAGAATTTACTGATAACACTTAGATCCAAGGAATTAATTTCCTAAGCAAAGTAAATAAACTGATAAAATATTATCTTTTTCAGGTACGTGTGGATAGTCCAGATGATCATGATAGCACGAGAGAATTTATTTGGAGAAAATCATCTGAGTTAGCTCACGTAGTATCCCAAAAACTTTCGATAGCAGCTAAATCAATGCTTAAATCACCACCAACAGCATAAGACTTAATCTCTTTTATTCAAATTAAATCCATTGCTCCATTTATTTATTTATTTATTTATCAACTTAATAGACGACCATCATAATTTATATAATGTTTAAGAAATTAATCAACTTTTACCTATGTAAATAGATATTTTTATTTATCTAATTAAAAGAAGGTAATAAAAATAAGTAATAAAAAAAATAGAAATTGTGTTGAGTTAATTTTTATTTTTGCATCATAATTTAGACTATGATGACCTTGTGAATGCACACATTTGAATGATTGATCATTAATATATACATCATTGTCATTGTGTATGTCTGCGATAAATAACGAACGTAAGATCAATGCAAGAGTAAAAGTTATAGCTACATATACTCCTCCATTTATAATATAACAGTATTTGTGCGTTTGTTCGGTCATCAGTATTCCCCCCTCTCATTTATTCAAGAGACACAACTTCGTCTAATCGACTTGAGTTTACTCAGCACTTTTCGTAAGTTTGCATGTGTCTACCATTCATTTTGAATAATTAATATAATATAACTGTTAAATAATATTTATATTTAGTATTAAATTCTGTTATTGACACTTTTCATTGATTATAGTGATTCAGATCGATCATCTTGTGCAATTATTTCATACTTGTTTATCCTTGATTCCAGTTTTTCAAGCTTTAAGTCTACATTCTTTATTAAATTATTGTTTACGAATCTAATTTTTTATTTTATTGTAAAAAAATAAATCTTCTCTTTTAATAATAACAGTAATTTAATTAAGAACGTAAATAAATATTTATACATACGAAATTTAATTTGTTTTTACAAAAAAACAGCTTCTTCATTAAATCAGCATGGTTGGGTTAATATCAAGATTGAAAACCAAGCAAATGGTTCATGATTGTTTGTCAATCGTTAAGAGAATGTCTACCCGAGCTCTTCGAGATCCAGAAGATAAAGTGAGAGAAGTAAGATTAAGTTATCTTGATGGAAAAGACAATGGAATAGCTGTGCTAAGTTTGAACAGACCTGAAGCAAAAAATGCTTTGAGTAAGAACATGGTAGCAGAATTGCTGAAAGCAGTCTCTATCATTCATCAGGATGAAAAAATTCGAGTACTTATTGTCCGTAGTTTAGTACCAAAAATATTTTGTGCTGGTGCCGATTTACGTGAACGTTTCCAAATGAGTGAAGATGATATTCGTCAGTATATTCTCTCTCTACGGAGTTTTATGAATGATCTTGAATTGGTACCTGCTCCAGTGATATCAGCGATTGATGGTGCAGCTTTAGGTGGAGGATTAGAGCTTGCGCTAGCAACTGATATCAGAACTGCTGTAAGTGAAGCGAAAATGGGTCTGGTGGAGACCAAATGGGCAATTATTCCAGGAGCTGGAGGTACTCAGAGACTACCAAGGGTCATTGGACCTGCGAAAGCAAAAGAATTGATTTATACTGCTAAAATTATTGATGCTAATGAAGCTAAAGAAATAGGATTGATAAACCAAGTCGTACCTCAAAATAAAATTGGAGATGCTGCTTATCAATCAGCTCTAGAAATTGCTCGTCAAATTCTTCCTAATGGTCCTATTGGTGTCAAGTAATTATTTAAACCATTTAAAATTAAAAAACAAAAGTTATTTAATCATTATATAATTTAATAAATATTTTTTGTTCACACAGGATGGCTAAAGTAGCTATCTCCAAAGGAATTGAGATGCCTATAGAGGGTGGATTTCAAATAGAAAAAAAATGCTATGAACAGCTACTTCATACTAAAGACCGCATTGAAGGATTAGCTGCTTTCTCTGCCAAACGCATTCCTATATATCAAGGAATTTAATTTTTTAAATGTGATCGGGGTTAACCCTTGTGTTCATACCCGGGTACTCGAGTGTCCACAGTGTTATATTTGCATAAAAAAAAATAATAATTTAATATTGAGCTCCCGGCTCAAAAGCAATTAAATCATGAATTTCAATTGTTTTTTTGTGTTCACTACCTGAAGTAAATTAAATTGTCATATTATTAACATTTTTACAGCATTTTAACACAAGGGTTAAACATCCTAAGAGTAACGTTAGTGGATATTATGTGATGATTTACAGTTTATTTAACAGTACCAAAAGTTAAAATATGATGATTTATTAATATATTCATTTTGATCTAATATATATATATATATATATATTTCAATATTCTAACATTTTTATGTTTTATATTTAATCTTGAATAAAATTGTATTTTTATATAAATTTAATTTATGAATGGAATGATAAAAAAGATACCGAATTTATAATAATATATTTTTTTGTTGAAAATGTAAAGCTCTTTGAAATATAAAAACTATTTTGTAATTTTATAAATACTGTACAGGTGATTCTCTGCTTCTTTTTTCATTACGAATCTCACAGCAAATTTTAACTTGTTTAATTGTATCTTCAGGACTATCAACACGATGACCAACAGTCAAATCACTTTCATATATTTCATAATCATTGCCTCCTTTTCGTGTTTTATCTCCAAAGAAGTGGATTTCGTCATACTCGTCAATGTGACGTAAACAGTAAGTTTTATCCCAACCAAATGGAAAAATATCAAAAGAAATTTGTCCACCAATACTGTAAGTCAAGGCTAAATCTGGGAATTTCTTTTTCAAAGCAAGGATGAATTTTTCTCGAATTTGATGTTCTTTGTCGTATTCATAAAACTGGATTCTCTCTTTTTGACTACAATTGCGTCCAACTGGTGAAACGTTTATCATGCCAGTACGAAATTCTATGAATGTTCCACGCTTAAAGGGGAGTTTTAATTCAGAAATGTACTTTAGACAGAAGTCGATTAGATCTTGAAGAGCATCTTCACCAATGAACTGTTGAATACTCTGAATAAATAAGTAAAACATGATTAAATATTTGTTCAAGAATTAATGTCTTCATGTGATATAAAATTCATTTACCTCTGAAGGTAATTGCTTTCCATTTTTGTAGGCAATAAGACCATTTTCAGCAAACACGTACTTATATTTCTTGAAAATATCATTACCTCCTAATTGCTCTTTTAATTTGTCGAGGTCTGAACCACCAACAACACCAATATCAAACTTTTCTTTCTTCGCAAGCTCAAATAAACTTTGTTCGATGCTTGTTTCAATTTTCTGTGAAAAAGGAATAAATATTTATTAGTCCTGTTAAATAAATTAGTAACTTTTCAAAACAAGTTCAGACTCATTTATAAAATTTTTTTTTTCAATCAAATATCAGGGAAAAATAAATGACTAGATATTATTCATAAATAAAAGCCGGATCTTCTGATGACTTTTATTTACATAATCCTTGTCAACTAAACTTATGCACATAAAGAATCAATTAAATAATTATATAATAATCAAATAATAAAGTTACCTGACGTGGCTTGGTCAAAGTCCCATCGACATCAAATAAGCAAATAATTTTTTGAGCCATTGTTGTTGATGACAACCTGTTTTAAAGATGTTCACTGAAACAATTTTTTCTCAAATCAGTCACGTGAAAGGCGGTGCTTATTGATTGTTGATACTTAGTATCAGAACATACATGTTAAAATTTGAATACCAAAAGCACATACGTCTTTTTGCCTTTTATTGGACTTTAGAAAAATAAATAATGATTTAGAAAGTAAAAAAATATGATGTTTTTATATAATAAATAATTAGTTCATTTAAACATAAAAAATTGATTTTATAACATCAAGAATAATAAACAAAAAAAATAATGTTTAATAATAATTTATAAAAATAATGAACAATTTGAATTTAAATATTGTTAATTAAGTCAAAATGATGCAAATAAATTTGTTAAAAAAAAATTAATAATCACCTAACGTGGCAAAATGATGCTAGGCGGTAATGAACGATATAAATTGTTAATAAGATGAATTACCTACTGAGTCTTGATAAACAGTGTGTACAATGTGTACACTCAGAAAATATATGTAATATATATATCTACACGATATGTGAGGCATTTTTAAAAAAAACAGTTAACTGATTTCGTACTTCGAAAGGTGTTGAAATCATTCCCATTCTTTTTTTCAATTAAATGCTGTACATATTTTTAAAATGTTATTAAAATGTACAATTTTTTTAACTATTTTAAATTCATTAATTAACGTAAATTTCGCTCAAGAGAATGATCAACAGAAGCGAAATGTCCTGTTATTATTGGGTAAATTGTTTTGAATTTTTTCCTGTAATTGAGTACAAAGGAATGTACTTTCAAATTAAAAAAAAAAATTATGTGTCATTATTAATACGTTAATTGTTGATAATAAAATTATTTTAGCTGATGATGGTGGTCTCCAAATGGGAGCATATAGAAATAAAATATGTCAGACACCTAATCTAGATAAATTAGCAAAGGAAGGGTTGATATTCAATAACGCCTACACGTCTGCTAGCAGCTGTTCGCCTAGGTGATGAATTCATTTGATGTATTTATTGATAGACTCTTTAAAGTCCATTCTAAATTTTTAATAACAAAAAATATCGTTTCAGTCGAGCTTCAATTTTAACAGGACTACCAAGCCATCAGAATGGAATGTATGGTCTTCATCATGGTGTTCATCATTTTCAATCGTTTGATAATGTTCTGAGTCTACCGACTATATTAAAAAAGAAGAATGTACTAACAGGTAATTTTTTTTTCAAGTCTCGTTTCTTGTTATTGATTAATATAATTACATTTGGTAGGAATCATTGGAAAGAAACATGTAGGACCAAGTCAAGTTTATTCTTTTGATTTTGCTAAAACTGAAGAAACAAATTCAATACTCCAAGTAGGAAGAAATGTAACAAAGATTAAATTACTGGTCAGAAAATTCCTATCAAAAGCTAAACAAAGTGACCGACCATTTTTCCTTTACGTTGCTTTCCATGATCCACATCGCTGTGGTCACACGAATCCACGTTATGGCAATTTTTGTGAGAAATTTGGCAATGGAGATGTTGGAATGGGAAGTATACCAGACTGGCAACCGATTTATTATCAATGGGACCAAGTAGTAGTACCTTATTATATTCAAGATACAGAAATGGCACGAAGAGATATTGCTGCTCAATATACAACTATTTCCAGACTTGATTGTGGTATTGGATTGGTTTTGAAAGAACTTGAAGATAGCGGGTTTAAAGACAATACTCTAGTTATTTATACCTCGGATAATGGAATACCATTTCCTAATGGAAGAACTAATCTCTATGATCCTGGCATGGTAGAACCTTTCATCCTTTCATCTCCATATCACAAAGAAAGAAGAAATCAAGTTACTTATAGCATGACATCATTATTAGATATTGTTCCGACAATTCTCGATTGGTACAATATTAGCCGTGATAATATCTATGAGAAGATTAAATTAACTGGAAAATCGTTATTACCTCTTCTAACTAAAGGTAAAATTTATAAAATTATATTTGATAAAAATGGGCCTGGGCGTACTTTGTGCCCCGACTACGAACTTCCCATTCATTTAACGGCAAGTTAATAATTTTTTCGGTACGATAATTTTTTTTAGAACCTGTCACTAAAGATGAAATTATATTTGCAAGTCAAACACATCATGAAGTTACAATGTACTATCCAATGCGTGTAGCCAGGACTAAAAGATATAAATTAATTCATAATTTAAATTATCGAATGCCCTTCCCAATTGACCAAGATTTCTATTTATCTCCAAGCTTTCAAGTAAATAATATACAACTGATTTATCTTTCTACACGCACGTTAATTATTATGGATATGATTGATGATAAATAATTTCTTTCAGGATCTTTTGAACAGAACTCGATTACAAATGCCTTTAAGATGGACTAAAACCTTGAACAATTACTACAATAGACCAGAATGGGAATTATTCGACTTGAAACTTGATCCAGAAGAGCTCAATAATATCGCTGATAAATCGTCTATGAAGAATGTGTTTGAAGAATTGAAGAAAAAATTATTTCAATGGCAAAAAGATACTGATGATCCATGGATTTGTGCTCCAAGTGGAGTTCTTGAGCCGATTAATGGAAATCGTAGCAACTTGGGGTGTATGTCAACTAGCTTTTAGAACACTTGACATCAAAAATGGTATAATGAAAAATACTCACACGGTTAAATATGTAATTATTCACTACTTCTCTTTTAAAGATGTATTTTTTGAGTCTTTTTCGTACTTCAAGTAGGCATCATTCAGTTGATGAAGATGAGTTGCTGATTTATTCATTACTTTCTCAGCAGCATTCAAATTCATTAGTATTTCTTTAATCTGTTGAAATAGAAAATAGAATATTAATATTTGAAATTGTGTCTAAATAATAGACCTTTTCATCAATTTACCTACCGATTGTTTGTAACCTTGATATCTATGATATTTACAAGTTTTGTGATATACATCTTTTATCTGTACAATAAAAACCATACATAAAATTAATGTGCCCACTAGCATTAAAGTATTTAAATGTTGTAAATTACGATACACTATCATGACATTGGTTATTTTAGTAATTTTTATGATACAATTATATTAAAGAAAAAATCAATAAATTACGTTATTTAATTTTCATACACTTCATAACACTTTAGCACTAATTATTAATACTTATATTAGCACTAAAATTGCCAATGAAAGTCATTTCAATGTACACATGAAATTATTTCTAAGAATTTATAATTTACTAATTGTATTTACTCTTAATACTGATTCTTAAATAATTTCTGAGTCATTTACTGTAATAGGAAATATTTATATAATGGTACAAAGTGATTATTTTATTCATACATTCACACACATGCACACGTCGCAGCCATTTTGTTGTTTACAATGCATAAAATATGACATTTGTATGCACTGTTGAAACACTGAAAGAGTGAAATTCGAAATTATATGGGAAATTTATTATTTCAAGTTATATTTAATTAATGAGTTTATTATGTTTTATTTTAAGTCTTCATTAATTAGAAATTATTTATTTCAAGTTGTGAACTAGCAATTCAAAAATAATTTGTGCGCATGCGTTAAAATAGTTTTCCTGTATAAAATTAACCATCACTGTAGATTGATTTTTATTGTAAATATAGATTAATTTTAATTGAAATTAAATTAATCATTGATAGACACATGAATTTGATGAATAATTTTCATTTAAATCCAAGAAATTAAAAATTTTTATGAACCACAAAATATGCAAATTTAAATATCCCGCTGTCTCTAGTGTCTTGTTCTTCTAATTCTAAACCATCAGCTGCTAGAACTGTCTTGTTGAGAATTATAAAATTTAATAAAAATAATTGTCAATTAATAATAATTATTTACTAAGCGGTTATTCAAATAAAAAATTAATGGCGTTGATATTTATACATTAATTATTACAATATTTATTGATTTGATTTGTACATCTGTAAAATTAATAAAAGAAGGTGCCAAGTTGGCAAGTTAAAAGTTGACAATAGTTCCGCTTGTTTGGCACGCTAATAATCAGCGGTAAAATAATTTTTAACAGCTTCTGTGTATGATTATTAGTTCAACGTAAAATATCGAGAGGTTAAACAATACCGGCAATATCTTAATGTTTTCTATCGTTCGTAATAGTTCTAGTAATTATAATAAAATGTTTTCGCTCACAAAATTAGTATTTTTGTTATGCTGTACAGTTAATATTGTTAGAATTAAAGCAGATATTCAACGAAAAACTGAAGCTGTTGATCAATTAGATGAAAATAATTGGGATCGAATGTTAACTGGAGAATGGATGGTAGAATTGTAAGTTGAATATGACTCATCAACACTAATAAATTGAAATAAATACTCCAAATCGTCCTTTGAATGATATTTCAAGTAAATGTGATAATATTTTTCAGCTTTGCACCTTGGTGCCCGGCATGTAAAGAGCTTGAGCCTACGTGGGCTCATCTAGGAGAAATGAAAGATAAATTAGGGATTAATGTAGGCAAGGTTGATGTTACTAATTCACCTGGATTAAGTGGTAGATTCATGGTGACTGCATTACCAACGATTTATCAGTAAATATTAAGATTTAAAAAGAATTATTTTCCATTAATTTACAATTTGTGGAATTGATCAGTTTATTATATACTTATATTTTAGTGTTAAAGATGGAATATTTCGACAGTACAAAAGTCCTAGGGACCCTCAAGCTCTTGTCGACTTTGTTAAATCTAAGACTTGGATGAAGGTTGAGCCAATTTCTAGCTGGAAGAGCCCAACTTCCACACAAATGTCAATTATAAGTCAATTCTTCAAAATGTCACAAGTTCTCAGGGTACTATTACGAATTCATTCCAGAGATATCATTTATAACTAATTTGTTTTAAAGATAATTTTTACATTCTTCTTACGATGATATTATTTCAGGCCATTCATAATCAGTTGATGGAAGATTTCGGCTTACCTACTTGGGGAAGTTATCTAATCTTTGCTGTCGCAACAATTCTTATTGGAGCTCTTTTAGGATTGGTATATTTTTATTTATTCATAACTTGTAAATCAATTATACTGATAGTGATTTATGTTTATTTAAATTTATTTTATATTTTATTAGGTGATTGTATGTATTGTTGATTTCGTGTATCCTCCTAAACCCGCTCGATCACCAAAGAAGCAAAAAGAAAAAGATTCCAATGAATCTGCTGATAAAAAATCATCAGATGATGAAGAAGAAGAAATAATTAATAGTATCAATGATGATCTAGAAGACGAAGAAGAAGTAACTGATTCAGAAAAATATCAGGATAATAAAAAAAGTACATCAGCTGCAAACAGTCCAAATGCACGCAAACGTAAAACTCGCAAGGCTGATTAATATCAATTAATAAATTCTTCTTTTTTTAATGATAATTATAAACAATTACTGCAAAACTTCTATAAAATTGTGGTTGTGTGAATTTAGATACACTACGAAAATTAACCGTTTTAATGAACTGATAATATTTACTCTTAACTTGACTGAACAATTAACAAAAATGATAAAATATTTTATAATGATATCAAATAATTAATAATTTAATGTAGCATTTTATTTAATTAAGGAGTTTCTGCGTGTAATATTTTTAAAAAAGTTTTGCTACAGCTATTTTTTTTATTTTAATTTATGTAATCAAATCAATTTTACCAACTTTAATCTTTTTATATTAATATTGTAAAACTTGGTTTCATCGAATGAAATATCTGCTGTATTAATTAATTGTAATACGACAGCGCTAATAATATTCCACAATTCATTGTTATTAATATAAGAAGTCAAATGAATTTGTATAAAATATCGATAGTTTTCGATTTCAATAATTGATATTTTAATAGACTTAATAAATTCCAATTCATTTAAATATAATAGTTTCTTAGGTTGTTTTTATTATAAATAACTAACAATTAATAATTATTTACTGTGTATATTTCAATTTATTACAATTCATTAGATGTAAACTGCCAAAAAAATTGACAGAGTTTTCAACAAGGCTATTTTTGCATTATACAATATATTTTTTATTGATCAATCAATTAATAGACAATGATAATAATTATAATAGCAATAAAGAGATCAAAAATTCATTGTTTTAATTAAATATTAAAGTAATAACTTATTGAAATTATTTATCGATTAACTAAAATTTGATATACATCATGTGTCTATAAGAATATCTAATTAAACTGATATAGTAAATTAAAATTAATCATCCTTCAATTATGCCTTTTATTTATTCTTATTTTCATTCAAATGAATTTATCACGCAAACTTGATTATTTACACATCTACGTATGTGCATTTTTTTTTAAAAGCATCGTGAATTCTTTTCATGTAACGAAAAATTCGCAACAGTTATTATACGTTTCTCTATACAATTATTTCATTATAATAATTACTCTTATTCAATTATTTAATTATTATTACAGTTTTGTATCATTATTTAAAACAGAAGTCGATAGCGTTTAATGTCACAAACTTCAATTACAATCATGCCATTTACAATGTTTATTAATAAAAGTAAAAATAAATGCAGCAGATAATAAATATTCTGGCATTTAATATTATTTTTCATATAAAATTTTTTTTTAATAATTTATTCAAATGTTATCAAAATTAGGACGTGTGATATGCCAAAAGCTATAATTTAATTAAAAAATTGCTTTTTTTCCATTTTTGAAATGTTATTATTCAATGTTTATACTCAATTATCAAATTATTTTTATCCAAATAGTTGGACTCTTTTTTTTAACATTATTGTTGTTTTTATTGGCAAAGTAAAAAATGTATGAATGAGTTGGTTTTAAAATTTTTTTGTTTCTTATTATTTTCAATCATTAAAATTTTATATGATAATGGCAGTCTATGCTTATCAATTAATTTTTTTATATCATTATTTTATTCTATCAATTTTGTGCATGTATATACACACATACATGTGCGCATGTGTACATAATCTGATAATAATTAATTAAATAATTCATTTATTTTCATAATTAATTTTTATCAGTTTGTATAAAATTACTTCGACATACAACTATACGTAATTTAAAATCTTGACTAAATTAACATTTACACCTTAGTTTTGAATGATAAAATAATTCTTTTGAATAAAACGGCTATAATTTTATAAGATAGATGATTCAATGAGGCTTTTCATTGTAAACTTATGTAAAAAAAACAATTATTACAATGAAATATGATACATACAATTCAGTTGATTTCTTTATTTATTTATGATGTTTTTAATTTAGTTTAATGAATATAATGATTTCTCAGTATTAATATTGCTCTTTCATTAAAAATATTAATAAAGTAATATAGGAAATAAAATGTTCAGATTTATATGTATTTTTATCCTTTTCATCCTTCAATATCGTTTCAAAGCCTTCTTATCGATTCGATTTATTGATATTACAATGGTAAATTTATAAACGTAAAATTTGGTATTAAATATTTATATAGATCATTAAAATTCTTTGAATAATCTTAATTCTAGTTAAAGTTAATTCAATAATAAATTCATAATGAATAATAAAAAGTAAAAAAACAATTAAATATTATTACACTGGTGGCAATTGTAAATAGATAATAATAAATGTTGAATAAAATGCACTGGCTTATTATGTAAAAAACAATAAAATTATTTCAAGTGAACAGGAAAAATTATTTATCTGGCAGTGAATGTGATTTGTGATCTAAATAACTTTTCATTTCAATTCAATGGTATAAAAAAATGGATAAAGCAAATAGATTATCTAGATTTTAAATATCAAAGTAAGATAACGATATTGGAATATCAGAAAAAAGGTGGCCCAAACACTCAAAAAATCTTAATGAAAAATTATATGCACATATATATAAATCTGAATATAAATTCCATATTGAATTTAAATTTAAATCATTACTAAAATTAAAAATTGTTTTTTACTATTGTTATAATTGTTTGTTTCATCACTAAATGAATGTTTTTACATACGACTACTGTTTTAATCGCCACTAATTCTTATTCCTTATTCAGTTCCTATGCACGATAAAATAAACATTTTTATCTTTTTTCTGATGGTTTATAAATGTCTTATAACTATATAAACCACAATAAATGTCTAAAATTTATATCACAAGATATTCTCTATATTGTTTTTTTCTAAACTAAAATCTCTAAAGTTTTTTACGATCAACAATTTCTCACTTGCCCATCGTCCTCTACACAGTGCACATCTTCTATCCAATATACATTTCAGGTTGATAATAGTTTTTTAGTCATATTAATACTGACTTTTTTCTTATAGTTTATGTGATTATTATAAATCATGATTGTATGAATTTTAACGATATATTTCACACTATAATATTTTCATTTATCAGAGTGGCACTTTATAAAAATTTTTTTTTTTTAAATATAGAAGATAACAAAAAAAAATGTAATTCAATGGGCTGTAGAAATTTAGATCATAAATAAGACTTTCGATATGAAAATTACCGAAAATTTTAGTACATAAATCTATTTTCTAACGGCACTTATATGATTACTGTACAAAAGATCCTTTTTTGTTCGATGTAACACAACAGTTTTACACAGTCTTACATATTATAAGGACATAAAAACTATCAGAAACCTTAAAAGATAGCTAAACAACTATAAAAGCCATGTTTAAATAATTAAAATTTCTATAATTGAGTCAAATATTAATATTACTCAATTTTATATATTCTTATCTAATAAAAAATATCACTTTGTTGACTTTATTGTAATAATCAGAATTGTCATAAACAGTAAACTATGATTAAAAATGAGTTAATTCTGATACTCTTACTCAAAAAAAATTCTTTTATGGTTTCTGATTGTTACATTGATTAATAGTTTGTAATGTGATTATAATTATTGTACCCCATGTCCTATAAACTTACCGCCAAGGATCAACTAAAGTAATTTCTTTGCTAACAACATATCTACTTGACCCACTAGATGATCCATGTGAACTATGGCTATCGTGCGATGATTCATGAGAGCCATTGTGAGAATGGAGTTGATGTTTGTGCACTGAGGCAGCCGTAAGTGGTTGATGATTAGATTGCGTTAATGAGGAATGATGAGTGGTCGCTAATGAGTGACTCACAGGTATAGAATGACTTAGGGAAGGTACTGGATATTTTGGTTTAAGTTTCGTACGAGGTTGGGTGGTTTCATGCTCGCGTAATTTATCCAAAACTCCAGTTATTCCGAGTATATTTACTTTACTTGAACTCCGACTGCTTGGTGTAGCAACAATAGCAGCTGTAGGCTGAACTGAATGACTTGAAACAACTTCACTTTTGTCATCAGGAGGTTTAGGAAGTCTTCTTCTTAGCCAAGCATGTCTGAGTGCTTTACTAGGCGTCATTCTTTGCTCTGGATCCCATTGAAGACACTTGGTGATAAAATCAAGGAACAACCGATCCTCACATCCTTTAAGTGCATCTTTTAAATCTTTAGAGCCTGGAGTTCCTCGAAATTTACCACGTCGAGACTCTCCACCGTGTAACAATATTGTTCCATTGACTGTCGTCATTGCTTTACAATATCTAGGATATCCTTTAGAACTAAAAAATTGTCTTGTACGTTTAGCGTTATCTAAAAGCCTTCTTGGAGGTAATCCTAAAAGTTCAATAATACACGCTAATTGGTCTCCTTCATCTTCACCTGGTAATAATGGATAACCAGTTAATAATTCTGCCAAAATACATCCTAAACTCCACATGTCTATTGGCATTCCATATTTAGCTCCAAGAATTACTTCAGGTGCTCGATAAAAACGACTTTGAATATATGTATACACTCGTTGATCTTCATAACAACTTGAACCAAAATCAATCACCTATTTAAACAATTTAAATATTTTATTAATGTATAAAAAACAATTTATTATATGAATATAAACATTACCTTAATTCCACTGCGGCCTTGTTGCTTCAATAATACATTCTCCGGCTTCATATCGCAATGAATAATTTTATTTTTATACAGAGCATCCAAACACTGTAATAGTGAATGGGAAAATTTCCTCACTAATTGTAAGCTAAATCCTTGAAATTTATTCTTTTTAATCAATTCATAAAGATTGATACTAAGAAGTTCAAACGTGATACACATATGATTTCTAAAAGTGAACGAATCAAACATATGAATAATGTTCATAGTATTGTCTTTATCTTGTTTCCTTAAATTAGCAAGAATACGAATTTCTTCCTGAGCTTGACGATGAAATCTCCTTTCATTTCTCACCATTTTTAAAGCAACGTGTTCATGATTTTTATGATCATAAGCTTTAACAACTTGACCAAATGATCCTTTTCCAATTATTTTCAACACTTCATATCTATAAGCCACATGATCATGTGGTGTGTGAATATATGAACCTTGATCATTGTCATAATTATGATTATTAGGTAAACCTAGAATTGCTGGACGTTTTTTGGCATTGGCGCCGATGAAATAAATTTGTGGATAAGAATAGATCTCATGTTGCTCATATTGAGTTAATTTGTTCATATAAAGTTTCATTACAATTTCTGGAGTAACAGCCATCTTCGGAATGACCTTATTAGAATTACTTTCAGCTCGTCCATTTTTAACTAATGGACTGCTTGTTTGACTATTAGATTGAGAATGAGCATTAATGTTAGAATTATTACTGTTGTGACTTGTATGAGAACTGAGACTTAAATTAAGACTTTCTGAATTACTGGTTAAATTTTGAAGACTGTTATTTGTGCTTGATCCTAAACTAGGAAGATGAGTACTACCACTGTGGCTGGAATGAGTCAAGTGGCTCGGTGGTGACTCTCCTTGTTTCGTAGCATAATTTCCTGATTTTAAAGGTGGTAAATGATTATTTTCATTTGTTGCTATATAAGTTTGTGAAGAAATAGCGTTCATAGTCACGAACGGGCTTGGTAATGACAAGGGCATTTCGATTGTCCTAGCTGATAACGTTAAGCTAGACATTTGTACTTCCACAATGGATATTAATAAATTAGTCTTCTTATGAAGGCTCAGTCATTGAAGGATTATTATTCTCTTTTCCTTATTTCCATCTTTTTAATTGTTCTTTTGAAAATAAAGTGACTAAGAAACCCAATACCTTAATTGCTTACCAATGCCTTAATTTAATGTTTTTATTCAACATGATTGTACGCTTAGAAATTCTATTTTGTATGAGATCAAATAAAGGTAATTTTTGTTTTATATGAATCAATTTTTAACACTATTTACTGTAGGAAAACTTTTTTGAGTAAATGCAAAAGACTAGACAAAATAATCACTTGATAAATGAAATTCACAAGACACATGTATGAAAATCAATTTTCATCCTGTTTTCTCACTGAAATCCTTGTATTAACAATGATGAATTGATTCGGTCATTCGATTTACTACTATCCAACTTATTTTTTTTTTATCCTCTGTATTTTCTTCTCTCTCAAACGTCGTTTCGCACATCTAATTTTATAGTCTATCGTACACGAGGATAAACACATTATGAGCTATCTAGCTCAGAGGTTGTTGGCACTCAGCCGTAAGAGTTTGATAACTTATTTGTTTCATTCGAATCTTTGTTTCTATTTTCGATTTTTCCCGAAATAAATTTTTTCTTTTATTTCTCTAAACTAGTGAGAATTTTATTACTATTATTCTTCTCTCTCTCTCTCACTAGTTATTGTCCTTTATATAATCATTATGATTCACGGTGATGGTAGCCATTTTTTTATTTTAAAAATTTTTTTTGTCATTTTTATCTTTTTAAAAATTCGCTTTCCTTCATTAATGTTTAGCATTATTTAATTCACAATTAAACACAAAGAATCTCCCTCACTTTTAAGCATAAATCTTGACTTTTTCAATTACACACATTTCTTGCTTTATTAAAAATTCTTCTCTGTAAAATAAAAATGATTCATTTTAATATAGTGATTCATTTAAATATTATTTTAATGACTTTACCTTGTATATGATAAGAAATCGTTCATGCACTTTGCAAGTCATCAATAAATACATAAGTTATTCAATATTAATTGTTATAAATTGTTTATTGCTTGTTATATGGCGTAAAAATAGATTAAATTACGACAATTACTTTTGTTTATCACTAAAAATCCTTTGATTGACAATGCTGTATGTGCACATGTGTATCAAAGCAATGTTTTTCTGTAAAAAAAAATTTTTCAATCATTTTTTTTTTCAACTTTTAATATCAATAAATATGTGTATATATATACAGATTTATATGCTTATACATAATAATTATATATACACATAAATGTACAGCACATTTTGATTTGAGACAATAAATAATACTACTGTGAATACATAAAGAAATTTTTTTGTTCATCAACTACGTCGACAACAGTACAATGATCGAACGCGCAGTAATCTTGCGCCCCATTTTTCAAGGGATTGTTAGTCAACTTGTTACACTAAATTTTCATCTTTATTTACTTGAAAACTCACATAAAATGTATAATAATAATATGAAAATAATGCAGTTATGATTTTTATATAAAAATCATGATTAATTACCAATGACTTAAGGTTAGAGTTATTTTTTTTTATTTCTTGAGTGTTTCTCGTCTAACTGTATACATCTGAGTGACACAGGTGACGCTCAACAGTCTCCTTATGCTTCATCCCTCGGGTTAGTAGCTTATAATTTCAACAATGATTCAACAATCCTATGAGGTTTCATTTTATAATAATAAATTTATTATTCTAAATTGGTCCACTCTTTAGATTTTAAACGAATTTTCATAGATAATTGTCGAAATATTTAATTTAATGCCTCACATTGACTCCACACCCACGCACCATCACGCGTATTTTGCTGGATTCGAACACTTACTATAAAAGATTGGAGAATCAAACACGGTAATACATACTAACACAATGACCAGTCAGATATATATCACGTCTGCCTGTGAATACGCGTGTATACCTAGATAGACATCCCCAAAGAGTTGTTGACATTTTTACTCTTTTTTCTTATAAACTACTACATACTCTAGGATATTCCGAAAACAGAAATAAAATGAAAATCTCTACTAAAACATATTTAACCTCTAAATTTTGTCTTACTACTTATATTATTTATTCATAAATTGTATGAATAATTAATTTAAACCATCTAAACGATCTGAATAAATTTTTTAGCTGAAAAATAAAGCAAGTGAGTAAAAAATACCGACCTGACTAAAATATCCTTTTCCAAACCCTTTTTTTCGACTGAGTTAACCTTTTCAGTTTCTATGAAGCTTCTATGAGGACGCTACTTGACTATTCCTCTAACCTATATTTAAATTTGGTAAAAAAGGTTAGAATTATTGTTTATTTTTTTTTCATAATAAAGCTTATAAATTTTGATAATATCCATTGAAATTACATACAAGAAGTTTTTTTAAAGGTCTAAATTATTCGGTCATACGTGTATGTTATGTGATTTATTTACGTACAGCAAAAAAAAATTTGTTTCGGTTTCGATCATGCGTAGTCTTACTTCATTGCTATGTTATCGATTGAATTCTCACTGACAACTTAGTCAGCGAGTTACAAATGTTATATTTTGCTATTGAAAAAATAATAAGTTTATATGATATGTTGAGCAATTAACAATTAATTTTGAATAAAAAGCATTGCGGGAAAAGGATTTTTAATCATGCCGGAAACAGGGGTAAGATTTCATTTATGAGTTCATGAACATTGAGTTTAATAATAAAATAATAAAACTAACAAGTTTCTATTTATTTAATCAATAGGAAAATTCGTCTGATCTGGGAGAAATAGAAAATGTACGAGTTGTTGTTAGAGTACGGCCATTGAATGGGAAGGAGTTGGACGGTCATTGCAAAAAAATAGTTAAAGTTGATCGATTAAATGCTGAGATAACAGTGGAAAATCCAAATGCAGCCCATGGAGAACCACCTAAAGTATTTTCTTTTGATGCTGCATTTGATACAGACTCAACACAAGTTGATATTTATAATGAAACAGCTCGACCAATTGTTGAAAAAGTACTCCAGGGATACAATGGAACTATATTTGCTTATGGTCAAACGGGAACTGGAAAGACTTTCACAATGTCAGGTGCTAAAACATCACCTCAATTACGTGGAATTATACCCAATACTTTTGCACAAATATTTGGGCATATCGCTAAAGCTGATGAACATCAGAAATTCCTAGTCAGAGCGACATACTTGGAAATTTATAATGAAGAAATACGGGATTTACTTGGGAAAGATCAAAATACCAGGTTAGAAGTCAAGGAAAGACCTGATATTGGAGTATTTGTGAAAGATTTAAGTGGATATGTCGTTAATAATGCTGATGACTTAGATAGAATAATGACTCTTGGAAATAAAAATCGTAAGTACTTGAAAGAAAATTAGTAGTCCATTTTGGTGACTATAAAAAATATATTTTTTCAACTGCTGATATTAATTGATTTATAGGTGTTGTTGGAGCAACTGCAATGAATGTTTCTAGTTCTAGATCTCATGCCATTTTCACAATAACAGTGGAATCTAGTCAACTTGGAGAAGATGGTGAACAACACGTTAAAATGGGCAAATTACATTTAGTTGATTTGGCTGTAAGTTGGTTTTGAATATTATTTATTTTTGGTAAATGAAGTGAATTGAATTAAAAGATATTTTATATTTCTAAAGGGATCAGAAAGGCAGAGCAAAACAAAAGCGACTGGTATAAGACTACGAGAGGCAACGAAAATAAATTTATCACTCTCAACACTAGGAAATGTTATATCTGCTTTAGTTGACGGTCAAAGCTCTCATGTGCCTTATAGAAATTCGAAACTAACACGATTACTCCAAGATTCGTTAGGTGGTAATTCTAAGACTCTGATGGTGAGTTGAATAAAAATTAAATATTTCATTTAATAAAATAAATCTTCAGGTTTTATAATTATTGATTATTAATATTACTTTTAGTGTGCTAATATAAGTCCAGCTGACATCAATTATGATGAAACAATAAGCACTTTACGTTATGCTAATAGAGCTAAGAATATTAAAAATCGAGCGAGAATCAATGAAGATCCTAAAGACGCACTTCTTCGACAATTTCAAGATGAAATTGAACAACTTCGTAAACAATTGGAAGAAAATGAACAAGAACTGTCGGACTCCGAAGGTGATACTGCTGAAGAGTCAGATGGAAATGATGAGAACAATCATGAGAGCAAATCTCGACGTAAAAGTCAAATTTTAACAATGGAGGAGTTAGATGACAAAGACTTGGAGTTGACTGAAAAAATGGATAAAGCAGAAAGAGATGATAAAAGTCCAGATGATAAGCATTTCATTGAACTAAAGAAGACTCAGAACGAAAAAGAAGCATTACGAGAAAAAATGCAAAACTTACAGAATAAAATTCTCGTCGGTGGAGAAAATTTATTGGAAAAAGCTGAAGCTCAAGAACGGCTTTTAGCAGCAGCAGCAATGGAACTTGATCAGAGAAAAAAACGAGAGGAACAATTGAAGAAAGCACTTGAAGAGAAAGAAGCAGAGAGAATTGATATTGAGGAAAAATATTCATCACTGCAAGAAGAGGCAGCAGGAAAGACTAAAAAATTAGCTAAAGTGTATACAATGTTGATGTCAGCACGAGCAGAATTATCAGATCTCCAAGAAGAACATCAACGAGAAATGGAAGGACTTCTAGAAGGAGTACGAGGAATCGGAAGAGAATTACAATTACAGGAATTAATTTTAAATAGCTACATTCCAATTCAGTATCAGACTATGATTGAAAAATACGTCCATTGGAATGAAGACATTGGAGAATGGCAGTTAAAGTGTGTTGCATATACTGGAAACAATATGAGAAAAGCACAAACATCGTCGTCTATCGGTGCAATCAAAGATCAGCCGCAATTGGATTTATCACATTTATATCTTATTTATAATAACGAAACTGACAATGGCTTTATGCAGAAGAAAACAAAAAATCGCTCCGGAGTTCCTAGACCTACAACTGCTCATCGACGTACGCCCCATGCGTAAATTTAGTCGAAATGTTTTTTCATCTATTATGATAATGAAAATTAGGGCAAATAAGTAAAAAAAAAATTATCAACATAATAAAAAGATTTGATTAGACATTTAATATTTATTTATTATGTTTACTAAGCAGTATTAATTTTGATGATATTTTTAAAATAATGTTTGTATTATTTATTATTTTACTATTATGCTGTTATTTATTTTTTTATCTAATTAGTATTCTTTTATTTAATATAGAATGATATGTTTATAACATTGTATGCACACATATTTAAATATACTTAATAAAGTAATGAAATTATTATTTGTAGTTATCTATGTAATATTATCATTTACTTAAATTTTCATCATGCTCTCTGATCCATCTCGTTATCGCATGCTGATGAAATTTTCGTGCTACAGTAACGGAATATGGATCCGCAGCATTAGCACTTCTCAAGTCAAGATGGTGAGCTCCTTCAGCTATGACTATTGCTAAAGCAGATTGAGACAAGTTTCTTAAAACCCCACCACTAGACCAAGGATCCAATAATCCATTGCTGAAGACAATATTCGTAGCAGTAGACAGATCATTACATCCATATGTCTGACAAGCTAAGTAAGGCTTTGGTGTAACATTATATGCTTTAACACAAAAATCACTATATTCCTGCAGATTCCATGCCTGAGGCTCAAACATATCGTGAATTCCATCAGAACACATTGGCATAATCATCTCTGTGCATGCTTGATAATTCCAGCCTGTTGCTCCTAAATCTGGTGAAGCATCTTCTGTGGCGAGGCAAGATGTTTTACCAGTATAATTAGTATAAACATTCACTGCTTTGTTCAGAATAGTTAGAAGCTCTTCATGAGTTGGATTCATTTTATTTAAATGTTTACAAAACTCCTATAATCAGATTTCGTAATTAATCAATGACCTAATTATTATCAATTAGTGTAGCATGAAAACTTACTGTTATTGGATAAGCTGGAAGTGGAGCTAGAAAGTCAGACTCATAAGGATAATCTACCATAGCTAAATTACTGTAAATGTTGATTAACCAATTTTTAAATTGATTTATGTCATCAGTAGTATTGAGCGGTTTACATAATTTCCATGAGCTAGAGAGCCACTGCTTGCCTTTTTCTATAAATAAATAATTAAAATGATTTATAAAAAAAATTGAAAATTATTGATCCTGATTAATTTTATTATAATTACCAGTCGATGTTATATTAGCTATAGCACCCCATGATCTGCGGATTAGTTTCGGACATGTAGGATTAGCTGCGCGGAAATCTGATGTTACAATACGAGAAAATGCCTCGCAATCAGTTATGTCAGTAAATTGAAGAATTGGCGCCGAAGCTGCTATTGCTCTAAATGATAATAACGACGATGAATACCAAGTCAACATTTACTTTTACCTATACATATTTACCCTTGCACAATATGTGGATATTTTATTCGGAACCAAGCACTCAGCATTCCACCATAGGATCCACCAAATGCAATGACAGAACTACTCTTCAATTTAGGATCTGATTTAAGGAATTCAATCAACTGAACATAGTCAGCTAATGCCTGCTGAGAATTCAAGTATCCTAGATATTTTGCATCAGAATAAGATTTATTCCCATAAGGAAGTGATTCACCATAATAACGATGCTCAGCAAAAACTAAAAGTGCTCCGAAATTTGGAGCAATATCCCACATAAAACCCTAAGAATTTTAAATATATATTATATGAGTGGAAAGTTCGTCGTCAGAGCACAAAGTGCGTTCAGATCCATTTTTTTAGTATCTAGTGATATCGTTGATTTTACACTCACTGTGTTTTCTGCAAACACTTCTATCCATCCTTCATTACCAGTATAAAAAAAAATCGGTGGGTTTTCATCTTTCTGCCATGTATCATTGACGAGGTAACGAAGTTGGAATGATTCATTTACAGCAAAACTAAAATGATCAACCTACAGAAATGATCATAACAATTATTTATCATCATATCATTGAAAGAAAAATTAATTTATTGCTGATCAACAATTTAACAAAAAAAATAAATAAACTTGATATCATAAATAAAAATTCAATAACATCGCAATAAGCTCATACATACCGGGACAGTGATTTTCCTTATCTCGTATTTATATTTTGATTGATTAGCTCTTTGATATTTCATTCCATGATTGTTATTATCAATTATTGCACCTTTCCTCCAGTAGTTTAATGAATAAGATTGATTAAAGCATTGGAATAATACTACACAACTAATTATAACAATTCTTCGAATTGTAATCATCTCAATACTGCTTGTGATAAAATGTTTGATGATGATGTTGTCGGTTGGGAATCCAAAGACTGACTGTTGAGAATTTTCAATAAGAAGCTAAGGAATTATAATCAATAACAATATATAATAGGAAAGACGATGACCCTTCTGATCATACTCCAAGTGTACGAAAGATTAATTTTCTACAGTATTAATCGCAGATAAGAATTAAATTAATTGACACGAACATTTCTGTGTGGATAAAATTGATTTTTAACTTATAAAACTTGAATTGAATTATTTTGATGGTTATGAAGAAGATAAATGTATATTCTCATGAGATAGTCATGATCAAAAATATTTAATCAATTGTACAATATTTTTTTTTGAGTAAACATAATTGAAATTAAAGATGAAGCATTTTAACCATGATATGTCGTTGGACAAATATATAAAATTAAAAGAATAAGCTTTGTTGTAAATACATGGATGATGATGATGATAATGATGATGAGTGTAACAAAAGCGGGCCGAAGTTGTTAGGGCGATCATATAGGTCCGGGGTGTACAAAACTGGAGAGCGAACAAGTTACCAACTACTGAGTTGGAGGTCGGAGGAGTATATTGGCTATTTCCGCAGGAAGTTCTAGGTAACCTGCAACGGTCATTCAAGTTAGGATATAAGCCTCGATTGCTGGCTATCGTTTCGTAACTCCTCTCCAGAATTTGTTAATATCGTTTTAAAATCTTTCAAAGCATCATTTTTGATGAGGTTACATTTTTTATAACCAAATTTTAGAATAAATATTGAGGTTATTTATTTATAGACGCTACTTAACAATTATTAATATTTAAAAAAAATATATCCTCAAAGCTAAATTTGTTGATTAAATTACTCTTTCGTTGATTGAATCACGATCAATTTCAAAATACTAAATAATAAAAATTTTATTGGTTATTTATGATGATGATAATTTTTGTTTATTGCTATTTCACACAAAAAAGTGTGAAAGTATTTATTTCGATTAAATTAAATGCGGGAAAACCCCAGGTTAGTTATGATTTCATTATTTTTTTAGTCTTATGTATTTACTATGATGTTTGGTTCGTAATTTCAGGTATTTGACTTTAAAATTTCCTCATGCTCTTCGTTATTTAAACGAGCAAATACCTGATGGTCAACGCCCATCCTGTTGAAAGCATACAACGACACTAGTGATGTTTTTTTTGCTAACTATTACTATTAACATTTATTTTATAAAATAGCTCAGGACAGTCAATCATTTTTTAACCCATTTTTCAGAAAATTTTTATCAGCATAAAATACATTAGCCGTAGCTTCGTGAAACCTATTTTTAAAATGACAAAGCCTTCGGGTTATCACAGAGAAATAATCAAGAGTCAATCATCATATTCTTCACAATAAGATACAGGAAAACGAACAAAACATTTTCAAGATGTCTGAATGTGCAGATAACATATTCATTTTAATGTTTATAACAAAAATGGGAGGTAAATTATCAATAAAAATTTTTGGATTGATAAAAATGATGATCATTTAATTAAAGACAATGATCTGAATAAAGATGAATACCAAAAGTGACTGTTTACTTAGAGAGAGAGTCATCATAATGACTATTAATTATGGTGATTATAAAAAGAGTAGCGCTGAAGATTGGTAAGTAACTTGTTTTCATCATCATCATCTTCTTCATCTTTTCTTCTTCAGTGAATAAAGTCAAGCACGTGCTTGTTGTTGATGAATGAAAGGTTTACGAGAATAGTACGAACAGGTCAATCCATCAATTGACCATCAGTGCTCCTCAGTAAAGAGTTATAAACAGTCATATCATAAACGAAGCATCTACTTACTTACCATATACATATAATATAAGTTGGTGCTACATATGATTATAATACTTGTAGTTATTTAACGTGATACATGATCAGCATAACAGTTAGCTACGTTGATCTATCGAATACTACACTGCCTGTTGCCTACACCCTACGTACTTATATATCCTCCATCAAAAAGGGCTGCTTATGAAGAGTGAAAGATATAAGGGTATGTGGTGGGAGTAAATGGAGTGTCTTGTGGTCATTCGGAGTTAGTTGCTCTTATGCTCGCCGGCCTCCAACAACTGTTCAGAGATGTACGTTTACTAAAATAACTTTGCCTTTCAAAGAAAGAAAAATAATGGTTTTTTATATCAGTGTTGATTAGTTAATTAATTATTCAAAGTTCGGTTTTATAAATAATTAGTGAATTAAAATTATTGGATTAAAAATCATTGACATTTTTATTAAATAATCAGCAGAAAAATTGGAAAAAAATGCTTATTAATTATTTAATAAAATAAAAAAATATTTAAGTGATCAATTTGATGATGTTGGTATTGTTAAGATAATTATTGGAAGTGGTATAATTAGATAATGTGATAAAGGATAAAGATGTTCTTGATGGTGCAGCTAGAACAAGAGTGGAAGAAGAAAAGAAGGACAATGGAGTTAAAATTGATCAAAAGTTGAGTGAAATTTTTGAACAATTAATGAAGACGCGATTGACGAATCGCGCGGTATATTAAGTTAATATTATGTTATCAAAACGATTATGCGCACTACTAAAGGTGTTGGCACTGGTAACAAGTATTTCGGCTTTATTGCCAGAAGATTTGGAAGAACAACCGCCTACAACTGGCAGTTTATTGGAAGATTGTGCATCCCGATGTCCCGATTTAGATTTCAATCAGGTAATAATTCTTTTTTATTATTTTTCTGTTGATTCTAATCAAAAATAAATGGATAGAAATTTATGCTTTGTTGAAAAAAAATGGTTAGCTGTTATTGTCCAGTTTACAATGTCAATAATTAAGTTTCAATATTATTATAATTGTGTTGCTTTAATGTTATAAAGTTGTTATGAGTTGAGAGTAAAGTTCATCGCTAATGATACGTTTATTAACTGACAGAAGAAGATACAAATAAACGCAATATTGTTTATTAATTTTTAAATAATAAAAAAATTCGCTTTATAAAGCTTTTTTTATAAAAAATAATCATAAGTAATATCAAAAAAAATTACACGCATAATACTTCTGATAATATTAATTACTCAGTGATTAATTTATTTTAATTTATTTTTCATTTTAAAATTATTTACTAGCAATCACTGATCTATTAAATTGGAAATAATTAGATTTTAATTCGATGAACTAACTCATTCTCTTAATCATTAAATTTAATAGATAAACATTTTTTAATCAATTACTGATGTACATACGTGTGTATATATTTATGTTTCACAATTTTGTTCAATCAAATTTACAAATGTTGATGCATAAAATAAGACACAAAAATATGGCCGAACATGAAGGACGTATCAATTTAAACAGACTCTTCAGCCAGACTGTACTGTCCATTAATTAACTTAACTACATGACGGCGCATCATCACCAACCATATAAGCACAGTCTCTTGGATAAGCCTACAAAATATGACAAAATAGATTAATCTAGTGTGGATGTAACAAAAAATATTTAAAAAAATTTTTTTAATTTATTTTCAACTAATACACTATATGACTTACCTGAATTATTAAGTAAGAAATGATTGGTTCTAAAATTCCTATGTGAGATAAATTAACATTTCGCGAGGAATGTAAAAATGTAGAGGTATCATCATGCATCATATATGTAGCCAGAACAGTGGTTATACATCTATTCTGTCCTCATATCATTTGCCTACCACTGCCACATATCAGATCAAAATAGTTTACATAACTCTACGCTAAACAATCATCAACATCGTTTAGTATATAATGAAATCACATTTTACATATGCGTACACGTTTCCCAGGATTTATCTGTTAATCATGAAAATGATTTCAAGATGAAGAAAAATACTCGTAATTTATATGTTATGTAAAAAGATTTTTCTTCTAAAAGTGTGAAAAAAATAATCATCTTGAAAAAGGGGAAACCTTTAGATTTATCAGTAGACCACATAGATCAACTCTATAATTTAAAATGATAAAAAAATATACTTTTAAATCAGATGTTTATAATATGTGGCGCCGATCTATCGCTTCTTCTTGACGCGGCTAGATACAATTATTGATGACCCGAGAGACTTCCATCAATATCCAATTTTTTACCTAACTTTTTTTCTATTTGCTGGTTCATTTGGATACTTTATTTAAGCGAATTAATACTATACGTTGTTATACATTATGTACATGGATTTCGAAATATTAATACTGGTCATGATTAATCATATAAATACTAGGAATATATATATCTATTAACTCTGAAAATATTTTTCTAAAATAGATGCCATCATATGTCAGTTTTTATCATACGGGTATCATGTTAGGGTATTCAATTGTACGTCAACCTTCCCTCATGGACCATCTTCTCATTAAATTAGAAACTTATCTCAAAAATATTCTAGAGTTACTGTTGATTTTTAAATTCAATTATCCTGAAATAAAAAATTATTTATTTTAATATAAATAATGATGGCCTAGTTTCATAAGAGTTAATTTCCTTGTATTATGACGATTGCTATCGTAATATAAAAATAAAATTTAAATCATAAATCCCTGGTTGATATTGATGTAAAAATTCTATTTCAAGTACATCGGCAATAGTATTACATTTCATTGTTCGAACCTTCCGGCAGGAGTTATCCGATATCGTGTGACTCTTGGAGTCCTTACGCCGTAGTATACCTCAACAATGAGAAAAAAGCAACAAGCTTGTGGTTGAGCATCATTATTTTTCAGTTCTTTGTATCAAATGGTAATCCGATGCTAATGATATTTCAGGTAACTTTTTGCAAGAAGTAACTTTTAATATTTTTATCAAAACAATTCACAAAAAGTTAACTTACTGAAGTGTGAATATGGTATTTGATAGTTTAAAGTGCTTTAAAGAATAGAAGCCTTGGGTACTCTTATTGATATAATCACTGAGAAAAAGGGTACGATATAACAGTTGGTGTAATAGTGGGTCTTGATGCGTAACCAAGACGTTAGACACGGACGTGCACTAGGTCGAGCAGGCTGTTACCTTTGAGCTCATTAACTTTAGTCCACTTAACATACTTCTGCTTTATTTTATCCATAAAAGTGCTTTTACTTTCTTTCAAGGAAGTGATGGGAAAGAAACCCTCTCATAGAAACCGGATGTTCGTTGTGTTGGAAGACTAATATTTGTTTTCTTTTTTGCATTTATCAATGGTATTTTAGGATTGAAGGTAAACAAATCAATGTTTATGTATGCCCACATATGGTTAATGTGATAATATCTGTAACAGAAGACAAAATTAATTTTTTAATTAAAAAATTTTTTCTTTAAATTTGAAAAATGATGAAAAAAATAAATAATTATAAAATATTTATATGATTACAATACATAAAATTACCATAAATCTAATGTTGAAAAGTAGATGAGGCTGTAAAAATAAATTAAAACGCTTGCACCCTTTATAAGATAGTAAATTGTTTCATCCGGTTCAATTGGTACCCTCTGGTAAAGACTACAATCATTATGATAAATCGCTGAACACTAAATCCGGCTGAGGGAAATGTCTGATCACGATAATCAAAATTAGGGGTTACTTTGACATCCGATTTGCACCTGAATGTTAGTTACTTCCGGAACACAGGTGTTCACTTTGTCAAAACAGGTAGTGCTGTAATAGAGAGTCATGGAAAATGGAGATTATAACATTCTCAAGTTCAAAGTCAAGAAGGGTGTGAATCCAACCATGTTGACACTTTTAATGTATTCTTGAGAATTTTCAACTACTTATCATACATATCACATTAATTAACATTATAAAAACATACCGAAAATTTTCATATTAAATATAAATATTTATCAATGGTATTGCAATTTCTTTTCTCCGTTGCAGAACCGCACAGATGACATCAGTTTAGAAGTGGGCTGCGGAGTAAGATGTAAAATAGATCAGGTAAATAAAAATATTTTTTTTATTGTACTTATAAATAATTTGTATAAAATCTAGTTTACTATTACAATTATTTTTACGTAAATATTCACTAAATTTGATAATATAGAGTGATGAATGTTTGTATGTACAAAATATGAATTTAACTTAACCAAACAATTCCTATTGTACCGTATTGGAATAATAATAGAACACCTACTTCCGTCACTTTGTGGTTGGACCGTATCGTTTCAGGGGATATAATACATGATAATTTAATTTTATTGTCCAAGAGAAAGTCAAAATGCCGCTACAAAATAAACAAAACCAATTTCGTTCATACTTTCACGGCAATCATTTACGAAAAAAATTTTTTTTTCTGTTGTTGGCGGAATCTTCAGTTATTATTTGTCCGCGATTGTGCAAGAATCGATTTCACAATCAACGACCGTTGATTGGAAGATATCGATTGTATTCGATATTAATTGTGACGCTAACCAATTGTTTGATCTTGAGAGTGAGCTTTTCGTGACTTATGTTGCAGAAACATCAAGCATGATGAACAAGTACAACAAACCAAGTATATAACTGACATGTAATATACAAATGGGGTTTCGTGTTTTAAATTAGATTGCGTACAAGTGTCGCTTTTAACGGATGTCATTAAATTGACGTGCGACCTCGAATTCTGCCACATACTTGTTTCTATTCTATACGGAAATAACATAATAAAAAGTAAAATTGAATAAATTTATAGAGTGTACGGTAAACGAACGAATTTTATTTATTATGCTGTACACATATGCATTAGTTGGAATAAATATAATATGGATTCAATTTACAACGGAAAGAAGTCCTACAGGGGTTTTGAGAATACGCGTAGAGGAAGATTTAATGAGGAAGTGAGAAATTAACGGACGCTGCTCTTTGTATCTGCTTATTTTACTTGATTTGCTCATTTTCTCTGTTGTATTTTGTTGTTTTTTTTTCTACTGTTTTTTTTTTGTCCTGATCAAATTACTAAACTCATCAGATTTATTATCTTCTTTTTTTGTTCATGTTGAAAAATAAAAGAAGTTTTTTGGAGTAAACTTGGTAGCATTCTTATCTAAATGGATTCTCTGATAATATTAACGTAAAATAATCATTTTTGTTGTTGTAGTAATTATTTTGTGTAATATCTGTTACACGTGATACATCTGTGGGATACACTGTATATTGAGCCAAAAGTTATTTATTGAAATATTTATCACTGTATTGTAAGGCGTTTTACGCAGTCCGTATGTCTCAAGTGACCCTAGAGATACCCTCTTTGTGATAAATAGCTGGATTTTATATATTTACTAGTGTAGTAGACATTATGAAAGTAAAAATTGTACCAATAATAACAGAAACCAATTGATAGAATATTTTAAAGAATTTCTAGTACCAATGTTGACATTTGATGAGGAGCTTCTGTTCAACAGGAAATAAATCCACCTTAGCAGAATTTTCAGAAAAAGTCAAACTAATAATATTTTACTGAGCCCATAGTTTTTTATTTTTAAAGGTTGGTTTTTTATTGGAAGTAACGCAAAGTAGAAGCACAATTTTTTTATCAACAAAAAAGCACAAAAAAAATACTGGTACTATATCCAGTACTTTGTTTTTCTTTTTATAAATATACATAATTATTAACTTCCTTTTTTGTACGTCGATGCGTTAAATTGCAATTCGCAAATCCATGCCTTGACAAGTAATGTAATGAGTGTGTGTCGACGTTGGCATCTTATGAACGTAGGCGTTGGATACTCAAGGCACGTGCTACATGTTGCTTCTGCTTATACTACTACACCCACTACTTTTACAACTGATATTACTACTACTCGACTGTTATACAGTTAATAATATCAATATTAGTAATATTTTATCTATTATTTTTTTACTACCACAATTTTGCTACTTGGATGAATTAAAATAAAATACTTTTATTGACACCAACTCTTCAATAAAATATTTTGCAATCCAATTATCCTACTTTAATTTAATTTAACTCGTGTTAGGATATCACGCATTTTTTTTATAATGACAAAAATGAAACTCCTACGTATAGGTTATAATTTGACTATAATTTGACATGACATTTTATCTTGTGTTAATACTCTATTTGATGATGAGTATTATACCCACTTCAATACATAACTTGCGAGCTTTAAGCTTGCGTCACTCATATTAAGAGGAATTTTCGCTCAATTTAATTTACGTTTATTCATGTCAAACAGGGTAAAAATAAATAAAACTGTAATCTCTCAATTATTAAATAATTAAGAAGTAATTTATTTTTCATTTTAACACTAACATCAAGTATTTTAATTAAAAATTAAAATATTTATATAATTATCATGAAATTTCAGTGTGAAAAAGGATGTACAGCATGGGAACAAGCTTTAGAAACTAGCTGTCAATCAATATGCGTAAGTAATTAAATCTTTTAAATTATTATAATTACCAAAATTGAATAAAAATATCTTTTTTTCAGAATGGTACCCAAGAATTGCTACCTCCAAAAGAATTATATTGCGTCCTTGGTTGTCATGATGCTCTTAATCGTTATTTTCAACAACTCAAAGGTAATAAAATTAAAAATCAGCAAATTCTTTATGATAAAGATCTTTCGAATCAATTTTCAAATCTTTTTCTTCATAAAAATCAAAGTTATTAGCATCACTGTCTTTTTTACATACAGGTATATAAGAAGGTTTGATTTTTCGATGGTAAACCCGATCCCAGTCGATAGTTTGAAACCATACATGCTTCTTAATATCCAAAGAACCATTTTTGAGATTGCCAAAGCGTCTGGTCAAGTCAGTTTGCAGCAAGCTGCTGACAATACTTTTCAAATTTTCTTTAAAATGACCAGGGAATTTATATTTTCCTAAGACAATCTTCTCATATATTTTCATTTGATCATGAGAAAAAAATGGTGCATATCCAGCATTCATTTCGTAAATTAAAATACCAAAACTCCACCAATCAACTGATTTTCCATATCCTTTTGATAGGATGACTTCTGGTGCTAGGTATTCTGGTGTACCACAAAGAGTCCAGGTTCTTTTACCTTCAATATACTTGCAAAAACCAAAATCAATCAGTTTCAAATATCCTTCTCTATCCAACAAAATATTTTCAGGCTTCAAGTCTCTATAAACTAAGCCACAGTAGTGCAGATACTCCAAAGCAAGCACCACTTGAGCTGCATAGAATCTTGCTTGTCGTTCAGGAAATTTACCTTTTCGTCTTAAATATGAAAACAATTCTCCACCATTTATAAATGGCAATATTATATACAAATATGAATTGTCTTTGCAAAAATATGACAATGTTATAACAAAAGGATAATCAATTGATTGAAGAACTCGCTTCTCATTTCTCGTGTGATCAATTTGTTTTGTTTTAACCAGCTGACGTTTTTCTAGGATTTTCATAGCATAATATGTAGAGGTTTGCTTGTGTTTAATAAGCTTAACTCTTCCAAATGCACCAATTCCCAAAGTTCGTAGAACTTGGAAGTCATCAAGACTCACATCTTTATTTATATGTTTCATTTTCCACTTCTTCATGAATTCATATCGCAACTCGTCCAGAATCTTCTTGTAGTTTTCATAGTAATCTAAATTTTCGGCTATCGAATCCTTTTCTGATCTTTCTTTGCCATCATTATCTTGGGACCACTCTTTATCTTTATTTTTAGACGACCGGCTACCAATGTTCAAGTTTAATAGCATAATAGATCATTCCTATTACACGAATAAATACATATTTATCAATAAATTAATGATCGACAGTCTATTGTTATTGTAATTGACACTTCCAGTTTTTTTGCATTGATTTACTTCTTATCTTGGTATGAGTAAAATAAAAATGCTTTAATGTTGGTGTAATGTTGGCTATAAACAATCGATTAATTGAATATATGCAAAGAATATTTATTTTTTTTATTAAAACAATAAATATTTACGATAAAGCGAATTTTTATGTGGCAGGAGATAATAATAATCTCTCCAAATAAAAGTAATATAGATCTTTTTGCGTCTTATAGAATTCAATAATTAATTTAACTTTAATTATCTGTCTATTAAATGGACCTTAAAAAGAAAAATGTTTAGTCCATTTAAAAATAACTGATAACAAGTTTAATTAGTATATAAATAGATTCATGATATAACATTTTTTAAATTTACTTTCAGCGGAAATAGGTGTACCACCAGCACCAGCATTGGTTGCTGATTCTTTGACAGCAACTTCGTTACGACTGGAATGGAAGGGAATTGATATCAAAAGAAGAGCCACTGGGATTTCGTACCTAGTACAGTGGAGATATGAAGAGTTGGCTGAAACTTGGCAATATTGTCGGAATCAATCGTGGGGGGAAGATGATCAAATACTTGTTGAAAATTTACAGCCTTATACTAAATATAGGGTAATTGTTATTTATCAGAATAATAACACAGGCCTGCAAGTAAAACATTGCATATTATTTTTATACATTTTCTTATAGATTTCAACTTGATAAATACCAAAAATTTCCAACACATCATTTCTTTTTGTTACATTTTTTTTGCAGACCTGTGGAATGAATTTATTGATCAGAATAAGTGTTTTAAAATTTATTAAATTAATCCATCAACTACAAAACATTTTAGTTTCGAGTGGCCTTGCTATTAAAGTCATCACAACATAATCCTGAGCCTATAGTTTCATCTCCAAGTGTAGTAATACTTACTTTGGCAGAGGGTCGACCAACTTCAGCACCAGTAATTGTAAGAGCAGCAGCAGTCGATAGTTGCCGTGTGTCTGTATCTTGGGAACCTGGACCTTTTGTCAATGGTCCACTTTTGTCTTATGTTTTACAATTACAAGGAGCTGATTATACCCTTCTCAATAAGGTATACGCCACGCCAGAACTTGCAAAGTCTAGTAGATTTTTTGTTGATTATATACCACTTATTTATTTTTTTTGTTTTATATTTCTTACTAAATTCTTCCTCACACGTAGAGACAATTTTCTTGTGCAATACTTTATACACATGTAAATAACTTATTCCAGCACATTTCTTTGTAGTTATTCTTCACAAGTATTTTAGATTTAGCAGTAGAATTTAGTGAACGCTGGTTCAACAATTTGCTTTATTAATAATATTTTGAATCATTGCTTTGCTACTTTTAACTCCGTTTATGTTGCTTTCTGCATGATGTGCAATGTAATGTTTTCATTTATAATTGATGAGCTGACTAATCTTATAATAATTGTTAGAACCAGACAATAATAATTTTTATAAATTAATTCTGGCATGGCGTTCTCTTCACCTGTTTAACATTTAAGGGCTGCAACAATGAATGATGACCATTTAATTTTTTATTACACATAAAAAAAAACCTGTGTTGTTGTTTTTATAGCTGTATGTTTGGTTTTTCAACTTAATTACTGTTTTAAATATTTTAATTAATGTCTGTCTGTTTTTTAAACATCTAGGATATTCCAGCTTCAGAGAACACCAATCATTACATGTTCCAAAACTTGAAGCCAAATCAAAATTATTCAGTAAGTGTATCTATGAGAAATGCTATTGGAGATGGACCACCAGCAGTCATTTACATCACTACACCTCCAGAACCAACTGGTAAAATAAAATGATTATCATTTAGTAATAATAATAATAATTATTATTATTCCAATAAAACACTTCAAGATTACTATTATTTTATGTTGCAGTCAAAGACACTCAGCAACCTATCTTAATTCTGGGTGGTGAACGTGTGGTGATGAAGCAAGGTGCAGACATGCTTGATGAACCAAGTATTATTTATCGAACGAATAGCCGTATTCGTGGAGTAGCAATTCACGTAGCTTCAGCACAGTTGTTTGTATCAGATGCAATGGGATATATTTTTCGAATTTCCATACTCGATGAATCGAAAGAACCAGTGGTGATTCTTAGACCAGATCAAGCTAATTTTAAACCTCTAAGTCTAACAGTGGACTGGCTAAATTCCCATTTGTACATCTTGGGTGAAGTGAATCATGCTACAACTGTTTGGCAAATAGCTCGATGTAATCTAGACGGAAAAGGACTAACCGTAGCAATGGCAGGTTTTATGACCCGACCATCCCATATTGAAGTAGATCCTTATAATGGATATTTATTTTGGGTTACAAGAGCAGGACTATTCCGGTTGGATTTAGCAGACATCAGTAATGGCATAAAGCATGAAGTTCAACCGTATCTAATTGTTGAAGATAAAGATTTAGGAGCTTTTACTGTAGACCATACTAATTTTCGTCTGCTTGTTCCGGATCATACACAAAATACCGTCATTTCTGTGTCTCTAGATGGTCGAGAGATTCTTAACCTTCGTGACAATACTCAACAACCTAAGTTTAAAAATGTAGTTTCTCTTGCTATGGCGAATGGTCTCTTTTACTGGACGAATGGAGAGGAAGTTTTGACAGAAGGTTATCATTCAGGACAAAATAGATACTTTCATAATGCTTATCCTGATAGATCAGACGGGTCTTTTGTGAGTGTAAATGTATTGATGAATGCAAGTCAACCAATTCCAGTTCCTGTCAATCCTCCGACCGGTGTCCAAGCTGTTCTTGGAGCAAAAAGAGCTAAGGTATCCTGGCAAGCTCCTCATCTGCTTGGCGGACAAGGTAAAGGTGCTTGGCAAAATTGGTCGTATGAATTGGAAATTAAAGACAACACTACTGGAGATATTATTCAACAGAGAGAAATATCAGGATTAAGTCATGTAGTTAATGATTTACGAGAAAAATCAGAGTATATTATCAAAGTTGCTGCTTATACAAAAGCAGGACATGGTCCTTGGTCCACAGAATTTCGTGGAAAAACATTACGAGAAAATTCTCACGCTTCTATTCTGTGGTCAGCGAATGAAGGGCTTCTGAAGAGTGATGTTACAGGTGAAAATGTAAATACTTTAATTTCAAAAGAAAGCCTGCGGGATTCTGAAACTGAATATCATATCGTTGATGTTAGTTGGTATCAAGATACTTTGTACATAGTAGGTAATAATTCAGCACTTTATCGATACAATATAACTAGTCATGAAAAGACTAAATTGAATATCAATTCTGTTGGTAGTGTGGCCGTAGATTGGATAGCTAAGAAAATATATTGGGCAAATCCAAAACAACAAATTATAACTCGAGCTAATTTGAATGGATCTCATCAAGAACCAATGTCTATTTTAGCAATAGTTAAAGAATTAATTATTGATTCTCAAGAAGCTTATTTATATTGGTCGACAGGTCATGCTGTTGAAGTTGCAAGACTTAATGGATTAGATAGAAGATACTATCACTCTGATGAAATATTTAATGGCAAACAAGTGATGGGATTAACTTTAGATACAGAAAATAGATATATTTATTGGATTGTCAGAAGCTATGAAAGTGGCTCGGTTGTCTATCGAGCACCAACATCAGAGAAAATTTCAATCAATCAAAAAATCATTCCTGAAAAAGTATCATCTCTTCAATATCCAAATATTCAAGGCCCGTTGTGCTATTTTTCCGAGCATTTATTGTGGCTTCAAGATGATAAAAATGCTGTAATTGGAGATTTAACTGGTCAAAACACTGCTATGATTAATGGAATTACTTTAATTGGATTACATATGGTAGCTATCATAGATCCAGCTCTTCATCAATATCCTGATGGTTTAACTAAAGAAAATATATCTGTTATTCCACGAGCAGTAGCCTTTGATAGCATTCGAGTTGAAGGAACTTGGCGGAATTTCTATGTCACATGGGATCCAGTAAATAATACTAATTATGGCACAGTCTTTTATGAAGTTAAGTTTGCTAATTTTATTAACACCAATTCTAATGCTGAAATAACTACTGATACAATAGTACCTTATAACAATTCTGAACAAATTTTACCTTATTCTGTTCTTGAAGTTACAATCAAAGCATTTACATATTGGGGAGCTGCTCCACATTCAAGGAAAGTCCTTAGAACACCTCAATCTGTTCCCAGCCAGCCAACTAATGTTCGAGGTTTTGTTGAATTCAATCAAGATCCAATGAATAATAATCAATTGGACATTTGTATAACTTTCAGATGGGATTTACCAGAATTTCAAAATGGAGTAATTCGAGGGTATACTTTAAGATGTTGGTATGTTGAAAATCATGTTGAAGTTCAAATTTGCGATCAAGTAACTGTCAGTCATAATACCAGAGAATATATAGCTAACAATTTGAAAGCTAACACAAGCTATTATTTCGAAGTAAGAGCTTTCACTGATGTTGGAGCAGGTCCATTTGCAGACATGATTAATATTTCTACAGAATATGAAGATCCAGTTCCACAATTAATTGTCTCTACAACTGATTCTGTTAAATTAGCTGATCTAGATCTAAAGTCTAATGAAATTCTCACCAGACATATTGCAGTTGAAGTAAGATACTTTGCTACAGAACAAAAACTCTATTGGATCAACGAAATGCAAGAAATTGTGAGAGCTGATTTAAAAGGAAACAATGCTACTAAAATATTATCTTTAAACTCGACAGCAACGAGTTTGTGTGTTGATTGGATATCAAGAAGTCTCTATTGGGCTGAGACTTTAAGGAAGACTGGCGAGAGTAATATCATGAAATTAGATTTAAATGCTTGGGAATTCGGGAAACTTGTACTTGAAAAAATAGTCACCACCAGCCAAAGTATTGTTAATCTAGACATTTCGCCATTGACCGGTGATTTATTTTGGATTGAATTAACTGAGGGTCATCATGCTGGAATTATTATGCAATCTGATTTATATGGAGAAAATGTTAAACCGTTTTTTAATCATGATGAAGAGGACTGCACTTGTCCTTATAGACCATTAATAAAACCAACAATGGCAATTGATAATACTGATTCCCATAATGCTGTAATGTATTGGATTTCATTGGAAGGACAATTAAACATAGCAGGAATCAATGGTTGTGTCTGTAGTTCAATTATTAATCCAGGCTTTAATCGTGGTCTTCCGCCAGTGTCTCTAACTATTGATAAAATAAATGTCTACTGGTCTAATTTAGCTGGAGATGAAATTTTCTTCGTCAATAAAGTCTATCCTAATGAACAAGATATTAAAAGAATTTATTTAGAAAATATTCGAGGTATTAAAGCAATAGGTAAATCATTACAACCATATCCAAATGCTGACTGTTTAAAACCTTTTAAAACTTCTTATACAGTTGAGGAAATTAATAAAAAAGCTAATAGTATAACAATAAAACTACCAAAGCCACAGATAAATTATGGTTGTAAATATTATAATCTTCCAAGCGTTCGTTATACAATTCTAGTGTTCCAATGTTGTGATAATAATCCTGATAGATGTGAGGAAAAGAAAGTGAAGATGCGGTTGCAAGGATACTCGAGAGAGATTGAAATAAAAAACCTTGAACCTTTTACTACTTATGAATTCAAACTGGCGTTGAGTAATTATTACAATGAGTCACAATTGGAATTTGGATCTTCAGTGTTATTACGCACTGCAGCAGGAGCACCATCAGCACCAGTGAATGTAACAGTTCAAGCATATACTCCAACTCTAGCAGCTATTCATTGGTATCCACCAGAAGTCTTAAATGCTGCTGATGTCTGGTATGAAATTCATTGGCGAGCACTGCATTTAGTCAATGGAGAGCGACCTAAAGGTGAAAAGTTGATAAAAAATTTGAATAAAACTTCAGATGGTAAATATGTAGAATTATTGAAGCCTTTAATTCCTGGCCAAGATTATTTGGTATTTGTTCGAGCTTATCCAGCAGATTCTAATGATACTTATGGAGAAAGTAAAGGTCAGATAGTCCACATGTATCCAGAACCTAATAATTTAACACTTAGTGGTGTCAGTATTAATGCTCTAAATATTACTTGGGCTCCTACTGTTAATCTAACTATCAGTTATATCCTAGAATATACAATGGTAGGTGAGCTGGAGAAATGGCGAGTAGCTCATGACTATTGGTCAATTGAAAATAACACTAAAGTTAAATTTTCTATCACAGGACTTTTACCTCGAACCATGTATAAATTTCGATTGATTATCAGATACCCAATTTATACAGAAGACTTTATTTGGCCTACAGATGCACGGTTTACTTTTCATACACTTGGAGATGTTCCAAGTGCACCAGGAGTACCGATTGTCACGAAATTAAGGAATTCAGTGTATCAATTAAACTGGGAACCTGCACAAGCTCATGGATCGCATGTAACTATGTACAGATTAAAAGGGAAAATAGTTGATGATATTGATTATCATCATGATAAAAATAATGAATGGAAATTTTATTACAATGGAACTGATAATTATTGGATCATTGCTGGGGAGATGAATCATAAATATATATTCCGAGTTCAAGCAAAAAATGCATATGGATTTGGAGAATGGAGCAATGCTAGTGCTGTTGTTGATTTAACTGATTGGACTGTTGGTGGAACTGTTTTAGCTGGACAACAGCATCTAGGTTTAATCCTAGGACTAGTTGTTCCCATTGCTACAATTATTTTACTTTGCTTTTGTTATTTTCTTTGTCTATACAATCGACAACGTAAAGAAGTCAAGAAAGCAATTCTTCCACCACCTATTGTATCAGACGTTGAATTAGCAACACTTCGTGAAATTCCTAGAGGTAATTTTGTTCAATCAAATACTCTATATGTTTCATCACTTCAACATGATCACGATGATTCAATGCTACCAAAAATACGACGGGATCAGATAACATTAGCTAAATTCCTTGGAAGTGGTGCTTTTGGTGAAGTCTTTCAAGGTAATGCTAAAGATATTGATGGTCCAGGAATTACGCCAGTAGCAATAAAAACATTGCGTAAAGGAGCAACAGCTCAAGAGAAAACTGAATTTTTACAAGAAGCGCAACTAATGAGCCACTTTAGACATAAGCATGTGCTTAGATTGTTAGGTGTATGTCTTGACACAGATCCACCACTATTAGTACTAGAATTAATGGAGGCAGGTGATTTATTGAGTTATTTGAGGGCAAGTCGCTCATTACCGCCTTCAGACTCTCGAGCTTTACGATTGCAAGATTTATTAGCAATGTGCGAAGATGTAGCAAGAGGATGTAGATATCTAGAAGGATTACACTTTGTTCATAGAGATCTTGCATGTCGAAATTGTCTAGTATCGGCAAGAAATCGAGAAAATAGAGTTGTAAAAATTGGAGACTTTGGACTGGCTCGAGATATTTATAAAAATGATTATTATCGTAAGGTAAATTGAAAAATAGACAATTCATTTTTCTTTCAACGTATTTGATAAATATTAAAATTAATTTAAAACATTAGGAAGGTGAAGGGTTACTACCGGTGCGATGGATGGCACCAGAATCACTGATGGATGGAGTTTTTACAACTCAAAGTGACGTCTGGGCATTTGGAGTATTAATGTGGGAGATTACATCGTTGGGACAGCAACCTTATCCAGCACGAACAAATCTTGAGGTTCTACATCATGTTCGTGCTGGTGGAAGGCTTCCTAAACCACTTAATTGTCCACCAGGATTGCATCAGTTGATGCTCCAATGTTGGTGTACGATTGCTGATAGCAGGCCAAGCTTTAAAGTGTGTTTAGAGCAAATAATTATTTTAAAAAATAATACTGAAGATACAACGCTTATTCCTGTCCATGCGGGTCATTATCTCACTAGACGAGGTTAGTAATTGATGGTATATTTCATTGTCATTAATCAAAATTGAATAACACAGTGTCATTTTAATGCATGCTTTTTGGACTTACATTCACAATTATAATGATACTCTTTTGTTGTTCACTATTGATACCATTAAAATTTAATCAGTGTTGGATTTAATCTGAATTAAATCATGATTTATCGGATTAATTTTATCATTACATCATCTTAACAATTATTAAATATATGCTTCAATTCAAATATGCCATTATTGCATGGCTCATGCTTGCAGGCGTCTCTAACATGGCTTACTTTGCTGACGAGAATCAAAATCATAATTATTCAGGTAGGTTTCAATCCAGAAATCATTTTTATTCAACTAGTATGTACCTGGAGTTGGAATTGTTTGAAAGAATAATGAAAAATAAGAAAAAACAAAGTTCGAAATGGAAACTAATGTGAATCATCACTTCATTTGCACTCCAAAATATGCTTTATATCCACTAATTATAATTATTTAATTAAATTTTTAGGTATACAATCTTAAGAGACCTAGAAAACTCAAAAACAAATTTTAATGCCGCTACTTATAATTCACTTGGTTTTCCTTTCATAAATTGATGTTTTTTCTTGTTTATTATCGTTTTTTCTTATAAAACTATAAGTACATTTACTAGTGAACCTAATCAAATTGTTGTGTCGTTGAAAATAATTTCTCTGTATAACTTTTAATCCGTTTCAATTATATTAATAAAGCATTAATAATTGATAAAACTAATCTCCATTTAAGACTAATATTTTTTTAAAAATTGATTCTTCAGGTAATTCATGGAAATCTAGTAGCTCAGAAGAAAGCCGAGATGCTCAACCATTCCTACAAGATACTAGTGGTGCAACAGTACGAATGTCAGATGTCAAAGTACCAAAATATTTAGAATTATTAGCTGATAACTCAGAGTCAGTAATAACAAATAATCCAATAGGTGAATACGAAATTCCAAGATCAATACATGTTATAAATGATAAGTTAGATAATAAAAATAATAATTGTATTCAGTCTAATTCGAATGCTAATTCTGACTCTAAAATTGATATTTTAATGCAAAATAAAATTCCTCCAGAGGATTGCGAGCATTTGGATAATATTTTAACACAAATAGGGTTAGGAAAAAAAAGTAAAACTTTAGATAGTTCAGATATTAATAATTCTAAGATTATTTCTGCATTTACTAATGACTTACGAGCGTCATTAAATGAACACACACGCTTGAAGAGGAATACCGATGAAAGCTCAAGAATTAGTTTAGATGATAGAAATTGTAATTCATTGGGTTCATCTATAAGTTCATTACGTAGTCCATCAACACATCCGAGCTCTTCAATGCTCGAATCACAAAATAATCATCCATTAAAAAATAATTCATTAGAAAATACTAGAGATATCACAATAAATGATACAAATATTGTAAGTAATGGAACATTGAGATTACATAAAACTCATAATTTGCAAGGTAGTAAAGCAAATATACCTCTTGTTATGAATAATGTTTTATTAAATTTACTAAGGCAACCACATGGAATTGATGAGAGTCCTCATATTGTTACGTACACAAATGTAAATACTGATTCTACTAAAGTTAATTAGTTTATAGTAAGGAATTTTATAATGTGACTGTTTTAATAAAACAATTAAAATTAAAATAAATATATCTATCATGACTATTTGAATAGAAAATTCCTTTTTTTCATACTAAAAGTGTTGAAAAAAAACTACATCAATCATAGCAAAGCCAGATCTATTTTAAAAATTAATATTCAATATGATTTTAATATTTTATTTATATTTTAGTTTATATAGTTATAGATATAAAAAGAATATTTATTATTCCAGGTTGTTAAATTTTATGTACAAAAAAATAATTATGCCAAATTGTACTTTGGATTTTTGAGAAGAATAATTAGAATTTTATATGACAATAATTTGTTTGATACTATTGTAATTATTTTTAATGAATTTTTTTAGAATAACATATCTAAAAGAACTTAGGGATTTCATTATCCAATGCAATAATTTAATTCAAGTATTGTTCTTATTATCATTATTATTTGTAGATACACTATGATTTAATACTAGATTATTTTATAATAATTCATCTTGGAATAATTGATGGTTTTGTTTTAAAAAAATATTATTATGTAAATATTGTATACCATTTTTTAACCAAAGAAACATTTTCAATATTTGTTTTTATGTTTTTCGATTTGAATGATATAAAACGAAAAATGTATTTAGGAGGAATAAAATTTTATATAATAAATAAAGATAAAGACGAGTAAAAATTGAAGTTTAATTTTTGGTTTTATTTATTTTATTACAGTGCTTAACTTACAATAATTAGAAATAATTCGTAACAAAATATTAGGAGCTATTATAATAATTATACAATATTAATGTCTAAGATATTTACAAAGCTTATATCTAATTAAAACTATTCAGTAAATCTACAATAGAATAATGAACAAAAAATTGATCATTCAAAGTTTGCATAAAGAAAAAGATTGGAAACTTAACAAAACTATGAATTATAGATACATATATATATACAACGTGTATGTACACAATTATACAAAAAGATACATAAAGTTTCATAGTTCAAGAGTATATATTACATAATTTATGAATTAGCTATTAAATTAATAAATTTTTTCATAATATTACAACGTTTATTCTCATTATATTTTTAATAAAAATATAAATTAAATAACATATATACATCTCTTCTATGTTTCACTGGATACTGGTAAGTCATCATCAGCCTCATCATCTTTGCTATGTTCATGTAGCAACACATACTCCCGGGTGCTATATCCAAATTTCAGGACATCTCGCTCCAACAGTTCATGATATCTCCTTCCTTCCAATTTTACATTATTGACAAAAGTTCCATTGGCAGAATCCAAGTCAATTAAATATGGACGAATTCGTCGTCCTTGACTACCATTCTCTCTGGTAAATGGAACAATTCTGAATTGTAAAACTGCATGCTGTTTTGAACACGATGGATGATCCAGAGGAATATCCGCAATTTTACGATCTCTTCCCATTAAATAAGCAGATTGTCTATGAATATGAAGAACTGGCAGTTCTTTTTCGCCTTTAAATGGATATAAACGCCAACGTTTCTTTGGCTTTTTGGCATCATCTGGTTCAGAATATTTTATTACGACTCCATTGATAGTGTTTGTATCTTCAGCCAATTTTCCAGATAATGCAAAACTTGGCTTTTCTTTTTCTTGTGGTTTTGTATTTGACTTTTTATCTGAATCTTTGGATTTACTCCCCCATTCAGGAGAAAAAGATTCTTTTTTAATTTTCATATCAAATTTATTTTGATGATTTTTAGTATTTTTAAAATCATCATTATGTCTTCTATCGTCGTATTTAAATCTTTTTGGTTTTTCTTCATCTCTATAATGAGAACGATCTCTTCGACAAGGTGATAGACTTCTAGAGTTCCTATCTTTGAGTTTGTTGTACCTCTCATGATATTTGTCTCTTCGATTTGATTCATTGTCGTAATTTCGAGGATGTCTACGACGATCTCTATCTCGACGATATGTATCGTTATGTCCAGCCATTTTATGTAAAATGTTATTAAATATTGGCCTATTGAATGTTTTTCTGCACTTCTAGGTTAGGAGTACAGATATCTTTGTCACCTCGAATATTTCAAAATTTGAGATTGATAATTGATTGCAACTCAAAAAGTACTTGAAAACCGAAAGATAAATGAATTATCTACCACTCGATTATATTACAAACTTTTATATTAGTTTTTATAACGTTTAAAACAGCGAAAAAAATGAGAGCGATCTATACAACTCAAGCGATCTCAATCGGGTAAACAAACATGGCGGAACGCATCAGTTAAAACCGGCTCAGTTCAACAGGTGGCGCACTTAGCGGCGACGACGACGACACCTACACTCGGCTTCATTTATGCCTGAAGTACAGTACCGGACATAAATGCTATAAGATTCTCTATAGGACGGTTTCGGAAAATCACCTGTATAACCTTTAAAAAATGGAATAGCATTTATGTTTAGTACTGTATCCTTAGAAAGCAGTTACCGACGCACTTCTCATTATAGCAACGCTCTTTCCTATCATTTTGACAAGTCTCTAACTCATGAAGCCGAGTGTAGGTGTCGTCGTCGTCGCCGCTAAGTGCGCCACCTGTTGAACTGAGCCGGTTTTAACTGATGCGTTCCGCCATGTTTGTTTACCCGATTGAGATCGCTTGAGTTGTATAGATCGCTCTCATTTTTTTCGCTGTTTTAAACGTTATAAAAACTAATATAAAAGTTTGTAATATAATCGAGTGGTAGATAATTCATTTATCTTTCGGTTTTCAAGTACTTTTTGAGTTGCAATCAATTATCAATCTCAAATTTTGAAATATTCGAGGTGACAAAGATATCTGTACTCCTAACCTAGAAGTGCAGAAAAACATTCAATAGGCCAATATTTAATAACATTTTACATAAAATGGCTGGACATAACGATACATATCGTCGAGATAGAGATCGTCGTAGACATCCTCGAAATTACGACAATGAATCAAATCGAAGAGACAAATATCATGAGAGGTACAACAAACTCAAAGATAGGAACTCTAGAAGTCTATCACCTTGTCGAAGAGATCGTTCTCATTATAGAGATGAAGAAAAACCAAAAAGATTTAAATACGACGATAGAAGACATAATGATGATTTTAAAAATACTAAAAATCATCAAAATAAATTTGATATGAAAATTAAAAAAGAATCTTTTTCTCCTGAATGGGGGAGTAAATCCAAAGATTCAGATAAAAAGTCAAATACAAAACCACAAGAAAAAGAAAAGCCAAGTTTTGCATTATCTGGAAAATTGGCTGAAGATACAAACACTATCAATGGAGTCGTAATAAAATATTCTGAACCAGATGATGCCAAAAAGCCAAAGAAACGTTGGCGTTTATATCCATTTAAAGGCGAAAAAGAACTGCCAGTTCTTCATATTCATAGACAATCTGCTTATTTAATGGGAAGAGATCGTAAAATTGCGGATATTCCTCTGGATCATCCATCGTGTTCAAAACAGCATGCAGTTTTACAATTCAGAATTGTTCCATTTACCAGAGAGAATGGTAGTCAAGGACGACGAATTCGTCCATATTTAATTGACTTGGATTCTGCCAATGGAACTTTTGTCAATAATGTAAAATTGGAAGGAAGGAGATATCATGAACTGTTGGAGCGAGATGTCCTGAAATTTGGATATAGCACCCGGGAGTATGTGTTGCTACATGAACATAGCAAAGATGATGAGGCTGATGATGACTTACCAGTATCCAGTGAAACATAGAAGAGATGTATATATGTTATTTAATTTATATTTTTATTAAAAATATAATGAGAATAAACGTTGTAATATTATGAAAAAATTTATTAATTTAATAGCTAATTCATAAATTATGTAATATATACTCTTGAACTATGAAACTTTATGTATCTTTTTGTATAATTGTGTACATACACGTTGTATATATATATGTATCTATAATTCATAGTTTTGTTAAGTTTCCAATCTTTTTCTTTATGCAAACTTTGAATGATCAATTTTTTGTTCATTATTCTATTGTAGATTTACTGAATAGTTTTAATTAGATATAAGCTTTGTAAATATCTTAGACATTAATATTGTATAATTATTATAATAGCTCCTAATATTTTGTTACGAATTATTTCTAATTATTGTAAGTTAAGCACTGTAATAAAATAAATAAAACCAAAAATTAAACTTCAATTTTTACTCGTCTTTATCTTTATTTATTATATAAAATTTTATTCCTCTATAAAATAAATAAAATAAACAATAATCGAATAAGAATAGAAAATGAATTTATAAAAAATAATATTCAAGTAAATAAAATCATAAATAATGAATAAATGATAGTAAAAAATGATAATATCAGCAAATAGGAAATAATGTTAAGATAGATGGGAAAAACTCAGTGATTATTCGTCATAATATTCTAATTTTCGTACTCTAATTTTGAATTCGAGTTGGTCTTTTCAATACAGTTCCTGAGGCATTCCCAATCGAATAATTACAAAAATCCAATATTGTCTCAACAGCTGGTAATTGCTAAGAAAAATAATCTTATTGTGTACACATATTTTTTGGAGTAAAAAAATTTATTTCATAAAATTTTCTATAAAAATTAAGATCACTATTTGATAGAGATTAATACAAAATTTCGGGGCGATCGTCTTGGATCAAATTCCGCTTTCAATAAAGGCTTTAGGCCATTTTCAGATAAAAATAAAAATCTATCTAACAACACAACTGTTTCTACTAATGGTGCGAGCATCATCCTGATAGCTTCAAATGCAACAACTTGATGCCATCTTTTTAAAGAACTTTGTACTTTCAATGAATCAATATCAGAATCTACGATTCGTTTATCACAGCTAAACTTCGATGTCGCTAATTTACAATACCTAAAAAATAAATAATTAAATGAAACACATAGCAATATCAGAATTGTTTTCATAGATCATTTGACTTACTCTACAAAAGACATTTTATCTGTAACTTTGACATTCTTCACTCGACCATGTTTCATACAGCTACCGTTTTTATTTATCAAAATCATCTCTAACAAGGCCCTGTAAGCATGAACTTTTAAATCATCATATTGTCCATTCTTCATTTTATCACAGTAGTTTTCAACAGCATGACAAGCTACTTCTAATGCTGCATAATTTAGAGAATGATCTGGTGTATTTATAATATATTCACTTAATGGATACCCATTATGATCATCATCGCTGAAACAACATACATTTATTAGAAAATCATTGTCGATGAGGTAAAATATTTTCCATTCTCACTAACTTACTCAACAGTGAGTTTCATATAACAACATCCAACAACACTAATAAACTTTATTGTATCCTGTTTGATGTAAATCTTCAATAATGTAGCAGCTAAGTCACCACATGGATGCAGTCCAATTAGACCATACTTATTATTTATTGATTTTAATTGAAATTTGTTTGTAAATATTTCATCAAGTGTATCGATAAGTTGGGAAGAACAATTTTCTTTTTCTATTTTAGCACATAAATGATGAGAAGATTGAAAATAATGATTAGGTATATATTTTTTTAATGAATATAAAAATTCATTATCATATTTTTTAGCTAAATCTGATAGGCACTGAGCTTGTTCAATACAAATAACAGGCAAGTTATATTTATATGTCAATTGTCTTGCAAGGTGTCCCATTCCTGCTCCAGTATCCACAATGCATTTACATTGTGACAGGAATGCACATTTTGCACAGATCTAAAAATTTTTTTATTATTTTTAATAAGTTATTGTTTAATAATAATTAAATAATTATTACCTCGGAGAATTTATCAATTTCATAACGTTTTTTAACTTTAACATGCTTCACAAGAATGTTCTCACATCCTTGAATTAATTCTTTCTCGGTAATTGTTTTATTAAATTCATCTGAACCGTGTTCTATTAAGTGATAATTCCACTCTAATGAGCAACATACCAGAGAAGTTTTGCTAAGTGGATTTCGGTCAATTCCTAAGATTTTAATTAACTCACGTAGAGCTAATAAAGATAGTGGCCAAACTTTGGGGCTAAAAACAAATTCTAGGTTATAAAATTTTTATACAAACATTGGTAATCTTTAATTGTTTCATTATTATTCAACTATTATTTTAAATAATTATTCAATTATTATTCAACTATTATTTAATTAATAACTATTAATTAAATAATTATCGTTCAACTAACCTCTTTGATTCATTGAGTATCCATAACCCCAATTCTTCTGGCGTTATTTTTTCTAATATCTGTGTCCATGATTTTGGCAACTTGGACCATAAATCTTCTTGAAAAAAATCCTAAAATATTCAAAATTAGCGGGTTAGTGATTAACTATTTAACTGGATCAAAGTGTCGCCACAGGTCAACAAAACAAACACATGAAATCATGCAGGATTTTTTATAAAAAATGAAAACTTGATTTATATTATGATAAAAAAATGAAATGAGCATACTAACAACAATGTAGGCATCTAATATCCATCCATAAATTTTGAAGATATGCAATATATTTTTAACAGTGTAACGAACTCCGTGACAAACCGAACACGTGCAGTTCCTCATTCTCACAATATACTTTGAATGTATATTTCATTTCGATTCTTACAACTAAAGTTCCGTTAAAAATTCAAAGTAATTTCGAAATGAATTGCTATGACTACATTTTAATAAATTAAAAAAATAACCATGTATTTTACTACTACTGATTAGATATTTGATTAACAAACAATGAAATTTGTGGACATTTTAAGGTACACAGTTTAAATTAATTCTTAATTATCATAGAAACATAAGTTTTTATGTTTTAATTTTTTAATTCACTACTAATTGAATAATTATACACTTCAACAAAATTTACAGGTGTTTAATGAGAAACTATAACCAAAAGAAGATGTAAAAGAATCAATAATTTAAAAAAAATTCCATAGAAAAAAATGGTAATGAATTTCTATTCTATTATTAAATAGCTTGAAATTTTAAATGTACTGAAAAATAATTGTTATTCCGATCAGAAAGATAATGTTTAAAAAAAAAGTAAACAATAGATTTTCGCAAGTTCTTGAATTTACGAGGTTAAGTAATAATAAAATGGATTAAACTTAAAGATAAAATAATTTGAATCAATTCTACATGCATTACGAAATAGATATATCTGAACCAACATCTATACATTAATTGTAAAAATAATATTTTTTTAATGTATTTAAATATTTTATGTAATACCCTTGCAGTGACGTTTTTTTTTTGTATTTTTTAATCACTTTATCAACAGTGAAAGTAAAGTAAATTGTTGTGAATGTCTCTCATGCGGATGAACATATTTTTATTTGCCTTGCGGCTGTTTTCTCTTCATATCGAATGATATATCTGAACAAAAATTTTTCCTAATTTTCAATGACACAGATTAAAAAAGATGAGATGTTAAATATTACAATATTTGATCAACCATCATCATCCGGCCACCAGGAAAAATATTTATCGTGTATTAAAATCACCGGTGAAACGGGTATCAAAATCATTTTCTAATACATATGCAATTTACATTAACATTGGTTTATATAACAGCACCAAGTTATCAGCTACAACCGAGGAAACATATCATTTTACATATTTAACATTTGAAATTATAAAATTGCAGGCAATAAATTGCAAGAAAGATGTTAACTATAAACTCATCTACTTTATTGATTAATGATGAAATACGGTACAGTTTCTGCGTTCTACTTTACAACACTTTCACTATTCAACAGTTACGTTATTCCTGTTGAATACTCTTGCTGCTGCACAATGAATCTTCCTTTTATTTAATGTTTATACGTGGATCAGTGAGCAAATTAGAGTAAAGTAGAGCAAGATCAAAAATTGGGTTTATTTCAATATAATGAATTTTTTTTTAAAATGATGAAGCAATTAATCATAAAATAACAAAAGTTTGATTTATTAAAAGAAAATAATACTAGAAATTTTTTTTTTCTTTTGATTCTCATTCTAATTTTAAAATATACTTACACATATATCCATGTGAATTATAATAGGATAATCTTAATGAGTTGTACTTAATAATATAAAATAGTTTTAAATCATTTTTTACTAATTTAATGGTTTAATTTATCATACAAATTAATTTAAATAAATTTTAGAATATTAATTATATTCCAAATAAGATATAAATAAAATAGAATTATTTTCTCTATTTTAATGATATTTTCTTATGAGTTATCAATTGTTCATCAATTCCAATTAAGCTTCAAAGAAAAGTTTATCATTTTTTATTTTAATATGATATTAATTGCATTGATATCAATAATGTTATGCGAGAATAATAAATTGTTTCACTTTTAATTTAATTTTCAGGGAATAAAAAGGAGTTTCATGTATGCTGGCACTAATATCAAGTACAAGTTGATTAAAATGTATATGAGTAATTATAATAAAATAGTTTCATTATCACATTTGAGATGTGAGATGTGAGTATTTGAATCTCTTACGCCAGCATAAGTGAAAGTTTACCAAGTAGGCCGAGCGTCTTGAATCCCTACCGTGTTTGAACGTTCGCCAAATACTACTCATCACCACTGATTCAGTTGCTCTGTCAACTAGCGGCCTTCAGAACATCGACTGTATAATATAATCTTGGTAAAAGCGAATGGTCTCCTTGAATAGACGCTGCACCAAGTCATCAAGATGCTCTACCGCAGAGAATCCAAAAATTTCTCACCATTTCATTTCCATATGACTTTTCAATTATTTGATGTTTGTCGGACATCCTAAATTCCAATTTCTCTTTTCACCTGTATACGTCCCATCCACATTCTATTGCCATGACTAATAATTAAAAAATTCTTCGAGTGTCATTGGTATTTATTATTCATTCAATAGATTTTCATTTTGGGATACAATCGGATGTTTATCCAATATTTACATATGCTATTTTACCTGTATTACTCATCATAATTTCTATTATTTGTGCTAATGTTTGTGATAAAATGATGTATATTTAAAATGCTTGATAACTTAGATCATCATGAAGTATTTACTCATTAGTAAAAATGATTGAATGATTATAATAATGTTATAAATAATAGTCATACAATGAGTGAACATACTATGTTGAAAAACACAACTTTTTTTTAAGATATAATTTATATAATAACAAAAGTGGAAACTCCTGCACGAACTTCACTGTAAGCTGATATTATAAATTAGAGTTTTTTCTCTATTAAATTTATATAACGATGATTTTATAGGATTAATTGATCAGACTTGTGAAAAAAAAATCCTGAAAAGTATTCAAATACAAATATTTAGCTTATAACAACTTTCTGAAAAATTAATACATAATTATATATTCTGTTAAGTTGAGTTTTTCATCAATCGTTTTCAGATGAAAAAAAAATCATCAAAAGTATTTGCAAAAACAATTAAAATAAAGAAAATATTGTATTTAAATATAAATAATAGATACTTTCATTGAAAAGTGTTTCAAATAAAATAACAAATACTCTGAGAGTATTTAAATACTTTTACTCAAATACTTTACAAGTATATAATTGATTACACCTAAATTTTATTAACCTACGAATACTTATTATTCTTAGAAATAATACCAATTATAAACCTACGATAATAAATTTATTTATTGAATTTAGTTTTTTTTAAGTATGAGAAAAATTCCATTGATGAAAATCTAAAATTAAAATGATTCAAGAATCCAAAAAAGGTAATAATACATTAAATATCTTGAATAATAAATTTCCGTCCTATTTTTCAATCTCAAGTAGATAATTTTTTTCATCACCAAAATTTCATATCTCTAATAAATAGAAGTTGTCTAAATATAAACCAAAACCACACTTATTTATTAATGAACTTGAATTATTTGAATGTTAATTTGGTATTTTAATTAAAATATGTGCATATAAATGTAATTTTAATTAGAATGTGTAATATATAAATAATAATAGTGAATAATTGCGTAGAAATATTCACTATCACTAGCCAGTGAATGCTTAGACTACTTTTATTCAGCAGATCTTTAGTTTGGCGTGAGCCGGGTACAAATCACACCCTCCGGCAATCGACATTTTATTCTTGTACGAACGACTCTTCCTGAACTGGAAAGTATGTACTCTCTCTCGAGGTCAGAAGCCCAGAGGTAACATATATGTATATTCTCATTGCTTGACCATAAGTTTTTCTTAAATTAAATAATAAACATCTGGCTGTCAAGTAGAAAGCCAATCAAGTTTTTTTTCGAAACAATATAATATTCTTGCTAATTATTGTAGATATTTACAATAGATTGAAAGCGATATTGGAATTAGATAACAAATCAAATGTTCTTCAAGAGATTCAATTCAAATGTCAGCTTTATCTTATTTATTACTTATTTGACTATCTTGTTATTGAAACTTGCTTAAATTTTTTTTTATTTCAGATATTATTAGACAAATTATTAAAAAGAATGATAAGATCATTCAGTAACTACAGAGAAAGGTATCACGACGTCTGCAATATTAGAGAGGAGCATCGAAAGATTGAGTAGTGGGAAGTAACAGGGAGAAGTGGGTTCTGAAGTCCGATCGCTCTTTAGTTCTTTCACGTCGCTTCTCACGACGTCTTTCTGCCCAATACCGATCGCTCTAATATGTTATTTGGAGCCAGGTAACGAGCTACGATCAACTGAATCGGTGGAATTTTTAACTGCCATTCAAAAATATTTTACATCATCAACATGAGAATCTTTCACTGGGTAATTATTCATCAATCATTAAATTAATTATTTATTGTACTTTTTTATTCATTACTTTTATTATTAATGCATGTAATTATTTTTAGAAATTGCTGATTAAATAATTAATGAATTTTTTTTTGTTCTATGGAAGAATGTTTTTATAATTAAATTGATTAAAAATAAAATAGTGATCTGATTAGAAACTTGATCGAGTAATATTTAATGAATTCTTATAACGTCAATGTACGTGTGACCAGTATTGACGACAACCCAATTCTCCATATTCGGTATACTTGAATTTGAAATCGGTTTATCACTTATTACTTATATGCACTTTGCTCATCAATAGAATACCAATAAATAATATTAGAGATTTAATTGTATTTCATTTATTTTACAGGCTATTATTGTGGCGGTTGTCTTGGCGGCGTCTGCTGCTGAAGAAAAAAATCGTGGAAAACGTCAATATTTTTCAAGAAGAGTAGCTCGACCACCACCATATGCAGTTCAAATGGAACCAATTGTCCAGTATTCACAGAGAGATCCGCTTTATAATCCTCTAGCGAGTGCTAAAAGTGATCATGATTTTTATCAAGATGATAGCGTTAATAATTATTACGGAAATTCCGAGCCAGAACCAATTATTGAAATTATCATCAAGGAATCAAATGAATCTTTGCCGACTCTTCCTACACCCACGACTCAGGCGCCAACGAAATCAACGAAAGAACCTATTCAAGTGTTTTATGTTAAATATGAGAAAAAAGATCAAGGGAATGGGAAATCTCGTGTTGTGTATGATAAACCAATACCTGCTCTATCACCTCATGAAGAACATGAAGAGATAAAACCTGAAAATTCTATAACTAGTGTAGATAAAGAACCGGATGCTTTAGTGACACCAGCACCAACTGAGCCGACCACCACTCTTCGGGCAATAATTCGCCCCGACAGTGAGACTTATCATGCACCAGGTGGAAGTGGAATAAAAGTTACTTTCGGTTCTGAGAAACTTCCTCCCAATAACCACAAGAAACGAAGCGATCGAGAGCATCCAACGTCACATCCATCATTTTTAAATTCCTTTTCACCGGCTTCGTCTTCAGTGCCTAAAAAACAACATGGGTCTCCATTCTCATTACCACCGAATCATCATCGTCCACTAGTCTTCCCTCAACAACGAATTGTCAATTCATTTTCATCTCAACAACAGCAACAACATCTATCACACCAACAACAATTGCCACCACAACCAAATTATTCCACTTTACCACAATTCCAATCACCATCACCTGTCCTTAATGGACCGAGACCTCAACGTCTACCAATTACCATACAAGGATTACCAGAGATTCATCAACGTCTACAATTCCAATCGTTTCCACCTCATAGAATTAGCATTAATCATCCTCAGCAGCCTGGTTTCCCACCTGCCATTTCTGTCTCACATCAAAGTGTTCATGTACAAAACCAACCACCAACATTAAATCCAAGTAATTTTGAACGTGATCCAGTCCATTCTCATCAACAAATTCAACAACAATCACAGCATCACCATCATCATCATCAACAACAGCAACAACAATTATTCAAACAGCAACAAGAGAGTGATAAGCAAAAATATCATGAACAAAAAAGGCAACAAGATCTTATCAAACAGCGAGAACAACAGAGACAAGCTGAAATTCAACGACAGGAGCAGCAGAGACAGGTTGAATATCAGAGACAACAAGAGCAACAGAGACAACAAGAACAACAGAGACAACAAGAACAACAAAGACAGCAAGAACAACAGAGGCAACAAGAACAGCAGAGACAGCAAGAACAACAGAGGCAACAAGAACAGCAGAGACAACAAGAACAACAGAGACAAGCTGAATTTCAACGACAAGAACAACTCTATCAAGAAAGGCAAAGATATGAGCAATTAGAGAAGCAGAAATTGAAACAACAGCAAAAAAATCGACAGGAACAACAGCAGCAGCAACATTTTAATCAACAAATTGATTTTGCAAATCAACAGTCTGGATTTTTATTACCAAGTGGAATTCAACAGCACAATAAACATCAATCTTTCTATGAACAACAGCAGAAACCTGCTGAAATTTTACCATCAGTGCCTAAATTAGAACAGCATTATGCTATTCGAGAGAATCCTCTTCATCCAGGACCATTTCCACCTAGTCCGAAATTCACTCCTCTTCAGTACCCACAAAATAATTACTCAACACGACAACAATCTGGCATTTCACATCAAAGACAGAATTCAGTAAGCAGTTCGGAAAATTTCTCTAAACCAAGTCCATCACCAGCTGAATTATCTACACCTAAATATCAAGATTCTCAACTCAATACACAATTCTTTGGTCAACATCTTCCAATTCCTCAACAGTTTTCCAGTTTATCACAAGCTCAGTCAATTTGGGGTCAATATAAACCAACAGATAATAAGCAAAAAATTTTTGCTACTCCTGTACCGAAAGGTGAGACAGTAAATGTATCCTCGACACCTAGATATGTGCCGAGTACAACTCAAACTCCACCAACGACCACAGTTGCACCTACAACACCAAGAAACGAAGAAAAGATAAAAGAAAATATTGCCAATTTACCAGATGAAGTACCAGATGATATTAGAGAGCAATTGCTAAGCTCTGGAATCTTGGGAAATGCGGATATTCAAGTTCTTGATTACGACAAGCTTGGAGATACTCCAATAGAAAATTTACCACCTGAAGCACTGGCTAACTTTTATGGTGCCGGTGGTGGTGCTGTGGCTGCAAGTGCACCAGTACCAGCGGTAGCAAAGAAACCAAAGATCAACAGAGATTCTAAAAAGACAACAGCTACTAAAGTTGAACAAGCTACGCTAAAGCCCGGAGGTGTAGAAATGAAAGTAGTACACTTCGACCCGAATACGGCACAAGGCCAAGCCATTGCTGATCAGCATATACGGGAAGATGCTACGCATTTGAAACCGGTCACTGTAGGTGCTGAAGATGATAGTCAATACAATCGGTATCTTCCACTTAAAGTAAGTGGTACCTCTTTCCCAATCCCTGATGTACCGGAATTAAAAGATCGAAAAATTTCAAGTGTGGTGGTGCTTGCCCCCGTTGATTATAACTTCCGGGAAGATGACCAGTCACGTAATTCTAAAAAATATGGAGAAGTAATGCCAATACGATTCTTAACGAGAGAATCGTTGAAACGAGTCTTGAAAAATCCTAGTGAAGAAAATTTTAAAAAGTGGTTAGAACAAGAAAGTCAAACTGAACCACAAAAACAGTCTGTCATTTTATTTGACACAACGTAAGTTTTATTATTAATTTTTTTTTAATTAATTAAATTGATTATAATAATTTTAATATAATAAGATTTTTAATTGGATAAATAATGACTTTCAGGTCGAAAAATCAAAAGAATGGAGAGAAAGAAATTTATATGTACGATGTGAGTTCTCAAACAGTCACCAAACTATCTGGAGATTTATCATCTGCATTTGTCGACGCTGCAGAAAGTAATTCTGAAACTTCTGATTCTATCGACGATTCGTCCTTCACACCCTAAACACATCATATCTTATTGATTATTGAGTAAGGATACAAGATATGAATTAAAAGTCAATGTCATGATGCTATTCGAATGAAAACGCTTCATATTGGTATTCAGATAAATGCAAAATATGTTTAATTAGTATAAAATTATTTTATTTTTTTACGTATTTAATCAGAAGGTCGTTTAATTATGATATTTTCAGCCACATTGGCTTGTTTCCCGTTTGATTGATAATGTATGTATCATAAATATTTTTTTATTCTAATATTATATGTATATATTGTATTTTGTACTTTAATATTAAATTTTTTTTAATAAATACTATTTTTCATACAATTTTTCGATATAACAAATATTTATAACTACTTTAATAAATTAATTGTTATAAAAATTCAATCTAACCTATATTAAGTATGCATTTTATATCATCTTTGTAATGAAATTATTTAATTTTATATCGTAAAAATTGTATCAATAAAAAATAGTTCATAAAATCAAATAAAAAAGTTTTATTTACAAATATCTTGAAGTTTATACGACACAAGTGTCAATACAATGTGGTTTGGCTACAGTTGAGTCAACGGACACCTAGTAGGGATGATTTTTAACGAATAGAAAATCGTCAGCTGATTGCGAATAGACTTTCTGTGAACAACTGGCGCAGACTCTCTAATCAGAATCAACGCCGACTTTAGCCGAAAGCTTCCGAACATTCACAGAAGTTATTTAATGACGTCACAACTAAGCAAAGGAAGATAAAACGGCCAAAAAGACGAGTTTATTGTGTGTGAATAGAATCTTTGTAAAGTTTCAGCTTTTATTTAAAAAAAAAAAATGTCATACGCTTACCTCTTTAAGTATATTATTATTGGAGATACAGGTGAATATCAACATTTTTATACTAATTATCATAACATACGATGCTACATGTATTTGCTCATTTTACGTATTGGATGACAGCTCTGTTTTCATTTCAATTTCTTCCGTGCTTCAACATTTTCTTTAGCTTACATTTATTACAAATCTATGATAATTAAAATTAAATATATTCTATGGAATACATTAAAATAATTTGTCTTATTAAATGCAATAATTATTTAATAATTTTTTCTTCAATATTAAACAATAGCTTGGTTATTTATTTAAGCTGGGGATTAACATTAATGAACAAAGCATAAGTTTTTTTTCAACTAGTGAGTCATAGTTTATTGGTAAATAAAAAATGTTAGCATTGTAGGGAGAAATGTGTGTCTATTATTTACGCAGTTAAGTTGTTTAGAAATTTATTTTAATGATTTTTTTTCATCTGCCTGCAGGAGTGGGAAAATCATGTCTCCTTTTACAGTTTACTGATAAACGTTTTCAACCAGTTCATGATTTAACGATTGGAGTTGAATTTGGAGCACGAATGATTACTATTGATGGAAAACAAATAAAACTACAAATTTGGGATACGGTGAGATTATTATATATTATTTATAAAATTAAATGATATCAAAAAATCATTATAATCATTTCAAAAAAAATGATTCTTCTACTAAATATGTTTTATTAATAATTATTTAGGCGGGTCAAGAAGCATTTCGCTCTATAACAAGATCTTATTATCGTGGTGCAGCAGGAGCCCTTTTAGTTTATGACATTACACGACGAGAGACATTTAATCATCTTACTACATGGTTGGAAGATGCAAGGCAACATTCTAATTCAAATATGGTTATTATGCTGATTGGCAACAAGAGTGATCTTGATGCTCGAAGAGAAGTAAAGCGAGAAGAAGGTGAAGCATTTGCTCGAGAACATGGTCTTGTTTTTATGGAAACTAGTGCTAAAACAGCTGCTAATGTCGAAGAGGCTTTTATCAATACAGCAAAGGAAATATATGAGAAAATTCAAGAAGGAGTTTTTGATATCAATAATGAGGTGGGTTTTAATTATGCTCAAAGACTATAATTTATTAACTTCCCATTAGAGATCGATTTTTGAAATTCATAATTTTATCATATCTTTTACGTTATGAGACATTTTGCAATTTGTTCTAAACAAAAAAAAATTATTAAAAGATGACTAAATTACGGATTTCAATGAATGGGAAGTTGGTCGTTAGACCGCAAAGTATGTTCAGACCCATTTTGATTTCTATGGAATGTAATTGATTTTTTTCATAGGCCAACGGTATAAAAATCGGACCACAACATTCTCCCACAAGCCCAGGAGGTTTAGCAGGAACTGGCGGCCAAGGAAGTACACAGGGTGGTGGATGTTGCTAGGGACTGGGGGTTGCATGTCCACCTATACAATCTTCTTCAATCTAATGTCCTATTCCTGCTCTTTTTCACCCTCTATAAGCATACGTATTACATACAATTGTATTTCATTTGTACAAATTTTGTGACGTCTGTCGTATTCTCAGGTAACGAGTGCTGTTCTTTCGAACTAATAACATCATTAACATTATTATTATCATTATTTCTATTATTTTAACAATTAATATAATTATTACCTAAGTAAACTTATTTAACTAACATCACCACTCAATTGTTACATACTCAATACATTGAATTTTTTGTATATATTAAAAGAAAACAACAAATTCAAAAGGATAAAATTATTTTCATGTAATAATATCCAAATTAAAATCCATTGTTAAACTCAATAAATATTTATCAAGAATTGCGATAAATATAAATAATAAGATAATAATGATAGTGGTGATGTTGATACTAACTTTTATGTAGTTTATCAATGAATATGACTTGAATATAGAGAATGATTAATATATATAAATATAAAATATGATGTATAAAAAATGTGATTAAAATATGCAAATTTTTTTCATGGAAACATTTAAATTTATATAAATCTACTAGTCTTGATGAATTAATAGAAATTATTTTATCTTTTAGTCATTTTTTTTTTACCATCTAAAAAATTTTTTTGATAAATCGAATTATAATAATAGACATTGGAGAGTGTTTTTGGAGCAGGAATGACACTCACTCGTCCACCTAAAGCGACACGATGTATATGTCTATGTACTTTCGGTGTACCTAATTATTAATTAATATATTATGAATTATGATCTTTTCTTTAGCCCATATGAAACAATTAATTATTAATTATTAGCTAGTAATATAAAATAATATAATTACATTGTAACTACACTGAACTTTATTTACTAGAAATAAAAGCCTAATAATTTATGCGCCCAAATCATATTGTTGATGAATTGATTGACGCAGAAGATAAATATTTAATGGAAATTATTGACTTTTTTGCTGCTTCATAAAATTTTTCAACAATTTGCTTTTATATTAAATAATGAGCTATTTGGAGAAAAAATTATAATTATTCATTCATACAATATTTTATCAATTTATCATTAAAAAAATATAATAAAACATGTAAAGTATACCAACAATTTTTACTGTAACGACGCTGAAATTTTTTTTTAATTCAAAAATAATTATAAAAAATATTAGAAGCTAATTAAGTGAAAATGATTAATAATATATAAGATTTATTCAATCATTAAGAATAGTTGTTCACAAATATAAACCATTCGCTCTCATCTTATAATATTTAGCACAAAAAAGGTTGAAACTTTTTTTTGCTGTTATGAACAATTTTTTTTTATGGTTTTTTTAAATGTTTAGTAGATCAATGTTTTATTGAGGCATGTAAAAAAATTTTCGAATAAACAATATTTAAACAAAAATTTTTATAAAATTCTATTAATATTAAAGAGAAAATGAGTTTTCAAATAACTACATAAATTAATAAAATGATATTGGATTATTTCTATTGATAATCATTTTCAATTTTCCAATATTTTTCGCTATTCAAATAGAAGACAACCACAGCGACCTCTACCCATTAATGAATGATTTAATTGTATCAAAATGAACCACTAGTGACACTCTCGGCTTACACATGAACCGATTCTGTGTTGTTAAATTTTGAAACATAACCTTTATTTGTTAGACACTTATCTATGGTTATGTTACCAAATAAAATTCAGCGGCGTTTTGAATAAAAAAAAGTGCTTCAAAATGAGGTTATTTTTTATTTATCAATAAAATTATCATATTTATAACAACAAATCAATATCATTCTTAAATTTTTATATATAAATTCAATTTTTTATTTGAATTTTGCATAATTAGTTGGGTTATTTAACATAATTTATCACAACATAATATTTCAGTTCCAACAATTTGGATGACTGAATCATAAAAACAAATTGTATAGTATATGGTGTACTATTTTTACTTAAACGTCGACTATGTTATCATTCTTTATTTAGACGCAAGTTTAATTTTAAAACGAACTAAAATAATCAACCGAAACTCCGTCTAGTATAGTCTAGATTATTCTGTATGAGATCTTTTAAAAGCAATGCTCCCTTGCTGAGGGGTTCAGTTATTAAAAATCACGTGAAGCATACGTTTTAACCATAATAAACAACACACTCCGAAAAGTATCAACAATTGAAGGTAACTTTTTTTTATTCAGATAAACATTATTGTTATTATTATTAACAATTAATTTTATAGCGACTTATTGCAGTTTAATAACCTGTAATTTAATTATTGTGAGCTAATTTAATTTGTTCCATCAATAGCTACGAGCTTTCTTATTTCAACATTTATTCTGATAGTTTTAGTTATAATATTGACGTTGATTCTCATATTAAATTTGTTTCTAGTTTACCAAGATGACGAAATTAACTTTGTCACCCCAAGAACTGAAAGAAAAAGGAAACGAAGAGTTTCAAAAAGGAAATTGGGATGAAGCATTGGAGTATTACACCAACGCTCTAAAATTATCCAACGAAGAGAATTTAGAAAAATCCATCTTTTACAAAAACCGAGCTGCTGTTTATCTCAAACAAAAGGAATATGAAAATGCCATGAAAGACTGTGATGCAGCTTTGAAAATTTCCCCAAATGATCCAAAAGCTTTATTCAGAAGATGCCAAGCCTTAGAAGCACTAGGAAGATATGAAGAAGCCTACAGAGATGCTCGTTTTGTTATCAATGTTGATCCGAATAATAAAGCAATCCAACCAGTATTAGCAAGACTTCATGAAATAGTTCAAGAACGTTACAGAGAAAACTCTCGTACCAGTGCTAAAGTTGCTCAGATGTTTGAACTAGCTTTCAGTATGGAAACTAGTAAAGAAAAACGAGAAACTGCTTTTAATAATCTACTGGTTCTTTCTCGTGAGCATGCTGGAGCTGAGATTATGTTCAAAGAAGGAATGGTACCTAAAATAATGAAGTTACTTAAAATAGAAAAGAATAATGACGAGATTATCATCGCATGTATAAGAATTATAGCTGAGTTATGTAAAGAAAATATCGACCGGACGTCAGCAGCTATCAAAGAAATAGGTCTTCCTTGGTTTTTAGAAATGTTGAATAGTAAAAATGAAGAAAGAGTCAATGCGGCTCAACACTGCATGCAGGTATGCTCTTTATTTCAAGATTATAAATTAAATAGAATTAAAAAAAATGTTACAATACATCAAGTTACTAATATTGATTTGTTAATTATTTTTCAGACTGTCTTAAATAGCTACAGTGGTATGGACAACAAGCCAGACTCGAAACCAAAAAAAGAAATGTGTGAAAAGTACAAAAATGAAATTGACACCATGCTGACATGCCTGGTATTCAGCATAACAAATCGAACAATTACTGGTCTTGCTCGTGATGCAATCATTGAATTGATCATGCGAAACGTGCACTACACAGCTTTGGATTGGGCAGAACGATTGGTTGACATCCGAGGACTTCAACGATTAATGGAAGTTGCGAGCGAATTGGAAGAATATAAATATGAATCTGCAATGAACATTACACCATCAACAAGAACTGTGACGAGTGTTTGTTTAGCTAAAATTTATGAAAATATGTATTACGACGCTGCTAAGGAAAAATATTGTGCGGCGATTGATGAATATGTCAAAGAGATGCTTTTAGCTCCAGATACTGAGTCGAAAGTTCGTGTAACAGTTGCCATAACGACATTATTACTTGGTCCATTAGATGTTGGAAATTCAATTGTAGCTAGAGATGGAATTCTACAGATGATTTTAGTGATGGCTAGTACTGATGATCTTCTTCAACAAAAAGTCGCTTGCGAATGTATCATAGCTGCAGCATCGAAAAAAGATAAAGCTACAACAATTATCAATCAAGGAGTGAAGATTTTGAAGAAGTTATATCAATCTAAAGACGATTCCATTCGTGTCAGAGCTTTAGTTGGTTTGTGTAAACTTGGCAGTTCTGGTGGAACTGATGTTACAATCAGACCTTTTGCTGATGGAGCTACGAAGAAGTTAGCAGAAGCTTGTCGCAGGTTTCTCATCAACCCTAAGAAAGACAAAGATATGCGAAAATGGGCAGTAGAAGGTCTTTCTTACTTGACATTTGATGCTGAAGTTAAAGAAAAATTGATAGAAGATAAAGAAGCTATTCAAGCGATGATTGAAGTCGCTAAAACAGGCGACAAATCAGTAGTTTATGGTGTCGTCACTACTATTGTAAATCTATGTAATGCATATGACAAACAAGAAATAATTCCAGAAATGGTTGAGCTGGCAAAGTTTGCTAAACATCATATTCCTGAAGAGCATGAGCTTGATGATCCTGATTTTGTCAATAAGAGGCTAATAGCTCTAGCTAAAGCTGGTGTTACATCAGCTCTTGTCGCTTTATCTAAAACTGATAGTCAGAACAGTAAAGAATTAATCGCTCGAGTGTTCAATGCAATTTGTAGTCAACCTGAAGTTCGAGGTATTGTCGTCCAGCAAGGTGGTGCTAAGGCTCTTCTACCTTTGGCATTAGATGGAACTGATAAGGGTAAAAAGCAAGCAGCACAAGCCCTGGCGAGACTTGGTATCACAATGAATCCTGAAGTAGCTTTCCCTGGTCAAAGGATAATGGAAGTGATCAGGCCTCTGCTTAATTTGTTAAGTCCAGAGTGTTCAGCATTAGAGAATTTTGAAGCTCTGATGGCTCTCTGTAATATCGCTAGTATTAATGATAATGTTAGAAAACATATTCTAAAAGAAGGAGCTTTTGCTAAAATTGAAACTTACATGTATGAAGATCATTTAATGCTACAACGTGCTGCGACTCAGGTTGTCAACAATTTAGTTATGTGTGAAGAAGCCATCAAATTTTTCGAAGGTGAAAATGATAGAATCAAGTATCTGATTATTCTGTCAAGTGATGAAGACCTTGATACTAGTTTAGCAGCGTCAGGAGCACTCGCCATGATCACAGCATCCAGTATTAAAGCTTGTAATAAAATTTTCGAATCGAAACATTGGCTAGAGTCCATCCATTACTTATTAGCTAATCCCAATTCAGATCTTCAACATAGAGGTGTTGTGATTGTTTCAAACATGATCAATAGCCATAAAGAAATAGCTACTAAAGTCATTGAAACTGATATTATGGAAATCTTAATGGCCATCACCAAAAGTGAAACTGTGGAAAATAAAAAAGTAAAAGAACTTGCAGCTGCTGCTTTGGAAGCTGCTGCTAAATGGAAACTTATTGAAAAACAACCAGAAGAATCAAGACCTAGTGATTCTAACGCTAATTCCAATTCATTAGAATCCGTAGAATAAGCGAAAATTTGATCTTGTTTTATTATATATACATAGAACATATGTATTTACTTATTTATATATATTTTTTGTAAATATATATCGTGCAATAAGAAGTTATTTTGATAAGAAACTAATTCTTTGATTGTAGAATAAAGAATTTTTATTTATAATCTCTTGTACTTAAAATTATTTCATGAAAAAAAAATAATTTGTATATCTTTTACAAATAAAGAATTTGCCTTAAATCATCGTCGTTTTCTTTTAAAAATTTTATAGATACTTTAATTTAAATTTTTAAAAATGCATGCTCAAGTGCGTCATTAGCTGTAATGCGTGTTTTATAATTGACATCCAGTAATTTAGATAGTAAATCATATGCTTCTGGTGGATATTGCTCTGGTATAGTAGTCTTTTGAAAATAAAATTCAAATAAATTAGTAACTAAATTGAAAGAATTTTAATTTTAAAAATAATAATAATAATTAACCTAAATAAATAATATTAAATTAATTAAATAATAAGAATAAATAAAACCAAAAATAAAATACCTTACGGCAAGAAGTACCATTACTTTTGGAATGTATGCTCCGATTACGTAATTTTTGGCATAAATTTACAAGATCAACGCCTGGTGTATTTTCACTACATATCAATTTCTTACCTGATGTAAATATGAAAATCAAATTAATAAAAAACTAAATTAAAAATGACATAGAATTCAATGTGTAGGTCAACAGATTTTCTCAACTACTAGAATTCAATTCTAGAAGTGATTAGAATTGTAACAATGGAGATGCTTATTTATTACCCAATTTTCTCGCACATTGTTGTAATTTAGCAGTCCCAAAAACAGATATTATTTCTGCTAAAGCAGTGCAATCATCTGGGCATCGAAAGAATGGTTGAGTTGCACTTAGGATGCACAGCATTATAATTCCACTAGCCCATACATCTATCGCTAAAAAATGATATTCTGTTAAATTTGTCAAGCTATTTATTTGAATACTAAGCAAAGCTTTCTCAGCCATGATCAATTGATAGTTAAGAAATGAAAAATCTCACCTGGAGTTTGATACTGATATTTTAACAAAACTTCAGGTGGTCTGTAACCAGGAGTACCAGCCCTTGATGCTACTTGGGACGGTTTTACTACACATACTGAACAAATTTTTGGTTTCCCGAAACAACTACATTTGTTATCTGCTCCAGAATTTTTCGATGATATTAAAGACGGAGATTTGTGATTATTCTGAAATGATAGGAAAAAAATATATAACAATAAAACAGGGTTGATCAATCGATAATATTAATTTTTTATGTTATATTATATCCTAAATCATATTTACTTCATCTATTAATTTTCTTTTTGTACTTAATGTATCAGTCAAGGAAGTGTTATCCTCATCAGGATTGTCTTCTTTACGAAAACGTTGAGCCAATCCAAAATCTACCAATAAGTATCTAGAATAAATGAAGTGACTAGTGAAAATTATTTATGGGGTTTTGATTAATAATTTATAAGTGATTGACAGTTGATTAACATTACTTTTTTGTACGACGATCATATAAAAAATTACTAGGCTTCACATCTCTATGTATGATATTAAACAGGTGTACTTTTCGTAATGCAATTAGCAAAGCTCGCATGTAATACTTAAGTTCAGTTTTATCCATACTTCCTACATAATCCTAAAATAAAATATTTATTAATATTGATTGATAAATAGAACATATATGTGATAAGTAAAATCTTACAGAAAATTTATTATGCCTCATGTAAGGCATAACAAATGCAACGGACGGACCATTTCGAACACACAGCTCTACTCCTACAACATTATCTGCTCCACTGCAATCAAAAAAAGGAAATTGAAACTGAATGAATGATTTGAATGAACAAAGAAGCAAGGTCAATGTCCCAATGGTCACTCATGAACCTATTCTTGCTCAGTAAATTTTATTTTGTATTCAAAGAATGTTTTTTTGCATTCAATCAATAAAGAAATATGATTATGGAGACTTTATAGAAGAAAAAATTGCTTTGAAGTTGATTGAATACGAATAAGTTGAAACAGTTGGACCAGTGACCTTATGTGCACCAAGAAATGTTGTTAACAAGCTCACCCTATTTCTTGCAGGCATTGTAATTCAAGTTCAATCCTATCAGGTGGATAAGTTGGGATGATATGCTTGATAGCAAATTTTCTAGAATTCTGTTTATTTTTACAAGTAGCTAAATAAACAGAGCTAAAAGTTCCTTCACCGATCTTATAATGTACTTCGAATAATTCATCGATAATTGGTAATTCTTTCAGTAATAAAGTGATTTCGTTTTTTGGAGCTGTTTGAAAACATAAAAAAAAATGATAAATGAACATCAAAATAATAAATTTATTGTTGAATCCATTTCTGTTATTAACTAAAAATAAAAAGTTAACCTACAAGTTTTATACTTTATTATAAAACTTAACCTTTTTCATTTTCTACTGCTTCATGACTAGCCATGTTTCTATTAGACATACATTTATTTGCTTATTTACTATTTTAGATGTTAAATAAAACAATAACTTCAAAATAAAATTAAAAATAATAAATAAGCGCCAGCCAACTAAAACTCCTATGAACATCACTCTATTTACAATTTGTGATAAAGCTTTGATAAAAATTACCACTAGAGGGTATGTTTTGCTTCAGTTTATTTTCCGAACAGCTGATTGTTGATTGCAATAATGTGTCAAAGCTCATAAAAATGTCTAGAAATCAAAAAAGTTTAAATAAAACGGAAAATTTGGTTTTATAATTTTTTGTTTAACATTATTGAATAGCAATTAGTGTTAATAACTATAAATTAATCCAAAATTCAATCAAATGTTGAAAGTGTCGATTTAATCTGATTATACATGACTATAAATATTAACAACCCGGCAAATTAAAGTATGACACTCACCTTTCAACGTCTTGTCAAGAAAAAAATTAACTTTCGAGTTGATGTGTTCACAGTAATAACGATGTTCATCATTGTAATAGCATTTTATTCATTATTATCAAAAGAATGTACAGCAAAGATGAATCCTGTTACAAATAAACCAAATTACAGGCTAATTGTGCTCATTCTTACTAGCCCAGGAAACATGAAACAGAGAGATACAATCAGAAAAACATGGATTTCTGATAGAAATTTCAATGTCAAGCATTTCTTCGCCATAGGAACGTTAAATATTGATCAAGAACAATTGGAAACTCTTCAATCAGAACAACAGAAATTCAAAGATTTATTATTTCTACCAAAACTTCAAGATTCTTATGGAACTCTGACTAAAAAAGTTCTACAATCATTTCAAAAAATTTATGAAGATTATACGTTTGATTATTTACTTAAATGTGATGATGATTCGTTTGTTTTATTACAACAATTGTTAGTGAATCTTCAATCTTGGGAAGCTAAAGGAACTCGGAAAGAATTGTACTGGGGTTTTTTCAATGGAAAAGCTCATGTAAAGAGACGAGGACCTTGGAAAGAGCCTGAATGGAATTTATGTGATTATTATCTTCCATATGCTGTTGGTGGTGGATATGTATTGTCTTACAATCTGGTTAAATATATTGCTGTTAATGCTGATAATTTAAGGCAAGAACTTGACCTCTTTCTAAATCGTTGAATATAATTAATTGATTTATTTTATTTTAGTTTGATTGTTTACCTTCCAGGTTATTCAATGCTGAAGATGTATCTGTTGGCTTATGGCTTGCTCCAGTTGCAAATATTGAAAGAAAACATGATATCCGTTTCGACACCGAGTATAGATCTAGAGGCTGTTCTAATCAGTATTTAATTACTCACAAACAAAGTAGTGAAAGCATACAAAGTGTACATAATCATTATCAAACTTCAGGAAATTTGTGTGCTCAAGAAGTGAGTGAGAGGATGAGCTATCAGTATAATTGGACTGCTCCTCCTAGTCAATGTTGTGAAAGAAAGCCTGGATTAATTTAATAAGTTTCTGATAAACACTTTAATTTATATTTAATCATTGCTAATAAGAATCTAGTCAATTTAAAGGACTATAAAAATTAATAATCATTATATTCAATCATTATCTCTTATATTTCATAAAAAATTTTGTAAATCAGTTAAATTAAAACATTATTGTGCAAGTGAAAATTAATTTAAGATAGTGCATTGTTACGAAATAAAAATATCAAATTTTAATTTTTAGAAAAATGAGTGTAAACTATTCATTATTTATTAACTAATACCTTACCAATAGTTTAATTTTATTAGCATTGTTACACTTTTTATTTACTTTCATTTCTCTCAGTATATTTTACTAATGAAAACCTGGATATCTTATTGTAAATAAATCTAACTAGTTGCTTGTGTTAAAAAAAATTCTATGCAAATATTTAATTATGATATATATAATCATAATTACTATTCAATTATTATTTAACCAGAATTAAAAATGGTATTTTTGTTAAAAATTTTTATATGTCTTTCGTTCACTATTACAATAAGTTGTTTACTTATCAAGCAACATTTCTGAGCTTTAAAAAATAGAAATAAAATTTAAGATTAGTTGAGATAATTTTTCAGAATAATAAAAAAAAAATATTCCTTCTAATAAATTATTATTTATTTACATAATACTTTCTAAAGATCTACTATCAATAAAACAACTTAAATAATCTAAATTTTACATAGTTATTGGAAAAACAAAATAAACAATAAAATTTTAATGGATAGTTTTAAAGTATTTTGATAAAAGATAAGCTCAAATTCTATCTTGCTAAAAATTTAGGATTCTACAGATCGAATAAAGGATGAAACTGTTGTAATATTATTGATGTAAACGAATGTGACATGATTTATGATTGCGTATTATTACATACGAAAATCTACAAAAACATTAACATGCTTCAACATACAATAGGAAAATCATTTTATCTGGTTTCTAATTACGAATAAATTTGAATTAGTAATAAATCAAATAAATTATGCTAAAATTCTTTTTTATTAGTATTATCTTCATCTTAAATGATCTATTTTATTTTTAGGAAACGTTAAAATAAATTGCATATATGTTAAATAAAAAAGTTTTTTGATTCTTTTTAAAATAAAGTCATATAAAAAATTACAATTTCATACTTATGATATAAGACTGGTGTGGATATTATAATTAATAATCATTCTTGTTTTAACAGTTTTTTTCATCACTTATAAAATATAAAAACAGTATTCAACTATCGCATCAACTCATAGAATATATGTACAAGATGTTGTAAAGAGCGACATATTTTAAAAGAGTATAAATCACTAATACAGATTTAATAGAACCGTACTTTCTTCATTAACTGAACAAAGTTAATCACAAATATTCGAAAATGGGCCAAAATAATATTTTTCATTAAAAATATTGAACAATTTTTTTTATTCTTATTTAAAAGAGAATAAATAATGTAATATAATGAATTAAAAAAAAAATTCCTTTCGATTTTTGATTTTCACAAAAACAGTAATAATGGCCGATTTTCAAAAAATTTATGTGATAAATTAATTAAAAACTGATTTGCATTGCTTCTATATAAAACAAATGGTCCATTTATAATTATGTACATACAATAAATAATAGTTTTAATATAATAGTTATATAGCTAAGGTTTGTTATTTTCAGATTTGGGTAAATATACCCAATCAATACTTATTTCTTTATCATCTTAATTGTTTTTATACAGAAATGCAATGCAAATGTAGTTTTTAACATATCAATTGGTATTTTTCTATGCATAAAAACGAGTTTACATCAATTTCACGTTTCACCAGAGAATCAATGCAAACAAGTAGTTTATTTTTAAGTGACCGACCGCAGTTTCTTGAACAGTGCCATGCACTTTTTTTTCTAGTTTCTTGTTTAATTTGTAAAATTTTTTTATTAATGCACATAATTAATAAAATTATTTTTTCTTTCGATCTTGAGTACACTTTGGGCAATACCACTTACCCTTAGGTTTCGTTGTTAATCCAACGCATGAAAAGTGGAACCATTCTATCGGGCACTGTAAAAAAAATTAATTTTTAAATTGTTAATTCATCTAAGCTAAAGTATAGAAAATATATTAAAACTCTTCTGCATGATATTTATTAGAGTCTGAAGATTGTAATAAAGATCATGAAAACATAATATAAAGGCTGATCGATATATTTACATCAGGATTATCACATCCAATCATCTCTCCATATGACACTTGATGACAAAGACAATAAGTAGGTTCATTAGGATCAACAGGCATGTCTAGAACATCAGCAGGATGGCCAAGTGCTGAAGTATCATTTTGTGCTCCACTACCAACAGCTCCAGTGGATGCTGATGAAACAACCGAGCCACCTTTTTTCTGTTTTTTCCTTACGCTTTTAGATTCATCTTCACTACTAGCACCAGCTGTTCCTTTTTTACGTTTTTCTTTTTCTTTTAATTTTTTCCTGCCTTTTTTACTAGCTCCACCTTCTTCTTTAACTCTATTATTATTTAAAGCTTTGTCTTGAATCTCTGCTTCAAATCTTGCTAAATCAGAATCTAATCTCCTTATGTGTTTATCCACTAATTCATATGTTTGTATTGCTAATTGAACTTTATCATCTCCATATTCTTTAGCTTTATTAAACAAACTTTGAATGTGCATTAATTGTTCTTTCTTCTTTTCCGATGATTCTTTTTTAAGATTTTTTAGATAATTATCCGCTAGTTTATCAATATCTTTCATAAGACCTTGAGCTCTTGCATCTAAATCCCTCATTAAGGTGAAATTCCTTTGTAATTCAATGGGAAGATGCTCCAAACCTGAATATAAATAATAAATTGTTAAATATATAATATTAAAATGAACAAAGTACTATTTATTTTAAAAAGTATCAAACATGTTAGTAGAACTATAGTGCTAAAAAATGAAAACATTTAACCTCCATTAGCTGTAATTATTTAGTAATAAAAGAAAAGTGTTATAGAGTATGAAATAACGAATAAATACGAAGTAACGAAAAAAATAGTTGTACTATTATTAATTTATTATCAAAACATTACTTACTATCTAAATAATGTTCTAAATACAATGCACTTGTCATGTTTACTTATTTTGTAAATTATTATAGGCTAGTTAATAAATAATAAATACAATAAACAAAAAAAAATCTTGGACAAATGTTGTTTATTTTTTTAGATACCCAGCACTTTCGTAAAACATGATTAAACTATGTTCACGAATAGTTTATTCGAATAATATATCAACAAATTTATAAAATGTACGATCAATGGCCGAACGTGAAATATCTTATTCATGGTTACCACCTGCCAAATGTTACACGACACAAGAGAGACATTAGCGACGTCTAGGATGATCATAAAACACTTATTTAATCTCCATTTTTTAACTACCAGGTAGCATTTTTTCAAATTTTTAACCTTCAAATTAGCTTTTTTTAGTTTTTTTTAACCTATTTCTGTAAACATTTAAATTATTTGTTTTCTTATAAATTATTTTTTCCGTATAACATAAAGGTTATATTTTAAAATAGAGAATTTAATTAAATAATTGTATAAAAACAATACATGTAAACATTTTTTATGTACAGCTATTCGCCACGAGATGGTAGTGTAAGTTTGATCTATAAATTTGAAGGTTATTTCACTGATAAATAATGGGGTAATTGAAGGTCATGTCAAGAAAAATAGTAATAATCCAATAAAATTATGTTGCATCAAGACTGCATATCAATATGCATAGAATAACTTTTAGATTCACAATCAAATATTTAATTTCTTGGTATAACTAAATTAAAAATTTTCCCGTCGTTATTACTAGTAAATCAATTATGTGGGTTTTTGGATACGGATCTTTAATCTGGAAAGTTGATTTTCCTTATGAGAGAAAACTTGTTGGACATATTAAAGGCTATGTAAGAAGATTTTATCAAAAAAGTACAGATCATCGAGGCATTCCAAGTAAAGTACGTATTATTTATTAATTTTTTTATTTCTAAAATGGAACACAAATTTTAATTTAAAAGGTTCAATTATTCCAAGTAATTTTGTTATCTTTTTAAATATTATATCTTTTTTACAGCCAGGTAGAGTTGTTACATTACTAGCTTCTAACAATTCTGAAGATGAAGTATGGGGAATTGCTTACAAAATAGCTGCAGAGAATGTTGATAGTGTTGTAAATCATCTAGACTTCAGAGAAAAAGGTGGATATAAAAGAAAAACTGTTTTATTTTATCCCTGTGACCCATCGATAAAAAATCATCATCAATCATCTTCTACCAATGATACCAACATATCAAATGAGGTTTTTATACAAAACGCTCTAATTCACAAACAATCTAACGGTGAAAAAGAAGATGACGAAACTACGGAAGAGAAACCATTCTACCTCACTATTTATATTGGATCAGAAGATAATCCAAACTTTGCTGGAACAGAGACATTGGAGACAATTGCCAAACATATAGTTAATGCGCATGGCCCTAGTGGTACTAACACAGAATATTTATATAAACTTGCATCTGCTATGAAAGTGATCGCACCAGGTGTTATCGATGATCATTTATTTTCATTGGAACAGGCTGTGAAAAAATTAGATGATGATAAAACTACTGAAAAAGACAACGACTGATTAATTCTACTATAGTTTTAAAATGAACGATGAATTTTAGATTATCACTAAAATCATTTTCGTTCAACACTAAGACCAGTCCATTAAGCGATAATGAATTTTTAATAAGCTAATTATCTAACAAAGAATACTCTACAATTTTGGACATTGAAACAAACTTAAAAGGTTCTTTTTATAAAATAATATATTTCACACTTGAGGAGGAAATGTAGACTAGCTTAAATTATGTATAAAATTACTAAATAAGCTGAATATTATTTTCGCCGAATTAAATACTATTTATTCCAAATTTTATAAATATGTGAATATTTATTATTTTAATAATAATAATGAAATACTATAAATAGTTAGAAGAATATTAAATATGTTAATTCAAATGTTTTTGTTAAATATAGTCCAATCAAACTTATTCTTGGAATGCTCGAACTAATGTCCGAGATTATTTTTCTTATAATACTTTAAAAATTCATTAATTAATTTGTTAAATATTGTCGCACAAATTAATTGGAAATATTCAAAGTATTGTACGAAAATGACCTCGGAAATGAGTTCGAGTTATTCAAGAATAAGCTTGATTGGATTAATAGAATAGATTACATTTGGAAACGATTGTCACCAAAAATTTGATATTTTATTTATGCTTGTAAATTGAGATATAAATTGTTTAATAAAATATTTATTATAATATCTAAATCACTCATTACTACTATCACGTTTTTATTGACGTGATGAATACAAATTTCGCGCCCTATTTATTTTACCGTACAATTTCTCTCATAAATGGCGAATTCATTTAATAAATACATTCTCTAACCTACATTTTTTGTACATTGCCTATTGATATTTATTTTTAATAATAAACAAACTTTTAAATGTACTTAGTATTTTAAACGCACTATTTTTTTCATCAATAAGCGGGACTACTTTCTGACGGATCAATCGTTGAAGGCGTGTGATTCGTCCATGATCACGAAGATCAGCTGGATGATTCGACGCCATTGCTTGTTGACCGCATAACTGTCAAAGTTGAGCTGAGTAGTCTGAAGCTCAGTTTTTTCTCAATTCTTTGGAATTTTAACAACAACAAAAATATCAAAATTAGTTAATATCATAAAGTAAATTCTCCAGGACGCATCCGGGTGAGTAAATTATAAATAACCATCAAAATCATTGTGTTCTAAACAACTTTTGCAAAACAAACTTCTTACGGCTATTTAAACCGCTTGATATTTATCAACCGTATCATCGTAAATACAACGTAATTAATTTAATTAATTAATTTAATTCCTCTATTTTTTTCTTCATCAATTATTTCACCAGATTAATGTACGAATTTTGGTGTATTTTAATTATTAACCCAGATTATCAGCAAGTGTTTGTGTTTCGTAACAAAGACTTACCCCCTCTTTTCTATTCGTTAAAAATGTCAATAATCGAGATACTAATGGTTCCATTAATGTAAACAATAGCAAATACTTTCATGTATTGAAGGATTAGTAGATCTATTTAAATTTGTTTACTATGACTCATTTATTATGTCGAGTAAGATCAAAACAAGGAGCTATTTTAAGCTGATTTTATCAAACAAAGAAACATAATGAAATCCTTTCATCATACATTTAATCGGCTTGCTTTCGACGCCTTTGAGTGTAGTATAATTTCTATGTTACTTATACTACAATGTCTATAACTTTGATGCCAAAAATTCAATTCATAGAATTCTTAAATTTGCTTCGCAATAATATACATAATTGCAAGGCTATAAATTTTTTTGAACATTTATTTTTCTTACACAATAAAATGCAGGTACATTTTTCATGTATTTCAAGGTCGAACTTTCTTCTGAAGAAATACATTTCTTATGACTGGAATTAATTGTTAAAAATTGTGGTCAATATTATAATGATATAAATTTACCTTGGAAAAATATTAATTTATTATCTTTTGTACCCGACAATAATTGCTTTGATCATATTTGTGAAATTTTTTTTTTAAATATAGATTTTTTAAAATATGTCGTCATCGATAGTAAATATATTTTTATTGTGGGTGAAATCTTGATGTTCATCACAAGGTCATTACGCCCCTACAGTCCTACATAAAAATTTATTTTTATATATTTTTTTTTCGTGATATACAGTCATAACCTGTGTACTGGACCAAAAGCGGTACTAACCTTCAAATCTCTTTGTTATTTATTAATTTCATTATAAAACTTTTATTTAATGTAATTACGCTCTTACCCATTGTTTACCAATTATAACAAGTGTCATTGATGGAGATTTTATTCTTTATGACCTGGAAAAAAGGGATAGATTTGTAACAATAGAAAAAAAGGAATATCATATTAAGAGGTTATCTTACATTAGATATGATGTGCGTGTTTTTTTTTTTTTTTGAATAATAAATAATTAAAATATACAGTTGGATAGTTGATTATATTGGAGTAACATTTGTTAAAAAACAAAAAAATATTGCATCAGCTGTGCTTGCGCAGAACCCTTGCATTTGTTCACCTTTCTGCGCATACAATATAGCGCCAACCACCAATGGGAGAAAGCACGGTTACTCACTGAAATTCTACAGAAGTTACAGATGAAGTCAACGACTTGTAGCGAATGCGTTCGTTTTCACGTACGCGAAAAAGATTAAAAGAAAAGGAGTTTACTGAAAGAAATTTCCAAAAATAGAAGTGTATTGAATAAAAGTGAAGTTCAAGACTGATTAAGATAAAGTTTTATTCAGAAATAAAGTGCTGTTAAATTGTATAACCTAAAAAAATCTAATAACCGCCAAAAATCGTTGATAGAAGACTGTATTGAATCATCTACATCTCAGCAACAAGTTTATTTATTAGAATTAAATTAATAAATATTTATTGTGTGAAAAGTTAAATTATTTATTGAGTATTAAAACATTCCATTCAATATTTGTCTGGAAAAGTCTAAGTCATAAAAATTTATTTAAACAATTTAATTTATTGTCAACTGAGACTGAGTTTTTTTATTATATAACTTGAATATTTATTTATTATATTATTGCTGAGAAGTATTGAAATCTTTTTTTTTAAATTCGTTAACAAATTTTAATTATTCAACGAATTCATTAGCATTACTTATACAATAAAGCAATTTTGGGTATAGTTTTTTACATCATTGCATCAGATTTTTTAAAACATAACATAATCTACCTCAACTTAAATTGAATTAAGCTTGTTTTAATAATTAAATATTAAATCTGTGATAAAGACAATCATCTTGTGTCTTTTGTAAGTATTTATTAAATCTAATTCATTTTATTGTTACAATACCAATGAATATATTGTTACTATGGTATCTCTAATTGGTTTTAAAAATCTTTTCAAAATTTTCTGATAAAAGTGAAAAATAAAAAAAAAAATCATGATAAAAATTTCTTATCAAGAGAATTTTATACAGGAGAAAATTAATAATCTTATTAAATTATTTATCAGGATAAAAAAAATAAAAGGATTAATGTTATGAAAGTTCCGTTATTTTTAATACTCAAAAATTCAATAAATAATTTTTTTTAATGTGCTGGAAAAAGCTTGAAATTAAGATTATTTTGTCGATTATAAATGTGTAGACTGAACAGGCATGAACAAGTTCAAGCAAGTTCTCGTTCATTCTCAACGTACATAAGCATACATTCAAAATTCTGATGATAGATATATGTCTGAATCAGTGTAAGTGGATTCACATACCATTCACGTATTGACACATATTAAATAATTATGGTCTGATTATTTTATCTCTTGATCATTTAATTAATGGAATATTTAAATGTAATTTCATTTGTTAGCAGTGATAATCTATAGATAAATTTAAAAAACTTAGAATATTATATAATAACTATATAATAATTTATTTAAATAGCAATAAAAATAAGATTGAATTTTTAGAGTTATTTTTATCACATAATTTTGAAATCATGAATCCATATGATAAAGATCGAATAGAATATACTTCTTTAAGTATTTTATTTTATATAATAATAAATGCAGAGTACTTAACTATTTACTATGTCAAGGTGTTTTGACATTTCGAGAAGTAATTATACTAATGTTATTTTCATTAAACATACTTTTATTTACTACACTAAAATATCATCAATTATGTTATCATACGAACGTATTATTAGTCATGAACTGTTATAAATTTGATTTACCCAGTTAAATATTTTTTTATATATTTTGAAATTAATTTTATTTTTATTCATTATTTTTTACAGATACAAGGCTAGCCAGCTGCGTCATTCTTGGTAGTGTGACTGGTTTGCAAGCATACTACTAATTCTAGACGTTAAGTAGTAGTGAGACTTGCTACCTTTTCTCAATTTACTGGTCACACATCGCAGGAATGGACTCATCAGGCTCGCCTGTACCGGATGCAATCCACTTGCTCCTTGAACAATTGCAAGAGGCTCTTGTACTGGAGATCAAGTACCAGCCCAATCTTCAATTACCTGTTACTACTCAAGTACGTATGATCAGCTGATTGCTATTGTATTTATATTTATCTAAATAATTATTATATAAAACATTTAAAATAAATTATCATAAAACTGATATAATGGATGTACATATGCATTAATGAACAATATTTTTGAATTTCAGAATGATGAGATTACAATTGGTGCCAGAGATGGCTCAGCACATGTTCTAAGGTGCCTCAAAGTTTGGTATGATTTGCCATCGGATGTATTTTTCATTGCAATTAACTTGATGGACCGTTTTCTCACCAAAATGAAAGCTCGACCAAAGCATATGGCCTGTATTAGTGTTTCATCTTTCCACATAGCTGCCGTCCAAATGGCTCAATCACTTGATGCCGATCATCTCGTATCCATTTCTCAATGTAAATGTACTGGTGGTGATCTTAAACGTATGTCGGAGTTAATTCGCAATAAATTGGAGTGGGCACCTGGTACAACACCTATTACAGCACTTACTTTTCTTCGTTTATTTAACGTCATGTTCCATACTGCAGCATCTCAATTAGGGCTGGGTGATCTCTACATCAGCATTGCTACGGTATATATAATTTTAACTTAAACAAATTATAAAAAATTGATTAAGTTATCAATTAGATTTGATCAAATTTAATTTAAGATTATAATCATGTCTGTTTGTTTCAGGAATCAGAATTACTTTTGAGGTTAGAAATGATAGCATGTGACGGGATTTGTGCAAGTTTAAGACCTTCTATCGTAGCATTAGTTCTTCTTTGCACATATTTGGATTCCGCAGTCAACCGTTTGGAATCCAATGTTGATTCTACATCTATGTCTAGTTCTGGATCAGCTATAGATTCAACATCTGCTCCTGCTCATCAGATGCTGAGACTTGTAGAATTCGCTGGTGAGCTTCGGAAAATGTGCAAGGTGATTATTAACATAATAATATTATGCTACGTGTTGATGCTATAAAAAAAATTCCAACTAATAAACTTGAATTAAATTGTAGATTTCTGATGAAGATTTTTACTCTACACATAAATCTGTCAGCGCAATACTAAGCAAATATAACGCACAAGAACAAACACCTCATCGGCAAAGACTTGTATGGCGGCTATCATCTCGAACTGCTCGGTTGCTTCGTCCGACTGATAAGTTTACATCAGTTCTTCCAGTTATTGCTGAACATACACCTGTACCATCACCCAGCCGCATTAGGTAATTTTTCAACGATTGGTTTAATAGCTTTTATTTATTTAATTGAATTAAAATTTTTATAAGACTAAACAAAATAATTATTTACAGAAAAAATCGTAAATTTGGACGTCGACATCCCAACAAAAGGCGTTAAAAAATTTTTCTATAGTCGAAAAGAAGAAGGTAAATGATATTGAATTGTAATTTTATTGGAGTGTTTATTGTTGTGTGTTTGTGTTTGATCTGAAGAATTGGAAAAAATTGTAGATGTTCTTTTGAATATTTTTTCTGCTATTTATTTCATCATTATTGATTTTAAGACATAGAAAAAAAACAACCAATACAGCGGTAAAGACAGAAAATCAATAATAAAACGAATTCGGATGTTATATAATGTATCAACAAGAGCTGTGACTTTGGAAAACAAATTAAAAATTAAATTAAAAAAATTTTTGCTGAAACATTATATAAAATTAATGTGATACAAATACAACAGTGGTTTAAATGACGTAGATTGTCCACTGTTACAGAATTTAGGTATATTATATCTAAATATTTAATTATTAACTAATAAATAAATACTACTATTTACAAAATGAATAAAAAAACAAATAAAGTAAAAATGCAAATAAAAAAAAATGCAAAATCGTATATCTCAAGTAAATCGAATGTTGAAAGTTAAGTAAATACTTTTTTGTATAGTGTAAGGACTAAATGTATGAATGTTTTATTGTGTTGATATCATCGTCCAAATAATATCTATAAGTTTATCATTCGAAAAATGGTTATTAGAAAGTAATAGAAAATGTAAGTAGAGGTGCTGTTGTATCACACATCGCCAAAAAAAAACCTGAAATGTCGATATGAACATGAAAGAGTATGAGTTCTAATGAATGTTTGGTGAATCTTCAAATGCGTGAAAATATCAAAAAGTGTAGAATACTTTATTACATAAAATAAATAGCTTTTCTAAAGCTGTAAATTAAAATTAAATTTATCTTAACAATTGTTGGTGATAAAAATGAAATCGAATTAATAATTTTTAAAATTTATTCACGCATTTGAATTAATAAACTTTATGTAAATAATAAATAATTTAAGATAAGTAGTTTTTATTAAGTTAACACAACAGTTTTGCTGCTATGTTTGTTCATTTAAGTTTAAATAATTATTTATTAATATGTCGTATGGTTTATTATAGTTGTTAAAATAAAATGTCACTCCTAAGAAATTAGAAAATTCATTTTAATAATGTTTACAATAATACTGTTGAAAAAAAAAATGCTAAAAGTCTTGTGTTAACTTAATAATAAACTTAAATAAATTTATAATCGATTGAAGGATGATTAAAAATACAAATTGAACGCTGGCCTAGATTAAGAATAATTATACAGTTCTCCATCCACACTATTGCAGTCTAATCCTGAGTTTTGTTATTAGTTTATCAGCACATTTTTTTTGATAATGCGTCCATATCACTAAAAGCGTTCATTTTGCGTTCAAATGTATTGATTTAATGTGATAGTCTGGATTGGCATCGATACAATGATGAGTAGAGCATAAGAAATGATTGAAATTTAAACGGTAGCCAGTTTGTGCTAGTCACAAAATAATTTTAATTCCATTTAATATTCAACACAAATTGATCTTTTTTATTTCAATAAATTATTAGATCTATTAGAACTTATTTATTAAAAAAAAAAAAAGAAAACAATGAAATTTTTTTTTCATAATTGAAAGAGAGCTTATCATTAACAAACAATCTTAACGACTGTTAACGTTTGAAAGTCGTTTCTTCTATATACAAGTAAAAAGATGTAATAAGCTAATGAGATTGTAATAAAAACATTCTTGAGGTAATTTTACATATCTCAGGGTTATAGAGGAGAGCTGTGAAACACTTTTTGAGACGATAAAATGTAAATTATAACATAAAAATAATATGAATAATTATTTGCATTTTTACTGCATTCAATTGATATAATAACATTCAAATAATAATTTTTCATATTATTATAATGTTAAATAATTTTGAGAGTAACAAGAACTTATTTATTTGCATATTATTATTATAAAAGTTATGCAAATAATATTATTAAAGTCTCGTTTCACATTGTTTTAGAAGTGTTATATACAAAATTAATAGACTTTTCTGTTATTATTATTTTTTTAATGAAAATTGTATTTTTTCGGATATTTCGAAATTATTTTATTTTAAAAATTTTTGTGAATTATCATGAAATACATAATGACTTTGAAAATAATTTGAGTTTTATAAAAAGACTAATTGGCTGTATTTATTTGTTTTTTGTATAAAAAATTAAAATCATTGCACTCTTTTCGTATGACTGTAATAAATTAAATTTCGAGCATATCTTGAGTTAATATACAGTATTCTATAAAAAACAAAATAGACCAGTATCATTGATATAAATTTTTTATTATGAGTTTTTGATTAAAATTGTTAAAGTATTTGAGGACAATGATGACAAAAGTTCTGATGATTAATTAATTGATATATCAGTTAATAAAAAATGACATATTAATGTATTTTTTTTTTATAATCTTACCACAAAAGAATGAATTAATCTTGTTAAGGTAGTTATCTCTCGAGAACTCGTATGAAATTTTATTTCGCCTCAGCCAAATCGAATTAACTATAAATGAAAAAAAAATATATCTTCATTTCTAGAAATCACATCTTTTTTGTTCAGAAAAAAAATATTCATTTATTGTTATTCTATAAAAATAATGCGGTTTAAAAGAAATTGTTAAGTAATTGCTCTCGCGAGATAACGACCTTAAAGCTTTTTTATTTTTCAAAATTATCGTAAATAAATCGTTTTAATGAGTATCAATTTTAATATTACTGTCAGAAGTACAAAATAATTTGAATACATTAGTAATGGAGTACCGAATAGTTTATATTTGCCTTCCCTTTAATGAAGGATAATAGATCTCAGCCATTATTATTCCACTATATTGATCATTAGTATATATTTTCTCTGAAATTTTTCACGAAAATGCATTTTTTGCTTCCAAATGAATAAACCTAAAAAATTGACACTGATATTATATAAGCTGATGAGCAACTGATGAACATCTTAAACATTAAATAAAACGAAATCAATCAATTTATAGAACTAAATATACTTATTCGTAATTAATTAGATGTTTCATTAATTAACTATTTCTTCCAAATGTAGTTTTTCTTTATTAAGCATTGATACAAAAAAGAAATAAAACAATATTTTGATAAGAAAGTACTGGCATTTTTGAACATTTTAAATTAATAATAACTTACAAAAAAAAAAAAAGACAAAAATACAATAATCAAACAATCGGTATAATAACATAGAATTAAATTATAATCTTTCATCTACCTGACTATTTATCCGATGCACAAAAAGATTTTGTATTCAAGCGAATTCGAACACGTATCATATGAGATGTTTCATTAGATGAAAAGATTAATAAATAATCATTATAATTGTTAAAAAAATTATACCGAGTACTGAATTATTTATAAATCTATCAATTGATGATAATAATAACAATAATATTAATATTATTAATAAATGAAAACACGAATGGTGAATAGAGTATATTTAAATTTAGTATGAAGTAATCTCTATTGTCAATAAACGAACGAAACAATCATTTTGAAAAGTTAATTGATATGTTAGAAAAGTAAGTAGATGTTGATTTTAAAAATGACAAAAAAAATCATTCAGATAATATTTTTTGCTAGTTTGCAAAATAGCTTATGAATATATAAGTGAATTTTGGAAAGTTTATTAAAATATTAGCTGAATGACTAAATCCAAAAAAAAAACCTTCCATGTTAGCCTCAAGCCAAATTATGTTATAATTGGATATGTTTGATGATTAAGTGTATATTGATATTTATTGATATTGTGTAAGTAATTATTTTAAATTAAATGAAACATACATTTATCTATCTTCCATTGGATTTCGACTGTAAAATATATAAAAAGTCAACTTGTTTATACGCAAACTTTTACATTTGTGGAATAAAATAAGTTAGGGCTTTTACTGAATGGTTTAATTATTTTACTTACCTACCTTTATTTATTATTATTACTACCATGAAATTTTATTTGCTATCGAAATATTAAAAATGTAATGTTTGTTATAAGCCCCCCGAAAGTTGAAGTTTCGTCCCGGTTCTGAAAACGACTAATTTCCTCCCTAGCGAAAATAAAAAAAAATCTCAATTTTGGTGTGTAATATTCTATTATTTCACAATCTAATCAGTTATAAATGGATTTTATTGGTGATTATAAACATAAAATACAATAAGAAAACGATTATTTTAATATAAAAAATTCTTTATTGAGCAATAATTCAAGAAATCGTAGCATTGACGATACTCCACTGGCAAGATTTACACATGATAATTTACGTGTTATCCAACATATGACAATATAAATGACAAAAACATTATTGTTACATTCCTATGTACATAATATAATTATAAAATGATTTTAAAGCTAATAATATAATCAGATATATTGTTATAAAGGATTGTATGAATATTTTATATGGTCTTAAAATGCTGATTATTTTTTTCTCAAGTATAACTTGCGTAGTGATCAGTTTTAATTTTAAATTAAAATGTACTATATGATCACCTTTAGTAAAATAAGCTATTGTTTTTATTTGCGAAATAATAAACTTTTTTAGTATTGTTTAAAAATATTGTATAAATTAGGCAAGAGGGTTGATCACTTATAAATAAATATTTTAGGAATAATTGTCATGTTTGATAAAATATTTGAATCACAAAAGTTTGTTCTTCATTTTTCAAAATAGAATATGAGCTTCAACTAAACTGAAAATGGTACAATTATTTTTCTTAGTTTTATATAATGTTCGATTCAATTCAATTTTTGATTATTTTTTCAAATAATGGAATAAAAGTTATTTAAATTATTGAATAAAAAATGAGGTAAGTTAAATAATATGCTTATCAACATGTCACTAAATATCTATAATCATTAATAATCTGATTATTAGTTAAATATCCAAATATTCATTCATACAATGTAAAATGTTTCATCACATTTATCAAATTAAATATCATTTCTTTCCTGAGATAATAATTATCATTAATATATATTGATAATATTATTAACTATTTAAAATTTTAATTAGCTAATTCAAATTATTGACTAACTAATTACTCTATAAAAGTCAACGTTCTTATTAACATAAAACTAGTCCTTTTAACAATAGTATAAGTTATTTACATATTTACAATTATCAAACGCGTTTGAGGCTTGTTTATAATGTTACTTAAACAAAGCTTACATTTTTCAAAAATTTTTTTCAATATTTAAATAAGTAATAAAAATTTATTAAAATTCGTGAAGTAAATATCTTTAATGATATTTAACCAGATTTCAATAATTAAAAAGTGATTATTCTATGTCATGTTATTATTTTATAATACTTTTCGTCGAATGAAATTCATTCAATCACAATCTAAAAATTCATCTTGGTAGAAAAGTAAAAAAAACTCCCTCCATTATATAAAGTATGAGCTTATCTGATGGGCTAAGTTTTTTTTGTAAAAATTTTTTTGATTTTTTTCGACAACAAATTCAATAAATAATAAACTAATTGATCAGTGTATAACTTGTGAATTTCATGCTGCACATATTTATCAGAATTTACTAATCAGTTCTCTATCTCTTATGTAAATAAAGTCATACTAAATCTTCTTTGAATTCTGAATTATCCATAGCAGTCATCGGTGTCATTTCTTCTTTTGGTTCAAGTAGAGAATTATAATAGGTATCCATTGGTTTCCCCCTAAAAGAGCTGCGTTTATCATTGAAGAAGTTCAATCTTTTCTTCTGGAGTTCTGTTTCGAACCACTGTGTAGACCGGCTTGATGAAGTTTTAGGTTGATACAGAAGAATTTTCACCACACTCCACGTTAAAAATATAATTCCGCCCAAAAATAGTGCATAAACAGCAACTTCTTGAACAACTGGTAAAACATTTATGTACAAAATGAATTTGTTGTTTAAAGCCTCTGGTAGTTCATACATTCCCTGAAACAAAATATAATGTTATTAAGGCTCTTTTATGAGTGAGCTCAAACAGTTTGATTGAATATCAAATAAATTTAAAAAGGCTAAAGTAGTCCTTAGAAATTCATTTTTAATTAAAAAAGTACAATATTAATTATTTCGCTAATTAATAACACCAAGTGTTGATTGTTTAAAATCATTGTCTATCTAAAGACTAGGAATAAATATAGAAAAAGATTGACTTACTATTTCAAACCAGAGTAATGGCAGCACAACATTGGAAAATCCTTCAACATTAGCAATACGACTGATGTCTTGAAGTGCCATGTTTATTTGAAACCGAAAAGCTATATCGACAGGAAGACCTGATTTAGGCTGAATAAAGAAATAAGATTCGTGATCTTTTTGGACGGGTGAAAGTCCTTCTACAGCTTCCAAAAGTGATGGATCAGATTTATAAAAATGTGGATATGATAATGCTATTGGAAACCCTGTAATAAAAATAAATCTACATTATTAATTCATTTAAAAAAAATAATCTTACTCATAATAATCAGAAATAATCAATAAATTTTACTCTCTTCTCATTAATTTTTTTATCAAGACTACATTTTTTTATTTCACTTTTTTCTGTATTATTGACTAATAATCGCTGCTAGAGAAATCATATTGATATTTACGTCAGCGATTAGCAATTAATTAATAATTTAATCACATTTTTTTTACCGTAATAGCAGTCTGTGACGTCGACTAGACCTGGAGGTAGACAGCGTCCCTGACGACAAAAGCATTTATTTTCTGGTCTATTAGCTCCATTATCTAATTCATCTTCCATAAATTTGTATCGATAAGTGTGTAAACCTTTCACAACTTTTTCACCATTTCGAACCTAAAAATTAAACAATAAGTTTTCTTTAAAAATCAATATCTACTATTTATCAATAAGTATTTTTTTAATTATCATACTTTAAAATAATTATTAAACTTTTCTGGCTATATTTATGTATTACTCAATCAATTTCATTATAAATTGTTAGATTTTTTGTTAACAATAACAACAGACGAATGAAATTTATTACGATCTGTTGCTGATATTTTTATTATTGATATAAACTAAGTTATTTCATATGGAAGAATAACATTTATCATTTATATAGTTGTTTTAGTTAAACGTTTGTTTTTCATGTAAATTGATTGTTTTATTATTTACCATTCGTGCACTTCGACAGAGACTTTTTCTATAAAACAATAGAGTATCGTTGGGTTGAATATAGCTAGGGAATTTGGCACCATCACTCGACCCATCAACATTTGCACATTTTCCAGGCCATTGAGGTAGATTTACATCTCCATTGTACTTCTCAATTAACCCAGTTTGTTTAACGTCGTATTCACCAGTGTACACAGTTTCAAAATCTCCATCAAAATCGTACATCTGTGATTTGCAAAAAAAAAAAAAAATCATTAATCTTTATTAAAGCTTTTATTTATTATTTACTTCATTGCTTCAGAAGATTTACTTGTAAAATGTTAAAATCTTTTACTGTTTTATTTTTAAATGATGACTGTTATTTATACAAGAACCTTCTCAATTAACTATTTTAGTAATAAATGTTTTCTATTACTTACTCGATCAATCAATCCTAATTTATCGAACTTAATCCAAGATGGCATCACGCTATTCCCAAGAGTAACGAGACTAGATTTGTAACCGAACATGAACTCTCGAGCTGTCATTTGTACTAAGGGATGTGAATCAGTCTGCCTGATTAAAACGTTCAATCCCCATTGTGAAATGTATGATGAGTCTTTCATAACATTAGCAATACTCTGAAACAAAAATTAATTATAATTATAATTTTAAACAAAATTGAAGAAGTGAAATTTAATACCATACATTGATTTCCCATTCAACATTTTATTTGTTTATTTCCTTTCTTATCATAAGTATTCATAAGTAATGAAAATAAAAGAGTTGGACTTTTTTGATATGGTAACACAAATTATTACTCATTCATCAATGCAACTTGGCTAACCACATGCTTAAGATATTACATTTCCGTAGATTTCATTTTTTTTACTTCAACAAAAAAAAATATTCCACCACAAAATACCGGATACCAAGAAACTCAGCATAACGAACAGTGGTTAGATTGAATTAGAATTAGTATGCAAATAAATGTAGTATTTGAGACTTCCTAGAGTTTATTTATTCTTGTCAATAACCGATTACGTAGACAGATTCTTTCGTCACAGTGATCATCTGTATGATTTGTATCCGGTATGAAACCACGTAATACAGTAATAGTTGCATGCCTTGCTTGTTTTTATTAAGATATTTCATTCATTATTTATCACATTTTCATTCCATTACCAACTTTTTTTTTTATTTATTCTACAACTTGAGAATCTTTTGTATCTGAACATTTGATAGATAATAAAAAAGCTCTTGGTGATAAAAAAATCTCCAACGATTAATCTCACATGTGCCATCTTTGTTTTATTCTAATCAATGTTCCTATTTAATTGATTCTTAGCTAAAGAATAATTTATCTTACCAGATGCTGCTCATTAATCAGAATTACGTCGAAGAATTACTGATAATTATAACAAATTATCATAGCATATAATTAAAAGTGTTTTATGATAACAATATGAATAAATATGGTTATGTTATTAATAAAACTTTTTAACAAAATTTATTGGTGAAAGAAGAATGTTTGGTTATGATCTAAAAATTTTTAATTCTACTCAAGTAGAATAATCAATTATTTATTACTACTAAATCATTTTAATATCAACAAATATTTATAAATAAAATCCAGAAGTTTTGCGAGTGTTTTGGTTAGATTATAGGACTACTTGAATTTTTAAAGGTTATGAATATAAATAGTGTGAAAATACGAAGACTTTGATGTTAATTGAAGGATCAGATTAATTGAACGTGAATAAAAAGTTGTATAAGAAATAGCTGAAGATGTTAACAACTGACTCTTATTAAATAATCATTAAAGATCCTGCATTAAAGATGATCTTCGAGAATGTTCACGGTTTCTTTAAGATTGGCAAGGTAATCGAAGCAATCTCGGGAACATTCGATGATACCTTGATGATATTTGGAGAGTCAAGTTCATGAGAACTCGCATATTATGAGTGTTGCAGGTATGTTTTTTTTATATACCTGCATGATACATATACTTTTATTCAAAAATGAGTTGGCATAATTCTAGAAATTTTATTATGCGTTTGTTGTTGTTGACTACAATAAATTCCAATGAAATTTCATGTTTTGATGGAATTTTTTCACCTTCTTATTAGTCAATTATTTTTTTTTATGACAGGAATAAGTCAATTATGGTTGTTTTTTTATTTATGCCATGAATAAGGAAAAATGAGTAATAGGAGAGAAAATGATCTTGGTGAGATTGCAATCAAATCTGGTTTATAAAGACGTCAAGTACCTGTTAAAATAATCTTACAAAGAATGTAACTGACCTCGAGAAAACCGGATTCAGAACTCGGAAGATAGTTAAGAAATTACTGAATATCGAAAACAAAATATATCATTAATCCTGTGAACTGACCTCGACTTTTGTGTCTATTCCATCTAGTAATATTTTTTTTGTGCTAAAAAAATGTGGAATATTTCTGGAATATTCAGTGGAAATATTTTTGTTCTTACAGAGAGGTAATAATTGAAAAAAGTGAGAATAATTAATTGGAAATCATTTTATCTTTCTTTTTGGTTTGAATAATCAAAGCCATTTTTTTTCTTCCATAAAAACAAAAATCAGTTTCGATTTCTTACTTTCCTTGCAAAGAACTATTTTTTTTGTTACACTTTTATTATCACATTTTTTTTTGTGAGCCAAAATTTATTAATCATGCAAGAATTATTTAAATAAATAATTTCTGCATTAAATTTATTTATTTCCTATTATAAAAACACGAAATAGTAATGCTTGCAATTTTTGTTTTAAAAATCATAAGAATCTTATTCAATCTTTGAATCTAATTTGTAATATTGTTGTTCATATTACATTTTGTAACAAAAAATATAAAATTAAATTAACGTTTATTCAAATTAATTAATTGCATTTAATTCAAAAATAAAATCTCATTATAAAGTCATTATTTAATCATAATTAAATAGTTGTCAGGAGAATTATATTCAACAAATCTAATTATTCACTTTTTCCATTTTCTGATAATTACTACAAGTATTGAAATGTTGTTCACTTTATTTAGGAATATTAAACAGGCTAATTAATTAAAGAGACAGCGATAACGGTTCCTTTTTTTTCTCACAGACGTCATTATTTTTTTTTATCAACAAGAGTGGAAAATTTTTGGCTCAAAGTGATATGATTCTTTTTTGAATTTTCATTTTGTTTATATTTCTTCCACAATATGTCTTTTCTATGTTAATAGAATATTTTAGTAATAAGGACTTGTGATCTGCCCGTTATAATATTCGGGCATTGACCTCAGTCAATGCATTTTTTATGACTAACAATAATAAGTTTGCTTTGAATGAACTGCATGCTAATCAAGTCATGTTCAAATATTCAATTATATTTTTAGGTACACTTTTGTCCTTTTGAAGTTCATTTCGAATACCTGCATTATTCTGTATAAGTTTTGGTGATATTTTTCCGGTACTTAATTCATATTTTCTCAACTCAAAATAAATTATTTATTAGATCAGTAAATTATTAATCTTTAACAGAATAAATCTTTTGAATCTACATCATCTTTTTTTTCATCACAATATCATTAATAAAATAAAATTTATGTTATGACCTAAATAATTTGTTTTATTACAAATTATTTAAAATGATACCAGTATTATTATTAACTGATTGTTTTTGATTAATTACGCAAGCATGTGTTCTAGAGTATTTAATTAATTACAGTTTACCATAAAATATGTTTGTTTGTTTATTAAAAATAATTAGTGCATTTAGTTGGAATATCATGTGATAAGTTTAATTGAGAAAATACTGAAATATATTCAACAAAGTATGTTTATTTATAAGTATCTGCTGAAATGATGGTTGTGAAATAAATAGTTCTAGAAAATTTGTAAAACAGATTTAAAGTGGATTGCTAGTTTAATTATTTAAAACGTGTTAGCAAATTTATTGGAACAGTTTACATAATAATTTCAATCGAAAGTAATAATTATGAAGCTAAATTTGTATTTTATAATTTAAAATTTCATTAATAAATTAATGAGTTTATTTAACTTTTTTCAATTGAAACAATAAGTTATAAAATAAAAAATAAATAAAATTAATTAATGAATTAATGAGAATAATTAAATATAGACTGTTATTTAAAGTAGGTCCATAGTAAACTAATACTTTACATTGTTTATTAGTTAATAATCTTCCTCCAAGCAAGTTGTGATGATAATGATAATGATAGTTGTGTAGAAGTGTTAATAAATTCCTATGTAATTTAAGCCCATCATACTGTTATTATTGTAATTTCCGTTAGAATCTTGAAGAGTCTAGAGCTGGAAGTGATGTTTCGAAATTGAAAAACCATTTATTTCTTATTACAAATTCCTAGTAATTAGAGAAGTTATTTTAATAGAATTAAAAATAAAATTAAAATTTTGTACATAGTTTCATATTTCAAAGTCATCGTAAAGTTTCATGCATTCTTTTTACAATGCATGATTTTTTTTAGTCTAAAAAATATATATGTGATTCTATTTAAGGTTTAGACTGTTTATAATAATATAAGTTAGTTATTCATATCAAACAACATTGATAACAATTTAATATCGTTAATGACAATTTAATAGTATTGGAAATTGTATAATTTAGATCTCTAGAGACTCATTTACACTATGGCTTATTCAGTATTTTAATTTAATGATGTGATTATTTAAATATTGGCTTTAGAATTTAATAAAATAATTAAATTAATAATAGTTTACAGATAATAAAATTTAAACTCACCAGTAATGCTATATTTGGTAGAATTAAAATATCGTCTTCAGTTCCATTACTTTTCTCTGGAATATATTCAAGGGGATGTAACGGAATGGTCGTAACAGTTCCATTGTTGTTAAAAGTAACATTGGAATGTTCTAATTTTTCTCTAAAACAACAAACGTCATTTATTAAATTTAAAAAAATATATTCAAATGAGTCCTTTGCAATAATAAGCATATTTATATTCGTATAAATAAATAATTAATTCATGCATATTGATTACCTATAGACGTAGGGGCCAACTTCCTGAAACCTGAGTTTTTTATCGATACCAGAAATATATTCTTCTCGATTGGTGACATTGAAGAGGTAAACCTTAAGATAGAGATCGACTGGTGGCTTCCTCCATAGTTCAAATATTTCACCGTTGTCACTGAATGTGACTTTGAGTTTGAAGAGAAGTTCATAGGGTTGAACTATGAGAACTAAGCAACCAAAAACCAAACCAAGGAGGCCCAGTATCATCAACGTATAGATACCTGTTGGATAAAATTCAGTTATGTTAAAAACTTATTATACTTTAAATCAAAATAGTTGTTGAAGTGTGAACAAAATTCATTGAATTGTTTAATTAATTACTAAACTACTTCCTACTGTAATAATTTTCAATAACAGTATTAAATGATCCAATAATAATTTTCATTTTTTTTTCATCTTATAAAAGTTACGATCTGTTTACTGCAGTAGTCTACTTAATTCTAACATGTAAATCCATAATTCATATTAAAAAAAATAAACCAATGGATTGATGTGTAATTTATATTTAATAAAAATCATCAAGAGCATCCGTGCCAGTTTCTCTATCAAGGAAGTTGAATGGCAATTAATTTTGAATTTTGTCGTTGACATTTACTTATAAAGTGTTCATTGAACTAGGTTACTCGATTTTTTTGACGTTTTTGTTGAAGTTGAAAAAAGCTACTTTACTAGATAATTAGCACAAATACTTGGCAATTTTCATTCTTCATATGTATGAAGAAAGCTGAAGTTAACTTCCTTAACTACGAACTAGAACATGACATTCATTAGTTGTCAATATGTGAAGTTTTTCTTTTAACACACTTTTGGCGGTATCTAAAGGATTAAATTTCGAAACAATAATTCTCGGATCAAGTTACAGCTGGAGATCTGCTCTAAATTTCAAGCTTCTAATAAGGTTTCTGGGACAGAAATCTAATCCTACAGCATTCTCTGATGAGTCTGGATACGAAATTAATTTATGTAATTTGTTTATGTTTGTTGGTATAACAAAAGTGGCTTTATTATTAATGAATATTCTCTAAAGTGACGAGGAATATTGCAAAAGGGTGCAAAAATGAGTTTTTCCTTAATAACTCGAAAACAGTGGATACAATCAAAAAAAGTTTCGAATAAAAGTTGTAGAGAATTTTATTTTGTATAAAAAAAGTTCTCTTGCAATTTCTTCTATCTCCAATAGTTTCTTAGCAAAACACGTTCAAAGTGTGTATGTAACACTGAATTATTTAAAAAATTATTGTGTTACAATTATGTTATTTTTTTCTAAATAAATAAAATAAATTCTTCAGAATGACTAGTAAATATGATTTATATTCCATCAGGAAACTAAAAGATAAAGCAAGTTGTCATTATGTATAATATTGCTAAACTTTAGCACTGGTCCCTCTGGCATGCATATCAGAGTTAGTAGATATTTGGATAACTATGAGTTACTTCAACATTCTAATAGTCAATTAAAATTTAATATATAGTATATGGTTTAATATTAGATATAAACAATTCCAATTTATACAACAATAAACACAAACTTGTTAAAAATATTTCGATTAGTTAACACTAATTTTTTATAAACTTACAATCATATTATGACCTTAATCATAATTCTATCCACGACAAGTATGTGAAATAAGGATGTTTACATGACAAATAGACTCTCTAAAGAAGCGTGAAAGTTCAAGGTATTCAATCGGCAGATTTTTCAACTGTTGATTGTAATTCAAAATCATTATAATATACACTTGCGGAAACAATTATCTGATCAAGCTATTTGCAATCATATTTAATCTCTACGGCTTTGTGTAATTGATGGTATTGTATAAATGTATTATTATAGAATAGACAATACTAAACATGAATAGATTATTAAACAATTATCAATCAACTATATTGTTGCTAAATCTACTGTCTATTGATCAATATCAAATTATCTGATAATAATAAAACACTTACAGATAGCTCAACACTTGTTTTTTTTCTAATGAGATTTACAAAACAGTTGTCAGCTAACTTAAATTATTACTGCAATTCTACGAAAAGTCATGAAGTTAGAAATTTAAAATTTTTTAAGTGAAAATTGGAAAGTTCAATAATTTAATTCTAATAGCCAATAAATTTCTTTTGTATTAATAATAGTTTTGTTTAAATAATTTTATCATTAAAATTAGTAAATAATTAGGTTTCCTAACATAGTAAGAAATTTGACAATAAATTTTGATAGCATTCTCATTACATAGACATATGTAAATAGTTAAGTAATCTACAATGACACCGTGAATACAAATTTTCAGAGTTATATTTGCAATGAACATTTTTCTGCAAGTTTTCCTGGGGTTGCGTACTCGATAGGAATGACTTGGTGAGTATAATGGCTCTGGATAGGTTATGAAGACATAAAATACTTAAGTGTGATATAAACTTACTACAGTTAGTAGAGAGTACTTATATAATTGTCTTACTTGTCACAAAGAATTATGTTTGAAAGTACAAGTACTTTGTAGTAAAAATAATCCAAGTATTCTTGTTGTGAATACTGCGGTCAGTAACACTTTGCTGATAGAAATTTTGTTGCATAATCGTATGATTGAATAATAGCACAGATTCATGAAAATATCTTATTTTGTCTACTGCATTTATCTTTATTTTAAGACTATTTACTATTTTTGCAATTCATCGAATCATGTGACAAGTTTATAATAAAATTGATATGAATATAATAAACTTTGTATCTGTTGATGCATCAATTTATTTATTTGATTAATTGAATCTGTCAGACATTAAAGATCGATTACACTTTTTAAAGGATTGAAAGCATCTTTTTGTTGCTGTTGTTGTTGATGTAATTGTCTGTACATAATTATGTTGATGTTAATTCATTTATTGCTGTATGATTAATTGTTTATGTTTTTCATTGGTAAACTAGCATTAATAGCTAAAAATAATCCAAGGATGTGATTATTTACGGAAATGAATTGCTGACTTATTGAGTTATTCAATTGAAGATGAGTTGAAAAATCATATCAAAATGATTAATGGAGTTAAAGTTGGGTTTGATAAATGAAGGAATAATATTTGGATGATAATAGTTAGCTATCAATGATGAAGTACAATATATAAGATATCTTTTAAGATATCCAGCTCTAAATGAAGATGATTATTAGATAACTTTGTGCCGGGTGGACTGAAAAGTTTGGTAAGGACTGAAAATAAATGTAAGATAGAATTGCAAATATTTAGATAAGTATCCAGATTTTAAGTAATTATTCAACATAATGAGTAACTGTATCCACATTATAGCTTGTAAATTTGTTAGCACGTTTATTAGGATGGTAATTATATTACCTATAAAAATACAGATAATATAAAAGCTGTATATCATCGCTGTTTTTAGCGATATAAAAAATTAAGATCCAAGTTGTTAGTTGATGATGATAAAGTTATTTTATGATTCTGCATCATATGGAAGGTCCAGCAATAAAAATGTTAAAAAAAAAAATATCAATTCATTGACACATGCTCATAAATGTTTTTTTCATTCAGAAGTATTTCTTTTTCTAGAATAATTTGCTTTTGACTAATTTTTTTATTTATATTATTTAGTCTGTTAAAATAAAAAAATGTGACACGTGGATTAATTTTTTATGTTAAATATTTTTTGAGAATAAATCAATGATAGATTTTTCAACTTCTCATTAATTATTAAGACAACTTGATATTTCATATTATGAAATACATACATAAGTAAAAAAATTAATGACCTTTTTTCTATTCAAAAAAGTGTAAATATTTAATCAAAGCAAATTTGGATGAAACATTGTTTTGTTTGGAATCAGTACGTATTATGGATGCTTCTAGAAAAGAAGACCGGTTTTTAAGTCGTCATTTTTCAGCAATCTTGTTCTTCTTATTAGCTATGTTTTTTTTTTAAATGTGCATCCAGTTTCGTGACGTTAGCAATCTTGCTCAGGATCTTAATGCACAGTCCCTTGCTCCTATGCCTTGACTGAGGCTGTGTTAAAGTCTGCTTCAGCTTTGACCACCACATAATTACCATAGGAAAAACCTGAGGTTTCATTTTTTTACATCGTTAGTAAGCTTGAACATTATTTTTTTATAGTTTTCATAAACTTTACTTAGTATAATTTATTCAACATCCTGGTTATCATAATTATTTATATCAAACAAGAAATAATCCTTCAATGAAACCTTCCTTGGATGAATATTACATTTTATTCAAAAATTAAATTTCATTTATTTTTGAATAGTAAAATAAATAAAATACTATTACGTTATTTTAATATTGATGATAACATAAGGAAATGTTTTAAATATTAATTTGATAAAAACAAAAAAAAAATATTGCATATGTGAGTTAAATAATCCTTTGCATCATCATCAAAAATATTTATTTTAAATGTCAAGATCAAGGTGAAAGTCTTTTCGACCGGAATAGTGACTTTAATTTATTCTGTGTCGCTTACTCATGGTAGTAGCGAATCATTTATTAATGATTGGGTACACAATCGATAATGTCAATATAACATTATCTCATTTTCGCTTATTATTTGAGTAAAAAATGACATGCAACATCTCCAACACTCGATGTCATCGTAAGTATTCTAAATGACACTTTTTTTTCTAACACTTACGACGATATTTAATGTTAAGAAAAACGAATTGGATTTTCCATCAAGTGCAAATACTTTAAAACTGTAATTAGTATGCTTTAAAAAAAATTACATCATGTTTTAAGAGAAGTGCTTTTAAAATTGCAAAATAAAATTATTCATTTCCACCGGAGTTGGATTCAAGCACAGTGTTGAGGTTAAAAAAGATAAAGAAAAAATCAATTTTAATTTTTTATTTAATTTTTCAAAAATTTTTGGTAGTTGTAAAATTTAATTTTTGCTTATAGTCATCATCTTTTAAGCTTTATTGATGACTCTTAATGATTGTTTGATCTTCTCATTACTCTTCTCATTAAGAAAATTGATTAATAAACAAACTTAATTTGTCATTGTACATCATCTCTTTTATGCTATTATTTATAGTTTATTGCAATTTTATTACACTTCACGATATATTTTGCAATATAACTGATTTATTAATGGCCACATAAATTTAACGATTACATTTACAGATAAAAAACTTTGAATCAATAAATATCCAAGTTTCCTTGAACCTGTCATCGAATAAAGTAAGAACAAGTTCAATTATTTTTTATAGAATTCTTTACATTGTCAGTTGTGAATGAATAAATAGTTTTGTTTGTGTTCTTAAAATACTTTGATGACAAATTTAAGTCTAAAAACAATACCAATATAAACTAAAATAATAAAAGAAATGAATCATTAAGTTATTTTATTTTATTTATTTATTCCAATCAAGTATTAAATTAATGATTGGTGAATCGTCATGAATATCTTGAGGGACAATACACTTAGACAACATAAATTACAAGAGAAATTACGTAACAGTAATCAATCAAAGGGTAAAAAAAAATTGCAAGTTGATATTTCAAGTTTTATTAAATTGATAAAATTTAAATTTATTTTAATATTTTAACTTTGATAATATCACTTTTATAACTTATGATCAATTTTGAAGATCAAATGTAAATCTTGACGATTCAAGATGATCAAAAATGGAAACCGGAAGTTTATATGGAATGTTTTGATTTAGCAAGTAATCATTATAGCAAGGAAATAGAGAAGAGGTTAAATTTTTAAATTACAATTCCGAGCACGTTTCACATAGGTCATTTTACAATTACTTTTTTATTCAGTGGCAACAAATAAGATTTTCTTGTAAAATGATGACAACAATCATAATATCATTCGTTTAATTTTTTTTATTAACTGAATAGTTATTCCTTTAAGAATTATGATTACTCAATACATTGTATTCAATGATTTGAATATTTTATTTATTTTTTTTTTACTAAACTCTTATTTTAATAAAATTAGCTGTAATTGAAATTTTTTTTATTCAATACAGTAATTATTTATTACTATCAATTTTTCCCAAGTGATTTTGTTAAGGAAAATGACGAGAAAAAATACTAAATAAAAAACTGATTAATTTTTATTTTTCTAGTGTAATGATTTTTTTTTGTGCACTTACAGTTGTCAGGAAATTATCTTAATTGGCGGGTCTGCGATCGGAAATTTACCGATTTACCACACTCAAGCGTTGATTTATTTTAATTATCGTTCTTAGCTTGAAAGAAGTAGTATTGTAAGATTTTAAATGCGATTAAGAAGTATTCAAGGGTTTAAATCATCAAAAAATGATTAAAAAAATTTTTTTGTCCAGTATTTATGTAGAAAAGGAGTATAATAAATTCAATTGCATGAAAGAATCATGAAGTCAAATGGATTGAAAATTTTCTTAAGTAAAAGACAAGTAGTATATTGCGAGATATTGACTAAATTGCGCCAGTGAAGCAGATAGGTGAATTCGAATTAGCCAAGTGTCTATTTAGCAATGGCTTTTTTTTCTAGTGCGGTTATTTGTTAGTATAGTGAAAGCCAAAGCACTTCTAGACTTAATATTGCATGGTCCAATGAATTTACCGAATTCAGAATTAACTTATGTCAACATACATTTGTGCAAAATTGAACGTTACTATATTTCAACTAATTCTTGTTATTTTCCTCCTCCCTTTACCCCTTGCATCTTGTTGAAAATTACCTTAAATTAGTTTAGCATTGGTATGGTCGTATGAATAAAGCTACAGATTTAATTTTTATTGAGAAAAACTGATAGAAATTTCATAATTGTTGAGAAATACGAGCAGTTACATTCGCCAATTTAATTGCAAACTTGAAATTATGACATTAAAGTAAATTGTTTAACAAGTGAATAATTATACTCATTTAAATATACTCATTATTATCTTATTTCATAATACAGTAATATTTGTGTGGTCGATGCACTTGAAGTGTCATTAGAGACATGCCTCAAAGTGCTACTTGACTTGCTTATTATCGTATATTTCACTTTAGACATTTATTACCCATGAACTTTTTTTCCGCAATTGATTGATTTTATGTATTTTCTTAATTTCTTCATAACTCAGACCTACTTTCATTTTAAAAATTTTAAATTCAATCAATTTTTTTACATTATTGTATTAATGAATTTTTCATATTTAAATAGATAAATTTAATTCATTAGAATTTTTAAAACTCTTTAAATGCAAAAAAAAACTTCTTTACATTTATTTCATCACATTTAATAAGCAGAATCATAATAATGAGGACTTCTTAATGAAAATTTCTTTATTAAAATTCTTCTATTAAATTTTTAACGAATATTTGCTCATGTTAGCAACTCTATGCGTGTAACTTTATTGTATTCTGTAATTAAATTCATTTTTATGAAGTTACAAAAAAACTTGATGTATAATAATTAATTTAAGATGATATTATACATTTCATTTTTTTTTTAAAATGTTGTGTAATAATTTTGCAACAAAGTAAACAAATCCAAGTGATTATCAAATACAATTTTGGATTATTTTAATTTATTCTAAAAATTAAAAATCATTATTGAAACAAAATATATTTTACAGAATGCGAAAAAAAATTTATAATCGAACCTGTTCTACATAAAATAATTTATTTAAATGTTAAGAACTGTCCAAAGTAAATATTTAGAGAATTAGGACATTCATTATTCATATAGAGTATTTAATAGCATTCAAGTCAATAAGCAGTAGTCAATAGCAATAATTAAACAAGAATCATGAAATTTCATGCGATAGACTAAAAGATATTTATGTATAATCATAACCACAGAAAGCTGACTGTGCATTGCATTGGTCTCTATTTCTCTGGAATACATCATTCTGAACTCCATTAATTAATGATTCATGTAATCCTATCTCTTTTGGTGGTCTGTGTGGTAGGTAAATAAACAATGTTCCTATCCAACTCACGTAATGTACTATCACGAGAGAATATCTCATAATTCATAACACAACTCTATAGTAATTAAATTGATCAAAAAAATACTATTCTCATTGACGACAAATTCAAGTGATTAAAAACGAGACACTTATAGTGTTTACTATGTTAAACGCCGTAAACAAACTATAGCAATTTTGTCAACAAATTTTAAACGCTCCTAGCCGTTTACCAGTATGCTATAGTTTGTTCATGGCGTTCAACATTGTAAACACTTTAAATGTTTTATCACTAAACACTTGAATTTTTTCGGATTTGCAATAATAAGATGCCTTTTTAAAATTAATAATGTAATCATAAATTTTATTTTCCATTAAAAATAATTTAATTGAATGAAAAAATTTATTAATAAAACAAAAAAACTCTTTAATTTAATTGCATTTATTTGATGTTTAAGAAATATAATATTCTTAAGCTTTATTCGAGATTTTTTTCAATTAGATAACTTTTTGTCCTGTTTTATAACCAGTGCATACCTTTTTCGGTACGAAATATTTTTGCATTAGACAACTTGTACAAAGACTTTTACAAGAATAAAAGAATATAAATTTTTTTATCATAAAAAACAGGTTTTGGTCTTGAATAAATTTATAGAACTTTTACAGCCAACTTTATATGATAATAAAGGAATCCACTTACTCTTTGGCCATCTCCGCCTTCCATTCGAGTGAACAGGTAATGCAGCATTGAAAAATCGATTGACTACAATTGAAGATTTTATTTGAAGACTACTAGGATCATCTGAAGAATCATCAGCATCATTAGATGATTGATGATTGTTTGTATTCACGGATGAATATCTTCGTCCGGCTAATCTACTCCAAATTGATATAATATCTTTCATCTTTATAATACTTAATCACGGTAAGAGTCACTTGATAAATATCGTCTATTGATATTAAGAATAAAATAAAAAAATAATTAATTGTCAGTATTCACTTCTTAAAGTTAAAACAAACTCTTATCACTGATTCTTTTTTTCTATATTATTTTTATAAATTATCAATAAACAATTATTGACAGCGTGTCCGAACGCGCGTCGTGTTAGTCCACTCGTTAAAGTCTCTCCGTATTTTCATAAAACTTTTTTCAAAAGCAACACAAACTATCAAAGATCATTGGCGTTTAAGCTATTTCTCTCTTTTGGAAATAAATAAATTTTCAATTGGACTCGCTCAATGATCCTCGCAGTATGCAATACTGTGCAAAAGTGCAGACACAAATTGAGCGACTTTGGAAAATATTGTCTGCAAGTGACCAAAGAAATAACCACCCCACCTAAGTTGATCTACTGGTCAAGGTGGAGGTGGTGGTCGCACGTGGATCTTTGGCCAATAGCCGATGCGTTCATTCGGCTCTTGCACTCTCTGATCACTTTTACTACTACTAGTGTATGCCAGAAACTTCTGTTTCTACTCACTCCATCTTTTTTGATGACAAGTGATTGTGAGCTTTTTTTTTTACTCCTTAAACTAAAGTAGAGATTCATCCTTTGTTTTTATCTGATATTTTTTTCATTTTTTGCTCAATTCAAGTTGAACAATTTACCTTCCTGCATTATACATTGATAGTGATACTGTTTGAAGTGCCGCCACCAATAACATTAATCAGCAATCACAAATACATTTTGCAAATAAAGTGATTAAATATACATGATTATTTAATCAAGTTGTTGTTTAGTATCTGAAGAATTATTTTGAAAATAATGATTAAAATGAAAAAATTTAGATTGACATGTAATTAATCAAAGTAGTTATAGTTTATTATTACTTTGAAATCAGATTTTTATATTTAATCAAGCATTTTCATTGATAGTTTTTATCGTTTTCATATTTAAATGTGGATTTTACAGGTGTCTTGACCTCGAGGCAGCCTTTAATGGTAAATATATGTTTGTTCTAACATTTCTTTTTTATTCTACTCAATCTAATAAGATATCTTACATTGCATTCTACTTATTTTGTCAACAAAAAACAATAAGCATTGTGTTTATAATCAGAGCCTTCTATAACAACCAATAAGTACATTTAAAAAATAAATAACTAACTTAAAAAAAAAGGCTTAGAATTGGCTGCAGTCAACTTAATTAGTTAGAATGAAAAATGATAAAAAGAATTGAATTTTTTATTCAAAAATAATATTTGTATTACTTTATTTCTAATTGAGATCAAGAAGTAATAGAAATGTATATTATTAGTGTCAACTGAAGTGTGCATTTCCTCCGAAAAAATAGTTAAATGTAATTCTAGCTTTTTTGTCGTATCCTCTTCAGTGGTATCAGTTTTGTTCATTTTTTAAACTTTTTTCAATTTCTTTAATAATGGAGGAAGTAGTAATTTAAAATTTTATAGTAAACAGTTTAAAATTCAATATAAACATCATTGAAAATCTGCACGTCATGATAAGCGTCATCAAAACCGATCACTGAGTTATTGCTATACTGTTGAAGTTAAAAAATTCCCATGCATTATGACGCAGAGCTAAAAATTTCTACGGTAATCTGAAGGTAGAATCGATAAATTATCAATCAACCTTGATGATATAATTTTTTGTTCCATAGTCCAATCGCAATAGACAATCAAAGTGTATTTATTCAATTAAAAAGCCAAATTTTTAGCTAAATGCTATTTAAAAAGCTTCTGTAGCAGCAAAAGAGCCACAGTTATTATTAAATAATTGGAAATATATAGTAGTTTTTCCATTCTATATATCTGCAAGTAGAGGAACCTGTTGAATGAATCAAGGTCTTCTTGAAGAACTGGAAGATCAGATGATGAAGGTCACTGCCACTTGCAATAAATCTATGGCTATTTTCACAGTAGTTTTACTCTGTACATTTTACAATTACTGATTTTATACGTGATTATAATATGATATAAACTCGTAAGAATTTTATCTCTTTATAAAATATCAGCAAAACTCAATACTCTTGCAAAATATAATTCCATGAAAATTATGAATCACTGGAAATTTATTTGATGATATTAATGTATTGTTTTAATTTGAATTTAATATATTACTTATTTTCCATAAATGAAGGTATCTATTCATTGAAAAGTTTTCAGTATCACTTGGAAACTTGTTTTGCAGTTATTTTTTTCGTTTTCTGGATTGTCCAGCTCGACTTACCAACATGAACAGTCATTCAATGCTGCAGAAGTAAGTTCATGGAATCTATTGGATACTCTCATTTGAGTTTGGTTGATCTGATTACTCATTAATGTCATTATTCTGATTTCATGATGAATCAAGGAAGAAGTTATTTTGTTGGAACATTGAGTTATTTTAATTAGATGAAATCATGTGAGACAAAAAGTAGAAAAATTTGAAGACTCAAATGTTGATTTAAAAATTGGTGTCCTTCATCAATTAATTCAAGGCTGAAGTTTTAATATGGATAAAGAAGAGTGATTGTCTTTGCTGAAGAAAAAGAAGTTAATGTAATTAAACATTAGATGTATAATATCAAGCAGAAGTAGCTGAAGAAAAAGCTTTGTTCTTTTTTTTTAACTTTTATTCTTTAGATTTTAATGTGTAAAGAAGTTGGAGTAAATATTAAAGGTAATTATATTTATGTTAAAGAATTAAATTAATATTTGAAAGAAAAAATAATAATATTTAAATTGATTTACTTCAGATTTAGACAGTCTGCGATCTTTTCAGATATTTCGACAAAACTTTCCATTGGTCTCACTAGGTTGCTTGTAAATCTTGTTTAATTTTTTTTTTTGGTCCCCAAACACATCATAAAATCTTAGGAGGCCTAGCAAAAAAAAGAAATTATACTGTTCTTCTCAAACATAGTAGGATTTTTGCAGATGTTACTTAGATCTGTTTTAGGCCTTGTTTAATTTTAGTTATTGCTTTTTTTATAAATTATTAAGTTGATACTTTTTTATAGAATAAATGACTTTAACATAAGATTCAACTTTTTTTTATAGTTGTTCCAAGTCGTTCAAACATTGTTTCTTCTCATAAAGTTTACACAATATGTTATGCTATCCACACTATTTTATAAGACAATTGAAGAAGAAATTTTATCCATAACGAATTTTTTTTTTTTTGTTTTGCAAAAATAAATAAATAGGGAAAGAAGAAATAATTTGATATTCAAAGTATTTCATTCAATAAAAATAAATAAAACTGATCCTATCTGTGAATGTTAGTTTTATCTTATTTTTTAAATTAACTAGAATAAAATGACTTTGAAAAAATACGCAAGAAATTCAAGTTATTTCAGTCTTTAAGTTTAAATATATTATTTTTCTTTTGTAGCTATTTTTTAAAAAATAACTGATAATCTAGAAAGCATTATTTGATCATTGGGTAGTATTATTTAGCATAAAACTTGTTTTTTAACTATCATTTGATCATTATCGATAATTTATCAGGTGGAAGATGATGGAAATTTACATCTTGAATATCATCTTCACTAAAAATATAAGAGTGATCAAAGAATTTTTATCAGAATGTAGCTTTTTTATTCTAAAACATTAGACTTTATCAATATCATTTTCAAGAAGTTACTAACATATCGAAGTATATGTATGACATCTAATTGAATCAAAAGATTCAATTTAATTTGAATCCTAAAGTGAGTTTCATCTTGATAGATATAATTAGACTAAAGCAGATCCTAACATTAGACTTGAATATCTGGTACAGAACCAGATTTGATGCAATTGAATTTATTCTCAGCTGTGATAAAATTCAATTTATCAGTATCTTTGGAGCTTTCATATTATGTTCATCAGTATTGCTTATTCTTCATTTACAACAATGAAATGTGTTTAAACAAACTGGTAAAAAATTGCACGAATTTACTGCAAAAATATCTTATTATTCCAACACTCTTCCAGTGATTTTACAGTTCTTCTAGGAACTATAAGGGAGACTAGCTAAATTAGTTTATTATTGAGCTAAGAATGGATCAGAAGTGTATCAATCATTGTTCCTCCCCAGAAGACCCAACCATTTGTACATCACATGGTGAAAACCAAAATCATAAATTTCTCTTTAAAGTTTCTCAAGTCATCATCACAGTTTTTCTTGCTGCTAGTAACCGATCCACACGTCACTGAATGTTTGATTTCTACATAGTTCAGAATAACAACATTTTTAATAAAAAAATATAAATTTTTTTCACAGTAATGAGAAAAGATTAATTACAATTATTGGAAACTCATTGACGTAAATCGTCAGGGTTACACTTAGTTACAGCATTTTAAATATTATTTTAATTATTACTTAATAAAATCACCACATAACTGTATTTATAAAAAATAAAAATTCATTGATAAGAAAACAGGATTTGAATATAGGACAGACGTACATATCCTTAAAATCATGAATAATTTATTACAAAACTTTTATTACTCATCTTTTCGTTCTACATGAAAGATCTCGATATTATGAAATTGAAAGAAAATCATTATATATCCAAATGAATTGTTTCCACTCATAATAAATATGAACATTATTAGACTTTAATAGTATCTTATTAACTTGTTACCATCAAAGACATAATGCTATCTTATTCATACACAATGATTTACTACGACAATTAAGAAGCATTATTGCTTTACAAAGTAGTAGTAATGCAAGGTTAATTGTAATGTTTACAATGGTGAAAGAAGCTTTTATTCTTGATTCACTTGAACATTATATGAACTAGACCAACCTTGAACAAATTTATATGACTTTAGTTGGCACGAAAACACGTTCACCTCCACGTGCAAATATTGACGCATATTTTCATTCGCTGGTGCATTGGAGCTTGCTCATTGGTATTCCCCATAACTATCTGGTAATTATTTGCATGCACGTACACGAAACTATATCGTGTGTACTAGTGTATATCATTTGTGAATTTACAGGTTCTAAGGACAGAAATTTATTATTAAACTATGTTTATTTTAAATCATATATGATGAAATCAATATAATTAATTACTTTCGACTTTTTTTTTTTTATTAATTGATGACGTGAAACTCTACTTAATATTTTTAGTTGCAAAAATGATGGTCAGAAAATGTTTCCAACATTTTAATACAAGAAAATTGTTTGGTTGGTTGGTCATAATTTAAACTATTTTTGTTATGATAAAAAATGAAGATTTATTATTTCTTTATCAATAAAAAAAATAGAAATTTATATTGTAATTAACGAATCGGTGGAAATATATGTATAAGACTGGTTTAGGTAAAGCTTACTTGTACTGCTCTGAGTGCTTTCCAGGTCGATTTATGGCTACCGTATAAGTGAGTGAAAGAGACATTGAACCTACTACGTTGGATCTTTTTATAAATATTTTTATTTTTGCTTCAAAAAATTCAAAGTGTGTCGGCATCAAGAACAAATACCTGCTAAGAATATATTTTTAATATAGGAAAATTTATTGG